GTGTTCAATTTGAAGTTTCGTCCTTCCGTGCCTTGCTGTTTTGGTGCCGGGAGGTGCTCTTGCTACTCTTCTGTTAGCAGCAGCAGCAGCAGCAGCAGGTGACCTGGTGGGAAAGTGAAAAAGCGGAAAAGGTTGAGAAAAAGACATTTTTTCTGGGAATTCAGAAGGGACGTTAGGCACTTTTTCGGTGCTACTACTACTACTACTTCTACTACTACTACTACTACTTCTTCGTCCTTCACCGCCATGGCGTTTCAGGCTGGCGGGTCCGGCGTTTTGGCGGCTCAGAAGGTGTAAGTTGAAGAGCTAGTTGCGGATGCGTTTGAAAGCCATGCAGCTCGTGCTTGTCTTTCGCAAGTTTAGTAGGGTTTCAGAAGTAACGTTAGGCCTCTTTGTGGGATTCCTGTGCTGCGTTGCGGGCACGAAATTAGGTGGTGTTTTGCTGTTGCGGATGCGCGAAATGATGTGGTATTTTGCCGTTGCGGATGCGTCAGAAAGCTATGCAGCTCGTGCTTGTCTTTCTCAATTTTATTTATTTAGTAGGGTTTCAGAAGTAACGTTAGGCCCCTTTGTGGGGTTCCTGTGCTACGTTTTGTGCTACGTTGTGGGCACGAAAGGTGGTGTTTTGCTGTTGCGGATGCGCGATTAGGTGGTGTTTGCTCGTGCTTGTCTTTCTCAATTTTATTCTCAGTTTTAGTAGGGTTTCAGAAGTAACGTTAGGCCCTTTTTCGGGGTTCCTGTGTTACGTTGTGGGCACGAAATTAGGTGGTGTTTTGCTGTTGCGGATGCGCGAAATGATGTAGTGTTTTGCCGTTACAGATGCGTCAGAAAGCTATGCAGCTCGTGCTTGTCTCTCTCAATTTTAGTAGGGTTTCAGAAGTAACGTTAAGCCCTTTTTTGGGGTTCCTGTGCTACGTTTTGGGCACGAAATTAGTAGTGTTTTGCTGTTGCGGACGCGCGAAATGATGTGGTATTTTGCCGTTGCGGATGCGTCAGAAAGCCATGCAGCTCGTGCTTCTCTCTCTCAATTTTAGTAGGGTTTCAGAAGTAACGTTAGGCCCTTTTTTGGGGTCCTATGTTGCGTTTTGGGCCCGAAATTAGGTGGTGTTTCGCTGTTGCGGATGCGCGAAATGATGTGGTATTTTGCCGTTGCGGATGCGTCAGAAAGCCATGCAGCTCCTGCTTGTCTTTCTGAATTTTAGTAGGGTTTGTCTTTCTCAATTTTAGTAGGGTTTCAGAAGTAAAGTTAGGCCCCTTTGTGGGGTTCCTGTGCTACGTTTTGGGCACGAAATTAGGTGGTGCTTTGCTGTTGCGGATGCGCGAAATGATGTGGATGTTTTGCCGTTGCGGATGCGATAGAAAGCTATGCAGCTCGTGCTTGTCTTTCTCAATTGTGTGTGTGTGTGTGCTTGCCGTTGCGGATGCGTCAGAAAGCCATGCAGCTCGTGCTTCTCTCTCTCTCAATTTTAGTAGGGTTTCAGAAGTAGCGTTAGGCCCTTTTTTGGGGTTCCTGTGCTATACGTTTTGGGCACGAAATTAGGTGGTGTTTCGCTGTTGCGGATGCACGAAATGTGATGTATAGTGTTTTGCCGTTATTACAGAGGCGTTAGAAAGCCATGCAGCTCGCGCTTGTCTTTCTCAATTTTAGTAGGGTTTCAGAAGTAACGTTAGGCCCTTTTTTGGGGTTCCTGTGCTACGTTGTGGGCACGAAATTAGGTGGTGTTTTGCTGTTGCGGATGCGCGAAATGATGTGGATGTTTTGCCGTTGCGGATGCGATAGAAAGTTATGCAGCTCGTGCTTGTCTTTTTCAATGACATGATGTAGTGCTTGCCGTTGCGGATGCGTCAGAAAGCTATGCAGCTCGTGCATGCCTTTCTCAATTTTAGTAGGGTTTCAGAAGTAACGTTAGGCCCTTTTTTAAGGTTCCCGTGCTACGTTTTGGGCACGAAATTAGGTGGTATTTTGCTGTTGCGGATGCGCGAAATGATGTAGTATTTTGCCGTTGCGGATGCGTTAGAAAGCCATGCAGCTCGTGCTTGTCTTTCTCAATTTTAGTAGGGTTTCAGAAGTAACGTTAGGCCTCTTTGTGGGGTTCCTCTGCTACGTTGTGGGCACGAAATTGGTGGTGTTTTGCTGTTGCGGATGCGCGAAATGATGTGGATGTTTTGCCGTTGCGGATGCGTCAGAAAGCTATGCAGCTCGTGCTTGTTTTTCTCAATTTTAGTAGGGTTTCAGAAGAAACGTTAGGCCCCTTTGTGGGGTTCCTGTGCTCCGTTTTGTGCTACGTTGTGGGCACGAAATTAGGTGGTGTTTTGCTGTTGCGGATGCGCGATTAGGTGGTGTTTGCTCGTGCTTGTCTTTCTCAATTTTATTCTCAATTTTAGCAGGGTTTCAGAAGTAACGTTAGGCCCCTTTGTGGGGTTCCTGTGCTACGTTGTGGGCGCGAAATTAGGTGGTGTTTCGCTGTTGCGGATGCACGAAATGTGATGTATAGTGTTTTGCCGTTATTACAGAGGCGTTAGAAAGCCATGCAGCTCGTGCTTGTCTTTCTCAATTTTAGTAGGGTTTCAGAAGTAACGTTAGGCCCTTTTTTGGGGTTCCTGTGCTACGTTTTGGGCACGAAATTAGGTGGTGTTTTGCTGTTGCGGATGCGCGAAATGATGTAGTGTTTTGCCGTTACGTGCTGTTTTGCTGTCCATACCCCCTACCGTCCATACCCTCTTGGAATATTTTTAAAATATTCCGCTATAGTTGAATGTTGTTTTGGAAAAGTATTCTGATACGTTGCCCACGTATGGAATAATTTCCAGCAATTTTGCTTCCAAAAATATTCTGGCAACATGTCAACCTTTTGCTGGAAAATATTCCAGGTATATGCTGAGGGTATCTAAGCTGAACATAGCTGAACATGATGGTGTTTGGCACCATTCGTTCTGCACATGTTTGTGTCGCGCTGGGACAGATACATCATTTTTTCCCCAAGGGATGAAGCTTCAAAGGCGCCATCCCACACTGCATCCTACCCTACATATCCCTAAACTACATTAAACAACTTCAGAAATCTTTCTTGGGGAAATCCCTGTTCTCTCCTGATTTTTTTCCCAACCATTCATTTTTCACTCTATTTCGTCCATGTTCTTTTCATGACTTCCAAAGAACTCCCGATAGCATCCGATGGCCTTGCGTGGTAAGGGCTAAAAAGGGTAAGAAGCGCTTGGTTGTCACATGTTTTGTCGTGTTTTTTTTGAGGAGTTCCGGACATCTCCGCTACCCTTAGAATGCTTTCTCCTCTCAGGAAATCCCATATAAATGGCATTCAACCTGGCTCTCTCTTGGAAGTGCCCCCAAAATGTCCCAACCTTTCATGTTTCCCTCTATTTCTTCCATCTTCTTTTCAGCAAGAAGCATTTGGTTGTGATTGTTTTTTTCATGTTTTGTCCTGTTTCTGGGCTGGTTGGGTGGTTGTGGCAGCTACTTGTTTATTCGAAGGGTTCCGGACATCTCACATACCCCTAGAATAATTTCTTCCCCAGTGGAAACCTCACAGGATGGCATTCAACATGGCTCTTTCCGGGAAGTGGCCCCAAAATGTCCCAACCTTTCATGTTTCCCTCTATTTCTTCCATCTTCTTTTCAGCAAGAAGCATTTGGTTGAGATTGTCTTTTTCATGTTTTGTCCTGTTTCTGTGCTGGTTGGGTGGTTGTGGCAGCTACTTTTTTATTCGAAGGGTTCCGGACATCTCACATACCCCTAGAATAATTTCTTCCCTGGTGGAAATCCCACAGAATGGCATTCAACACGGCTCTTTCCTGGAAGTGCCCCCAAAATGTCCCAACCTTTCATGTTTCCCTCTATTTCTTCCATCTTCTTTTCAGCAAGAAGCATTTAGTTGTGATTGTTTTTTTCATGTTTTGTCCTGTTTCTGTGCTGGTTGGGTGGTTGTGGCAGCTACTTTTTTATTCGAAGGGTTCCGGACATCTCACATACCCCTAGAATAATTTCTTCCCTGGTGGAAATCCCACAGAATGGCATTCAACATGGCTCTTTCCTGGAAGTGCCCCCAAAATGTCCCAACCTTTCATGTTTTCCTCTATTTCTTCCATCTTCTTTTCAGCAAGAAGCATTTGGTTGTGATTGCTTGTTTTCATGTTTTGTCCTGTTTCTGTGCTGGTTGGGTGGTTGTGGCAGCTACTTTTTTATTCGAGGGGTTCCGGACATCTCACATACCCCTAGAATAATTTCTTCCCTGGTGGAAATCCCACAGAATGGCATTCAACATGGCTCTTTCCGGGAAGTGCCCCCAAAATGTCCCAACCTTTCATGTTTCCCTCTATTTCTTCCATTTTCTTTTCAGCAAGAAGCATTTGGTTGTGATTATTTTTGTCGTGTTTTGTCCTGTTTCTGTGCTGGTTGGGCGGTTGCAGCAGTTACTTTTTTATTCGAAGGGTTCCGGACATCTCACATACCCCTAGAATAATTTCTTCCCTGGTGGAAATCCCACAGAAGTTCGGCCGTCTTTTTTCCTAGGAAACTTTTGACAATGAGATGAGCAAGTCTCTTTGGAGATATTGTCTGCCTTGGTTTCTCCACAACGCATATGCGACACACTGAGCATGCTAAGGGCTGCATCAACACGGTTTCTCTTTGGAGGAAATGCTATGGCAAGGAAAACACATAATTGGGTTGCAACAGGCTAGCATGTTGGTTGTGCTTGAATCAGGCTACATTAAACACACGGATGCCCAAGTGGCTCGTCACACCTGAACTGCTAAGAGTCCAATCTGATCGCAAAAAAACTCATCAGGTTCCATCACCTCCATTGGTGTCAAAACATGTCACACGGCCAAAACTAATGCTGAAAGCCAAAAATTCCAGGTCCATCACGGTGCTCGAAACACGAATGATCCAAATGCCCCCGGGTCTTGCTTCTTGAAAATCTACTTCGCAGAAAACATATTGGAAACGCGACAACCAATGATGACAATCAAATGACATATGTCAGTAGCATTGCGGCCATAAGGGACAACGAATGATATCGTTCGAAACATGAAAGACGTAGGAATTCCTCCGTTGCAAAGCCGCCACAAGAAGGGAGACAAATGGAGAGCCAAGTGGGGAGACCCGTCGGAAAGAAAACTGACCCAGGGCGGTCATGGGAGTGGAGAGGGTGATAGGAAAGACGAGAAAACCTTCGTCCCAAAGTAGCCACAAGAAGGAAAGCAAAATACACAGCGCAGTGATGAGACAGACAAATGGTGAGATACAATTCCCTTTCCTGGGGCCAGTGTGAAGTACCAAGACCAGTGGAGACAACACAAATGGAGAAGTACAGACAGCGTAGAAACACATTGGGGACAATTTTGGGACCAAGGCAGCCAGTCCGAAGTGGGCGCCCCAGGCAACCACAAGAAGGAAGAATGGAGAGAAAAGTAGGGACGCAAGCAAGTGACAAATGGGAGACGATGCAAATCCTCCGCTTCAATTCCGTTTGGAGACGACGCAAAAGTTGGGCTCTCTGCACGGCAATATTGAATAAGATGCCTAACTGCATACAAACTGTTTGGAGAAGCACCCCACACTTCGCACTCCGCACTTCACACTCCACTCCACGCTTCACACTCCACACTTCCCACATTAGACTCCACACTCCACACTTCACACATTCGACTCGTGCCACTTCACAGTCTCCACTCCACACTTCACACTTCACACTCTCTACTCCACACTTCACACTCCACACTCCACACCACACTCCTCACTTCCCACATCACACTCCACACTCCACACTTCACACTCCAAACTTCAGACTCCACACTTCACGCTCCCCACTCCAGACTTCCCACATCACACTTCACACTTCACACTCTCCACTCCACACTCCGCACTTACACTCGCCACTCCACGCTTCACACTCTCCACTCCACACTCCACACCCTAAAGAAACCTGAAAGAAACCCTAAATAAACTCTGAAGAAACCTAAATGAAACCCTAACCCTAAAGAAACCCCAAATGAAACCTTCAAGAAACCCTTAAGACACCCTATTTCAATTACCTAACGTTCATTGATATATTGTTCTCGTTTATTGAAAATACCCGCGAAATCAGAAATCCGCATATCCTTACCATCTGGTTGTTTAACATAGCCATGGAAAAAATCACCATGCTATTACCATCTATTTCTATGGGGCATCTATAGCATGGCTATGTTAAATAACCAGATGGTAGAATATCAGGGCCAATCCAAATGGAAAATGGACCATCTCCATGAAATCTGCATTTTTCTTCATCCAATCGAGGCTGTGCAAATCAATGCCGAATCATCCCTTCATGGCCATCGGCTTCAACACGTCCAGGTTCTGTCCACTGAAAAATCCCCAATAGCTGGATGGTTTAATGGAATCCCGATGAACATGATGAACATTTGGATTTCTCGTGACTTTGAAAACCTCGATTAAAATATATTTAAGTTGCCCTCTGGTCATTTCACATGGCCATGGAAAATGACCCAAAGTATAGATGAGCAACAAAAGTCCACGGCCATTTTCCATGGCCGCAGGATATTACCATAGCCAGCTGCTCCGTGCGCTCCGGGCCTTTTCATGGAGCTGGTAAATCTTCTTGGCCACCAACCTATACCAGGTTGCTGCACAAGAACTTTGGTGATTAGGGCTTTGGACCTCACAAAACATCATCAAATGATATGTTACATGGATTGAAATGCTAAGACCTCTTTGAGAGGTGGCTTGACCATGACATTTTAGGGATTCCGCATTCTGAAGATTGGATGTCAATCCTACAACCTTCGTATCGGATCGCACTTGAATGTTCTTTTCTATCCATGTTGCCATTTTGCAAAGGTGAGCAATGCATAACTGCCATACCCTCCAATAACTGGGCTCAAAGCTTAGATGTGGCAGTCAGACAACCATTATCGGCTGTCCTGCGGCAAACAAACTCGGAGGCCGGACAAACATTCCAAGACAACATTGAATAGCATTTTCCATCTGGTCATCTCTATTGTTCTAAGTCTCATAGAATTGGATGATGGGACAATTTACAGGAAACCCATATATTTCATGGTAAAAACCCTGGTCTCCGGTTAAGATTTTCCCAAGAAAACCAATCCATTGAACACGCAACAGCCGAAGAGTTCCCCAGGAGCCGAACTTCCCGGGGTCCATGGCTCCAACACAGGCATCACTGCAATCGCTTGCATCAAGGCCGGAAGCTTACGTGCCTCGCGGGCAGACTACCGTGATCCCATGGAATACGGGTGGAAACCACATATTTCGGTTATTACATATATTAGGGTTGCATATCATATTAATGACACATATGATCAGCTCATTCTCTTTACCATTGGGATATTATGGCTTTTGATTATCCCACCATTATTGGTACATGCCATAATATGGCGTATGTATATATAATTATATATATATAATTATATATATATATAAAAGATGGGGATCCTTGATCCAGTACCATTTCCCTTTCCCATGGAGGTATCACATCCCACTCTTGCCTTCGCCACTGCATCCAGAGCAGTCTTAACAGCTGCCATGACCTGTGATTTGCTTATGGAACCACCAAAAAATAAGACATATTCCCTATATTCCCTATATTCCCTATAGATTCCTCAAGTAGTGAAAACAAACCTCAGCAAGTAAATCTAAGGACATGGGCAAAACATCAGAATCGCATTTTTCAGAAATTGACCACATCACATACCCCGGATTACGACACGTTCATGGTTTGATAAGAGAAGTGATGATGGCGAGCTGTCAGCGGCAGTGGTTTGTCAATGGGGGAGACCCCTTTTCATCAATTTTCATACAGAACATACAGATAATCTTCATAATCTATTGGAATTGGGGATAGCACAAAATATATCAAAATATCCATAAATATCCTATTCTCAGACAAACCATACGAAATTCTTGAAGCTAGCCCTGGCCTTGGGGTCTTTGCAAAGAGCATCATCATCTTTCCCGGTGACCTCAAAAAGTCAGCCATCAGCAACTCTCGAAGTTATCGCGCCATGCTGGGTTCACCAACGCCATTCGCAGCAGCCAAAGCTAAGAGCTCCTTCTTCTTGCCTTGGGGCTTCGATAGTGATGTGGATGACATCTGACATAAGATAGATATATGACTCATATGACTATTCAATTAATTAAAGGGGTTATATCATGTTATATCACAACTGATGGAGAGCTTATCGCCATCATGTTATATCCATTTGTAACCTCAACCGCCAAGAAGCTTTGCCCCCTTGCAGACCCTTTAATGCACCCTGACAGCAACGATGCGCAGCCAAGTTGCACTGAGCAAGCAGGACGGGCCGATCGATTTCATGGCTTGCAAAAGAGCACACACCTGCAAAGGAGGTGTCTTTAAAAAGCACGACAAAACCAGGCATCTGGAGCTGCTCCGGGCAACTGGGCAACTGGTGAAAACATCATTTTTCTTGGATCGACGCAAGAAATCGGTCTAGGTCTCATGAATTTTGGGCTGATCGGCGCTGATTGGCGCTCGGCCATGCTTTCAAGCTATGATCACCCTGACCTCCAGCATCCGCGTTGATGAGTTCATGATTGTTGTAGGTCACATTGATCAGCTCCAAGGCAACGTATTCGCCACCTTTCAGCTTCACCTGGAAACACGGAAAGCCACGGAAAGCGAATCGAGGGGTAGTGAAGATTCCAAAGTTACTCATGTTATGGCTATATTGTAGTACAACCATGGGATAGATATATAGAATCTTATAGAATTATATAGATAGATATATTGGATAAATATATGGTATATAGTTGGCAGCGGCTGAGACTGCAACAAGATTCTTCTTGCGATCGATGATCTTGACTTTTCCTCCAAGAGTGAACAGCATGTCACTGATTCGCTGCACGGCACTTGGGTGTAAAAGAAAAAATGGGGTGAATGGTGATACCCCACAAGGACAACTTTTCGTATACGGAAATCAACATAAAGTATATGACGTACCCCATAGGATCCATGTATGCTATATATGCTAACATAAAGGGGGTATATTGATGGGATCCATGTTACCATATATAGCAGCACCATGGATCCGTCATGGGTACTATGACACAGCATCTTTATTATCAAACTTCGGGGTCATCGGTACCACACCTTCGGGCGTGATCAGCCCGATGTCTCCAGAGTGGAACCTCAACACCGCGGCCCGTTACGGCCCGTTGAAACAGCGAAAGGGCTCAACGTCCAAGGCCCGGTGCCAGCCGTCTTTGTCGAAGTCTGCTGCCTCGTTGGATCTATGGAAAAAAAACATGATGCAAAAACACACATCATTTTAAAACATACATAAAACACACAAAATTTGATCAACATGTTGATCAACATTTGAAACACACATCAGAAAAATTGGCAAAACCAAAGCCATCGTTTCTTCAGCTCTCATCGCCAAGCTGCTGTCTGCTCTGGCAGCTTGTAATAGCCAGAACCGATGGAATTAACTGACCGCAGGGAGTTTTACCAAGTACTATCCACAGCACTCTCCAAAGTTGTTCATTGCTCCTTTTCCTTCTTCATGTTGCAAGCAAGCCCTCTTCAACCATTTTTTCTGTGTTATCTGTCTGTGTTCTTTCTTTGTCTCGCTGCTTCCTCCAACTTCCAATTCTGGTGCCTCCTCTCATCCAAATTTCTCCCCGACCGCAGCAGGCGGAGCCATCTGAATGCACCTACCAAGAAGCTTCATCAGCTACCGGGATTTTGCTGAATCCATGCGCAGCGATGAACTATCCATCAATAGCACATTTTGGTGCACGACCATCCAGGCATCATCCGAGCGATTTAAACAGTGCTCAAAACGAGTATATACTTTTTTTGTCGGTGCCGGTTGCCGGCCAGTGCCGGCCGGTGCCGGGCCGTACTTCTAGGGAAGGTGCACCCGGTGGCCGGCCGGTGCCGGTTGCCGGCCGGTGCCGGTGGCCGCCCGTTGCCGGTTGCCGGCCGGTGCCGGTGGCCGGCCGGTGCCGGTTGCCGGCCGGTGCCTGCCGGTGCCGGGCCGTACGTCTAGGGAAGGTGCACCCGGTGGCCGGCCGGTGCCGGTTGCCGGCCGGTGCCGGTAGCCGGCCGGTGCCGGTTGCCGGCCGGTGCCGGCCTGTTCCAGGCCTATACCGCGTGACCGGCCCAGGCCGGTTGCTGGCCGGTGCCGGTGGCCATAAAAGGTGCGCCGCTCGGCCGGTGCCGGTTGCCGGCCGGTGCCGGTTGGGAAATTAAGTAATTAGGAAACTTCCAAATAATAAGGGGCGGTAGCCATGTTTAACATGGACATGTCAACCGCATCATCATGTCAACCCCCACCCTGGAATAGTTGAAGAATGAAAAAACCTGGCAGCGTTTGAATTTGCCGGGTGAAAACAGTGTCGGGCGCGAAACTTTGTATTTTTATAGGTGGCTCTTAGGGGCGCGAAAATAGGGTCTGTGGTTCCGCTGTTGCGGGCCTCGATCGGGGAAATCTGTCGAAAAAAATGCGTGCCAGAAAGAAACCGTCAAGAAACCAGCAAGAAACTTAAAAGAAACCGTGCAAGAAAACCAAAAGAAACCCGCAAAGAAATTGTAAGAGAAACGCATCAAGACACCGTGAAACAAACGCGCGAGAAACATGGAAAGACACCTGAAGGAAATCTTGGAAAAACTTTGAACATGCAATGAACCATCAAGAAATTCAAAGGAAACCTTGAAGAAACCCTTGGTGAACAGGTCAACGTCGGATTGTGAAACTTGGCGATCGGATTGCGAAATGTGGAGAGTGGATTCTGAAACTTGGATTGTGACACTTGGAGGTTGTATTCTGAAACTTGCAGGTCGTATTGTGAAATTTGCATTGTGAAACTGGGAAATCGTATTGTGAAACTCTGCAGGGGGGATTGTCCCTGAGGATCCATGCGCATAAATAGGGTCAAATCGGAAATGCATGCAAATAATGAAGTCATTTCTGATGATCGCAAATAGCGCACGCATTGTCGAAATGTAAAAGTCGGAGATTGCATGTTATCGGAGAAAGGTTCATATTGGCTTCAAATTGCCTAACATGTTGCGTGACAAACCGTGACAAACCGTGACGAACCGTGACAGAAGACAAAAAACTATACTTAAATCTTGTGCATTGTCGGAAAACGCCGTGACAGACCGTGACAAACCGTGACTAGGTCAGCGGCTATTCCCCATAGACTGTCGGAATTGATCGGAAATCAATCGGAAAATCAACTGTCGGAAATGCATGCAAAAATCATGGTCAGACCGCAAATAGCATGGTCGGACGCTCTGAGAGCGTGCATACCCAAATGCATGCAAATAGTCCATACTTTGGATCCTCGGGGTGTGAAACTTTAACACCAGATTGTGAAACTCTGAAGAGGGATTTTGAAACCCAGAAATCAGATCATGAAACTCCCTGCTGGGATTCTGAAAGTCCATGCAGGATAAGCTCATATCATGTAGAAAACAGCAGAAAGTATCAATCCGATCTCCAAGTGCCACAGGCCGACGTTGACACTTGCATGCCATGTCAAAGTTGAAAAAGCAAACCCTATTGTACACACTCAAGGTCAATTTCAATTTTGGTGGGGGTGGGAATTTTGATATCTTCTTTGTTACCATTGTACACACTCAAAATTAAATTCAAATGCCATGGGGTGGGAATTTGTATATCTTTTTCATTGCCATTGTACACATTCAAGGTCAATAGGGTCGGGAATTTTGATATCTTCTAACCATCGTACACACTCAAGGTGAATTTGACGTTCCATGGGCGTGGTAATTCTGTTATCTTCATACCGTTTTACACATTCAAAGGTGAATTTGCAGTTCCATGGGGGTGGGAATTTTGATATCTTCCTATCATTGTACATGGGAATTTTGATATCTTCTGAACATTGCACACACTCTCAAAGGTCAATTTGAAGTTCCATGGGTGTGATTTTTTTCATATCTTCCTCCGACCATTGTACACACTTAAAGGTTTATCTGAAGTTCCACGGGGCGGGATTTTTGATATCTTCTGAACATTGCACACACTCTCAAAGGTCAATTTGAAGTTCCATGGGTGTGATTTTTTTCATATCTTCTTCCGACTATTGTACACACTCAAAGGTTTATCTGAAGTTCCACGGGGCGGGATTTTTGATATCTTCTTACCATTGTACACATTCAAGGTCAATTTGAAATTACATGGGGGTGGGATTTGGATATCTTCTTACCCTTGTACACATTCAAGGTCAATTTGAAGTTCATGGGGTTTCCCAAGGGTCGGCATGCGATCATAGGGAGGGTGTGCGGAGTTGCGCAATCCGGAGACCCGCGTTGCACAAGCGGAGTTGCATAGTACGGGAAGTTGCGTATTTACAATCGGGTTGGTACAGAATTGCAGTTGGACATACAATGAATTCGAAAGGGGCAAGGAGTTCAGTGAATGTTGAATGTGATGTTGTACGGGCTTAGGTGGAAGTAACCTCTAGAAGCAATTGAAATGGTTCGTGAACGTCTTCAAAGTAGTGTTGCGTTTCGCAGAAGCTGTTGCAATTTCGGAGAAGCTGGCCTAACTTTTGGCATTTTCAACAAACAGATTGAATACAACATCAAAAAGAAGTGACAGCGGATCTAGCTGCAACATGGCAGATGTGGGAATCGGGCAACTCAAGAGAATGAAAACATTATATATATATTGTGTGTTTCTCAATAGAAACCAACAGACAAGTTCTAATGTCTTAGGCAAGACAAAAAAAATAGCTCTTAAATTCCAAAAGAAGTTATATTTCCTAAGTTACTTAAAAGATATTTTGGTTGGTTTTTTGGTTAACTCAAAAAACTTACAAAACTTAACTATCTAGTTTATCTTTGGTAAATACTTACAACTACCGTAAAATAAGATAAAAACTTAGCTTAATTAGCTTAACTTACACTAGGTTGTAAATACTTTACAACTAGGTTGCATGTTACTTGCAAATGCTTTAGACCAAAAACATCCACCAAGTATAGCTTGTTTCCATAGCGGGTGGCCCGCGTTGCATGCCGAAAGGGTGCCGGCCGGTGGCCGGCCGCTGGCCGTGCGGTTGCCGGCCGCTGGCCGGCCGGTTGCCGGCCGCTGGCCGGCTCGTTGCCGGCCGGCCGGTGCGGGTTGCCGGCCGGTGCCGGCCGGCTGCCGGGGAAAACCAAAAATTGATAAAAATTGTAAATTATGCTCAAAACCTATCATTGGTTGGTTTATAGGGATTCCCAGGTCCCAGGTCATGAATTACTGATGATGATGATGACAATGATGATGATGATGATGATGATGCTGGTGATGATGATGATGATGGTGATGATGATGCTGGTGATGATGATGATGATGGTGATGATGGTGATGATGTCAATCCCCAATTTCCTGTCGAATCCCCGGGGAAAAGAACGTTGGCCCAGGCCTTGTCTGTACAAAGGTAGGGCTTGCCATCGTTGTCGGTGATATCTGGTCTGGTTTCTCCATCAATGTGGGGATGGAGCCCCCAACGGCTATGAAAAAACATAGGCAAAATATTGGCAAAATGGATCAACATGGTATAACATATTGATCAATGATATACTGGGTCAGGCATCTGAAACATTTCATTTGACACTGCCGGAAATTGAGTCTGGCCTGGGATCTGATGGATCTGAGGTGCCCGTACTCTGAGTGAAGTGTCAGTTCGACGGAGGACAGGACGGATCCAACGAATCCAACGGATGGATCTGCCAGCGGCTTTTGAAGCCTGGCAGTCAGGCGCTTCTCAGGCGGTTCTCCCGCAGTCACCCGCTGCTGTTGGAAAACCACGATATGTTCACGGCAAAACAAGGCGGAGCGGACACAGCGCCACCGCAGGTCTCTGTAAGGCCTGATGGCTGCAGATGGGGGGCAGGCAGGATCTGCCTTGCCTCTTCCCACATGATAGTGAAAAAACATAGAGCAACACACAAATAGATCACTTGGAAACCCGGAAATTGGGGAGCTCAAATTCGGAGCTCAAATTCAATGACAACGACTTGGCAGAACTTTTCTATTGGCTCGCATCCCTAAGCATCCAACCTTGAATGAGAGGACAGCCAAAGGCTGTCCGCACCCATTCCTGACACTCGAGGAAAGCGCTACGAAATCCCTCAGCAGTGGGATGATTTTCCCCAACCTGAACATCAAGGGAGATGGCACCACCGCCAGATAATGTGAACTTCATACATCCACCAAGCCTCAATAAGGCTGCGCTGTCACCGGGTAACAAGGGGGCACTGAGAGGAGCTCTTTGCATGTCTTTGCGTAGCAAGCTTGGTGTTTCTCAAGCTTGGGGGACCCCAAAACCATGGGTTTCCCATGGTTTACCAATGAAAAAAAACGTGTTGGATCGTATAACATGTTATCTCTGTAAGATTATCTCCCTATTTCCTCCCTAAATATCGTGATTGCTACTACCTCCCTATGTTCTTGTATGTTCTTACATGTTTGTACTGTCTAGCTTTCATTGTTCCCTATTTTTTTTGGTTACTTTCTCCTTCCTATTTCGTCCATTGGTGGAACTTCTCAGATGGGAAGCCAGGCTGCACCATTGGTCTCTGAGGTTTCTGAGATCTCAACATGGACTCGAACTTCTTGAACACCTTGCCAAGCGGACTATTCAGCTCGCTGCAGCGCTTGAACCATTCGCCCTCTTCGAACACAAGGTGGTACCCCCCTAGTTATAAGTTAAGTGATATTAAGTGTATAAACCCATCTACAAGCAAGTCACAACAGAATCACCATGAACCCTAGCTAAACTAGTACCAACTTAGTTGTGGGCACTACCCTCTAAGAAGCCAAGAAATTCCATCACTTTCTTCACCTTCCCGAGCTCGCGACCAACAGGTCGAACAGCGGTGTGTAGAGGTTCTGCCGCACCGCGGATTTCTTGATCCGCATCGCCAGCTTGAAGAGAAATGCCACCCTTGGAGCTTGATGGGCATCACCATCATCAGCATCATCCTAATGATGGATAGTTATAGCAAACCATACCAACACTAATTCAACAATAATTCAACAATAATTCAGCAATAATTCATCATCGGATCATCATCATCATCATCATCATCAGCATCATCATCATTCACCTGAAGTGCATCTGTCATCTTGCGCCTCGCATGTGCCCTTAGGCTGGGGCACAGGTCCACTCTTCTCAACTTTCGTCTCTGCACCTTCAGCTGGGGCAAGTAGCTTCACCATAAGGATTCTCATCATGGGATAAATGACAGTAAACCATATAATACCATGTTTCTACCATGGCACGTATGGTCTCTAAACTCTTCACCCTTGTGATTTTGTCAAGGCATAGCCGGTGGCACAGGCTATCACATCTCAGCCACACTAGCTGATTAGACAATGAGAATAAGTGAGCCCTTGTGATTCATGACAAATTACTATAAAATGCACCCTTCCAACCTTATCATAGCTGCGAGTAGCCACTATAGATAGGTTTTCAGTTGCTCATTTCAAGAGTTTCATGAAAAGGTGGAAGGACATTAAAACCCAAGATTTCTAGGTGAGATCCCTATCTTTCCTGGTTACCCTAGGGTAAACGTTTGCATAGATGTGGAGTTTACCCACTAAAAGATACTAAAACGTAGATCGTTTTCCGTTCCCGGGAATCCCCATGGCTTTTCTGCATCCATGTCACTTATGGAACCCGTTCCCGGGTACCCTCTGGTAATGACTAACAGTTTGCTATTGAAAATGACCATAGTCATATAATGTCATATAGTTTTATATTTACCGCTCAAAAATGAATAAAATTCCATAGCTTTTTGTATGTTTACCAAAGGGTGACTGAACGTGATCAGCTGAATAGCGCGCCTGTAGAGATTTGAGTCGGCTGGCAATTTGGCTGTAAGTATCCCAAGTGCCACTTGCGCCAGCAGCACAAACGGTAACGGCAACAACGCTCACTCTGCATGGTGTCTTTGCACGACATGCCTTCGGTAGAGCTGCACGACAACTCCTGGGCAGGATTGTCATCATTTCGTTTGCAGCAGCCTGGCGTTGGAGCGCTGCAACATTTCTTTGTGATACATAAGTCTTTCTATGTCTTTCTAACTCCAAGGGTCGGCAGCATTACCCAGTTGCAGCAAACCAGTTGCGCATCAGAGACCCTTAAAGGACGGAATGGGCAAACCAACCCATGATGGGCAGCTGCTGCCTCTGACAGGGGGCAAAGCTCGGCCAAGGTCTGACCCACAGAACCAGGTATCTTCCAAGCCGTGACGGACAGCCCATGCGATCACATATTCTAAACATTCCGAATTTCTTGAGAAGCTTTAGCAGCAAAATTGGGTTGACGCGGATTCGATTGCAAACTTGAAAGCATGAGCACAACTACGAGTAGGAGGCAGTCTACGTAGGGCCAAACATCCACAAACAAGAATTGCGCAACCTCTTGGAAAAGTATAACGAGGAATGCATGCGAACAAGCCTGCCAGCATTACCTTTCCTGAAGCCTGCCAGCATTCCTTTCCTACCTCTGTTAGGCTTGAATGCGCAAACACAGCATGGATAAGAGACACGTCCTCCCAGCTTTGCAGGGATTTAAGCCAAGCTGATTGCATCTGAAAAACCGATGAGGCTCGGAGGCTAGGTTTCAAGCATGCAGATATACTGCGTTTGAGGCAAACAGGTTGCCAACTGCCTCCGCCCATGAGTTTGCATGTTACATCTCTCACAGGTTCCTGATATTTGACGCCAATGATTGGATAGAGAATTGTGTGACTCGTGAGTTGTCCGGAACAGCCATTCTACTTGATGTTGACAGGAGAAAGAAAATAACTCGAAGCATCGGATCAAAAATCATCTCCGAAGACCGGAGTGACATTACAGAAGTGGTCAACGCACCAGAAAACGAGGCGGGGTCAAACCTCCCATCTGCCAAACATCCACTGGGAACTGGGCAAGTTCCAACAATCAAATCAAAGCCTATTCGGAAGCCAGCGCGATCCTAGGTGCAGAGAAAGCCTGGCACCTCGCTCCTATCGCATCTCTATACTAGGCTTTCCAGGTACGTGAAAGAACGGGGTTGAGCGAAGGACCATTGCGACCGCAGCCGTTCTTTGTGATCTACAGGTGGGATCTGATCAAAACCCCTGCGCCCCAAGCAGCTGACCCGTTGCAGCCAGCTGAAACTCTGAGAAGTGGTTTATTGAACCGCCAATTCGAAGAAGCAGCTGCCATCAACAGGGACGTCTCAAAGGACAATTGAAGATGGTGCAGCTGCAAAGGCCTTAGCATGTTGCAGTTGATTAAACAGCGCGATCCTACGAGTAGGTGCAGAAAAAGCCTGGCACCTCGCTCCTATCGCATCTCTAAATCGAAGACACGTGGCTTGGGCCACCTCCAAAATTCAAAGGATTCCCTTATACCAAAGGTGGACATGCTGGTCCATGATGTACTTGCTGAACTTCTGTCCACGCAATCGGGGGGCGCAAGGCTTTAGGCAAGGCCAATGGGCCTGACAATCTCCAAACATTGCAAACATGTGCGTATTTCTCAAGACTTCTGCATGTTACATGTCTCACAGGTTCCTGATATTTGACGCCAATGATTGGATAGAGAATTGCATGACTCGTGAGTTGTCCGGAACTGGAATGTCCATGGCCGAGGGCACCTTTTCAGCGTGTGGGATTTGCCAATAACCATTCCAATTCGAAGAAGCAGCTGACATCAACAGGGACGTCTCAAAGGACAATTGAAGATGGTGCAGCTGCAAAGGCCTTAGCATGTTGCAGTTGATTAAACAGCGCGATCCTACGAGTAGGTGCAGAAAAAGCCTGGCACCTCGCTCCTATCGCATCTCTAAATCGAAGACACGTGGCTTGGGCCACCTCCAAAATTCAAAGGATTCCCTTATACCAAAGGTGGACATGCTGGTACATGATGTACTTGCTGAACTTCTGTCCACGCAATCGGGGGGCGCAAGGCTTTAGGCAAGGCCAATGGGCCTGACAATCTCCAAACATTGCAAACATGTGCGTATTTCTCAAGACTTCTGCATGTTACATGTCTCACAGGTTCCTGATATTTGACGCCAATGATTGGATAGAGAATTGCATGACTCGTGAGTTGTCCGGAACTGGAATGTCCATGGACGAGGGCACCTTTTCAGCGTGTGGGATTTGCCAATAACCATTCCAATTCGAAGAAGCAGCTGCCATCAACAGGGACGTCTCAAAGGACAATTGTAGATGGCGCAACATGCTCATTTGGTGTACCATGATGTACTCGCTAAACTTCTGTCCAAGGAATCGTGGGACGTTAGGGAATCAAATGATGCTGGGTCGGCCAATGGGCCAACAATCCCCAAACATTGCAAACATGTGCGTATTTCTCAAGACTTCTTGGTTTCTGTCGGTCTTGCTAAATGGGGTCTTGCACGGCTTGGCAGCCCCTCAATTTGATACCCTCAAGATCAAACAAACCCCCTGGTCCGACATTGTAGAACCCCGGATCTGGGGTCTAAAATCGTTTTCCATTAAAAAACCCAAGGTTTCCCAATTTGTGAACGGAGACCATTCTAGAACCCCAAAGTATAGGGAGGGATAAGAGACACGTCCTCCCAGCTTTGCAGGGATTTAAGCCAAGCTGATTGCATCTGAAGAACCGATGAGCCTCGGAGGCTAGCTTTCAAGCATGCAGAGATACTGCGTTTGAGGCAAACAGGTTGCCAACTGCCTCCGCCCATGAGTTTGCATGTTACATGTCTCACAGGTTCCTGATATTTGACGCCAATGATTGGATAGAGAATTGCATGACTCGTGAGTTGTCCGGAACTGGAATGTCCATGGCCGAGGGCACCTTTTCAGCGTGTGGGATTTGCCAATAACCATTCCAATTCGAAGAAGCAGCTGCCATCAACAGGGACGTCTCAAAGGACAATTGAAGATGGTGCAACATGTGCAGCTGCAAAGGCCTTAGCCAAATCCCTGAACATTTGCGTTGGCTTGCCTGTTCGGAAGGACCAGTCAAATAGTCAGCGTTGAGCCGGGCGGCTGTGACTTGACAAGGCCGCAGGCAACCGCTTTCATCCAAAGGTGACGGCGCGCCAAAATTATCCAATTTTCCGCAAGAAATGTGCTCGGCGACAGCTCAAGGCTGGATTCTTTTCACACCCTTTCACCAAGATTTTTGACGTGGCGCATTTTTCTCTGCCATATATTTATATATTTGTCCCAATCATTTCAGCTGCTCATTTGGTGTACCATGATGTACTTGCTGAACTTCTGTCCAAGAATCGTGGGGCGTTAGGGAATCAAATGATGCTGGGTCGGCCAATGGGCCAACAATCCCCAAACATTGCAAACATGTGCGTATCTCTCAAGACTTCTTGGTTTCTGTCGGTCTTGCTAAATGGGGTCTTACACGGCTTGGCAGCCCCTCAATTTGCGTGTTTTCGGGAAGCAATCTAGCACTGAGCCTCGGAGGCTAGCTTTCAAGCATGCAGAGATACTGCGTTTGAGGCAAACAGGTTGCCAACTGCCTCCGCCCATGAGTTTGCATGTTACATGTCTCACAGGTTCCTGATATTTGACGCCAATGGTTGGATAGAGAACTGCATGACTCGTGAGTTGTCCGGAACTGGAATGTCCATGGCCGAGGGCACCTTTTCAGCGTGTGGGATTTGCCAATAACCATTCCAATTCGAAGAAGCAGCTGCCATCAACAGGGACGTCTCAAAGGACAATTGAAGATGGTGCAACATGTGCAGCTGCAAAAGCCTTAGCATGTTGCAGTTGATTTACCAGCGCGATCACATCTCTAAATCGAAGACACGTGGCTTGGGCCACCTCCAAAATTCAAAGGATTCCCTTATACCAAAGGTGGACATGCTGGTACCATGATGTACTTGCTGAACTTCTGTCCACAGAATCGGGGGGCGCAAGGCTTTAGGCAAGGCCAATGGGCCTGACAATCTCCAAACATTGCAAACATGTGCGTATTTCTCAAGACTTCTGCATGTTACATGTCTCACAGGTTCCTGATATTTGACGCCAATGATTGGATAGAGAATTGCATGACTCGTGAGTTGTCCGGAACTGGAATGTCCATGGACGAGGGCACCTTTTCAGCGTGTGGGATTTGCCAATAACCATTCCAATTCGAAGAAGCAGCTGCCATCAACAGGGACGTCTCAAAGGACAATTGTAGATGGCGCAACATGCTCATTTGGTGTACCATGATGTACTCGCTAAACTTCTGTCCAAGGAATCGTGGGACGTTAGGGAATCAAATGATGCTGGGTCGGCCAATGGGCCGACAATCCCCAAACATTGCAAACATGTGCGTATTTCTCAAAACTTCTTGGTTTCTGTCGGTCTTGCTAAATGGGGTCTTGCACGGCTTGGCAGCCCCTCAATTTGATACCCTCAAGATCAAACAAACCCCCTGGTCCGACATTTTAGAACCCCGGATCTGGGGTCTAAAATCGTTTTCCATTAAAAAACCCAAGGTTTCCCAATTTGTGAACGGAGACCATTCTAGAACCCCAAAGTGTAGGGAGGGATAAGAGACACGTCCTCCCAGCTTTGCAGGGATTTAAGCCAAGCTGATTGCATCTGAAGAACCGATGAGCCTCGGAGGCTAGCTTTCAAGCATGCAGAAAAATGCGTTTGAGGCAAACAGGTTGCCAACTGCCTCCGCCCATGAGTTTGCATGTTACATGTCTCACAGGTTCCTGATATTTGACGCCAATGGTTGGATAGAGAATTGCGTGACTCGTGAGTTGTCCAGAACTGGAATGTCCATGGCCGAGGGCACCTTTTCAGCGTGTGGGATTTGCCAATAACCATTCCAATTCGAAGAAGCAGCTGCCATCAACAGGGACGTCTCACAGGACAATTGAAGATTCAAGATGGTGCAACATGTGCAGCTGCAAAGGCCTCAGCCAAATCCCTGAACATTTGCGTTGGCTTGCCTGTTCGGAAGGACCAGTCAAATAGTCAGCGTTGAGCCGGGCGGCTGTGACTTGACAAGGCCGCAGGCAACCGCTTTCATCCAAAGGTGACGGCGCGCCAAAATTATCCAATTTTCCGCAAGAAATGTGCTCGGCGACAGCTCAAGGCTGGATTCTTTTCACACCCTTTCACCAAGATTTTTGACGTGGCGCATTTTTCTCTGCCATATATTTATATATTTGTCCCAATCATTTCAGCTGCTCATTTGGTGTACCATGATGTACTTGCTGAACTTCTGTCCAAGAATCGTGGGGCGTTAGGGAATCAAATGATGCTGGGTCGGCCAATGGGCCAACAATCCCCAAACATTGCAAACATGTGCGTATCTCTCAAGACTTCTTGGTTTCTGTCGGTCTTGCTAAATGGGGTCTTACACGGCTTGGCAGCCCCTCAATTTGCGTGTTTTCGGGAAGCAATCTAGCACTGAGCCTCGGAGGCTAGCTTTCAAGCATGCAGAGATACTGCGTTTGAGGCAAACAGGTTGCCAACTGCCTCCGCCCATGAGTTTGCATGTTACATGTCTCACAGGTTCCTGATATTTGACGCCAATGATTGGATCCAGAACTGCGTGACTCGTGAGTTGTCCGGAACTGGAATGTCCATGGCCGAGGGCACCTTTTCAGCGTGTGGGATTTGCCAATAACCATTCCAATTCGAAGAAGCAGCTGCCATCAACAGGGACGTCTCAAAGGACAATTGAAGATGGTGCAACATGTGCAGCTGCAAAGGCCTTAGCATGTTGCAGTTGATTTACCAGCGCGATCCTACGAGTAAAGATGCGAAGCAAAAGCGTCGCGGCTTCAAGAGAGAGGGCTGCATCAACACGGTTTCTCTTTGGAGGAATTGTAATGGCAAGGAAAACACATAATTGGGTTTCAACAGGCTAGCATGTTGGATGCAAAACATGGCTCGTCTTCCGCCTCGTCTTGTGCCTGAATCAGGCTACATAAAGCACACGGATGCCCAAGTGGCTCATCACACCTGAACTGCTACGAGTCCAATCTGATCGCAAAAAAACTCATCAGGTTCCATCGCCTCCATCAGTGTCAAAACGTGTCACACGGCCAAAAATAATGCTGAAAGCCAAAACTTCCAGGTCCACCACGGTGCTCGAAACACGAATGATCCAAATGCCCCCGGGTCTTGCTTCTTGAAAATTTACTTCGCAGAAAACATATTGGAAACGCGACAACCAATGATGACAATCAAATGACATATCAGTAGCATTGCGGCCATAAGGGACAACGAATGATATCGTTCGAAACATGAAAGACGTAGGAATTCCTCCGTCGCAAAGCCGCCACACGAAGGGAGACAAATGGAGAGCCAAGTGGGGAGACCTGTTGGAAGAAAACAGACCCAGGGCGGTCATGGGAGTGGAGAGGGGGATAGGACGGATAGGAAAGACGAGAAAACCTTCGTCCCAAAGTAGCCACAAGAAGGAAAGCAAAATACACAGCGCAGTGATGAGACAGACAAATGGTGAGATACAATTCCCTTTCCTGGGGCCAGTGTGAAGTACCAAGACCAGTGGAGACAACACAAATGGAGAAGTACAGACAGCGTAGAAACACATTGGGGGCAACTTTGGGACCAAGGCAGCCAGTCCGAAGTGGGCGCCCCAGGCAACCACAAGAAGGAAGAGCAAGTGACAAATGGGAGACGATGCAAGTCCTCCGCTTCAATTCCGTTTGTATACGATGCAAAAGTTGGGCTCTCTGCACGGGAATATTGAATAAGATGCCTAACTGCATACAAACTGTTTGGAGAAGCAACCCACACTTCGCACTCCGCACTTCACACTCTCCACTCCACGCTTCACACTCCACACTTCCCACATCACACTCCACACTTCACACATTCGACTCGTGCCACTTCACAGTCTCCACTCCACACTTCACTCTCCACTCCACGCTTCACACTCCACACTCCACACCACACTCCTCCATCCAACATCACACTCCACACTTCACACTCCAAACTTCAGACTCCACACTTCACGCCCCCCACTCCACACTTCCCACATCACACTTCACACTGTCCACTCCACACTTCACACTCCTCACTCCACAATGCACACTCTCCACTTCACACTCCACACTTCAAACTCCACACTTCACACCTCGCAATCACTGCGCAATCACACCCCAGACTCCACACTCCACACTTCACAATCTCCACTCCACACTCCACACTTACACTCTCCACTCCACGCTTCACACTCTCCACTTCACACTCCACACCCTAAAGAAACCCCAAATGAAACCCTAAAGAAACCTTAAAACCCTAACTAAAGAAACCTGAAAGAAACCCTAAATAAACTCTGAAGAAACCTAAATGAAACCCTAACCCTAAAGAAACCCTAAAGGAAACCTTCAAGAAACCCTTAAGACACCCTATTTCAATTACCTAACGTTCATTGATATGTTGTTCTCGTTTATTCTTGAAAATACCCGCGAAATCAAAAACCCGCATATCCTTACCATCTGGTTGTTTAACATAGCCATGGAAAATCACCATGCTATTACCATCTATTTCTATGGGCCATCTATACCATGGCTATGTTAAATAACCAGATGGTAGAATATCAGGACCAATCCAAATGGACCATCTCCATGAAATCTGCATTTTTCTTCATCCAATCGAGGCTGTGCAAATCAATGCCGAATCATCCCTTCATGGCCATCGGCTTCAACACGTCCAGGTCCTGTCTGAAAAATCCCCAATAGCTGGATGGTTGAATGGAAAAGACCGATGAACATGATGAACATTTGGATTTCTCGTGGCTTTGAAAAGCTCGATGAAAATCTATTTAAGTTGCCCTCTGGTCATTTCACATGGCCATGGAAAATGACCCAAAGTATAGATGAGCAACAAAAGTCCACGGCCACTTTCCATGGCCGCAGGATATTACCATAGCCAGCTGCTCCGTGCGCTGCTCCGGGCCTTTTCACGGAGCTGGTAAATCTTCTTGGCCACCAACCTATACCAGGTTGCTGCACGAGAACTTTGGTGATTAGGGCTTTGGACCTCACAAAACATCATCAAATGATATGTTACATGGATTGAAATGCTAAGACTTCTTTGAGAGGTGGCTTGGCCATGACATTTTAGGGATTCCGCATTCTGAAGATTGGATGTCAATCCTACAACCTTCGTATCGGATCGCATTTGAATGTTCTTTGCTATCCATGTTGCCATTTTGCAAAGGTGAGCAATGCATAACTGCCATACCCTCCAATAACTGGGATCAAAGCTTAGATGTGGCAGTCAGACAACCATTATCGGCTGTCCTGTGGCAAACAAACTCGGGGGCCGGACAAAAATTCCAAGACAACATTGAATAGCATTTTCCATCTGGTCATCTCTATTGTTCTAAGTCTCATAGAATTGGATGATGGGAAAATTTACAGGAAACCCATATATTTCATGGTAAAAACCTTGGTCTCCGGTTAAGATTTTCCCAAGAAAACCCATTGAACACGCAGCCGAAGAGTTCCCCAGGAGCCGAACTTCCCGGGGTCCATGGCTCCAACACAGGCATCACTGCAATCGCTTGCATCAAGGCCAGAAGCTTATGTGCCTCGCTGGGAGACTACCGTGATCCCATGGAATACGGGTGGAAACCACATATTTCGGTTATTACATATATTAGGGTTACATGTCATATTTATGACACATATGATCAGCTCATTCTCTTTACCATTGGGATATTATGGCTTTTGATTATCCCACCATTATTGGTACATGCCATAATATGGTATATGTATATATTATATATTAAAAAAGATGGGGATCCTTAAATTTGCCAGTACCATTCCCCTTTCCCATGGGGGTATCACATCCCACTCTTGCCTTCGCCACTGCATCCAGAGCAGTCTTAACAGCTGCCATGACCTGTGATTTGCTTATGGAACCACCAAAAAATAAGACATATTCCCTATATTCCCTATAGATTCCTCAAGTAGTGAAAATAAACCTCAGCAAAGTAAATCTAAGAACATGGGCAAAACATCAGAATCGCATTTTTCAGAAATTGACCATAACACATACCCCGGATTACGACACGTTCATGGTTTGATAAGAGAAGTGATGATGGCGAGCTGTCCACGGCAGTGGTTTTTCAATGGGGGAGACCCCTTTTCATCAATTTTCATACAGAACATACAGATAATCTTCATAATCTATTGGAATTGGGGATAGCACAAAATATATCAAAATATCCTATTCTCAGACAAACCATAAGAAATTCCTGAAGCTAGCCCTGGCCTTGGGGTCTTTGCAAAGAGCATCATCATCTTTCCCGGTGACCTCAAAAAGTCAGCCATCACTCTCGAAGTCATCGCGCCATCCTGGGTTCACCAACGCCATTCGCAGCAGCCAAAGCTAAGAGCTCCTTCTTCTTGCCTTGGGGCTTCGATAGTGATGTGGATGACATCTGACATAAGATAGATATATGACTCATATGACTATTCAATTAATTAAAGGGGTTATATCATGTTATATCACAACTGATGGAGGGCTTATCACCATCATGTTATATCCATTTGTAACCTCAACCGCCAAGAAGCTTTGCCCCCTTGCAGACCCTTTATTGCACCCTGACAGCAACGATGCGCAGCCAAGTTGCACTGAGCAAGCAGGACGGGCCGATCGATTTCATGGCTTGCAAAAGAGCACACACCTGCAAAGGAGGTGTCTTTAAAAGGCACAACAAAACCAGGCATCTGGAGCTGCTCCGGGCAACTGGGCAACTGGTGAAAACATCATTTTTGTTGGATCAACGCAAAAAATCGGTCTAGGTCTCATGAATTTTGGGCTGATCGGCGCTGATCGGCGCTGATCGGCCATGCTTTCAAGCAGGATCTATAGAATCTATGATCACCCTGACCTCCAGCATCCGCGTTGATGAGTTCATGATTGTTGTAGGTCACATTGATCAGCTCCAAGGCAACGTATTCGCCACCTTTCAGCTTCACCTGGAAACACGGAAAGCCACGGAAAGCGAATCGAGGGGTAGTGAAGATTCCAAAGTTACTCATGTTATGGCTATATTATAGTACAACCATGGGATAGGTATATAGAATCTTATAGAACTATATAGATAGATACCAGTATATTGGATAAACATATGGTATATAGTTGGCAGCGGCTGAGACTGCAACAAGATTCTTCTTGCGATCGATGATCTTGACTTTTCCTCCAAGAGTGAACAGTATGTCACTGATTCGCTGCTCGGCACTTGGGTGTAGAAGAAAAAATGGGGTGAATGGTGATACCCCACAAGGACAACTTTTCGTATACGGAAATCAACATAAAGTATATGACGTACGTACCATAGGATCCATGTATGCTATATTAATGCTAACATAAAGGGGGTATATTGATGGGATCCATGTTACCATTAATATAGCATACATGGATCCTATGGGTACTATGACACAGCATCTTTATTATCAAACTTCGGGGTCTAGAACCACACCTTCGGGCGTGATCAGCCCGATGTCTCCAGAGTGGAACCTCAACACCGCGGCCCGTTACGGCCCGTTGAAACAGCGAAAGGGCTCAACGTCCAAGGCCCTGTGCCAGCCGTCGTTGTCGAAGTCTGCTGCCTCGTTGGATCTATGGAAAAAAAACATGATGCAAAAACACACAAAAAAAACACATACAAACACATCAAAATACAACATTTGATCAACATGTTACATGTTGATCAACATTTGAAACACACATCAGAAAAATTGGCAAAACCAAAGCCATCTTTTCTTCAGCTCTCATCGCCAAGCTGCTGTCTGCTCTGGCAGCTTGTAATAGCCAGAACCGATGGAATTACCTGACCGCAGGGAGTTTTACCAAGTACTATCCACAGCACTCTCCAAAGTTGTTCAGTGCTCCTTTTCCTTCTTCATGTTGCAAGCAAGCCCTCTTCAACCATTTTTTCTGTGTTATCTGTCTGTGTTCTTTCTTTGTCTCGCTGCTTCCTCCAACTTCCAATTCTGGTGCCGCCTCTCATCCAAATTTCTCCCCGACCGCAGCAGGCGGAGCCATCTGAATGCACCTACCAAGAAGCTTCATCAGCTACCGGGATTTTGCTGAATCCCACAGCGATGAACTATCCATCAATAGCACATTTTGGCGCACGACCATCCAAACATCATCCGAGCGATTTAAGCAGTGCTCAAAACCTATCATTGGTTGGTTTATAGGGATTCCCAGGTCATGAATTACTGATGATGATGATGATGATGATGCTGTCAATCCCCAACTTCCTGTCGAATCCCCGGGGAAAAGAACGTTGGTCCAGGCCTTGCCTGTACAAAGGTAGGGCTTGCCATCGTTGTCGGTGATCTCTGGCCTGGTTTCTCCATCAATGTGGGGATGGAGCCCCCAACGGCTATGAAAAAACGGTTCTCCCGCAGTCAGTCACCCACTGCTGTTGGAAAACCACGATATGTTCACGGCAAAACAAGGCGGAGCGGACACAGCGCCACCGCAGGTCTCTGTAAGGCCTGATGGCTGATGGGCAGGATCTGCCTTGCCTCTTCCCACATGCAAGAGAGTTCAAACATAGAGCAACACACATATAGATCACTTAGAAACCCGGAAATTGGGGAGCTCAAATTCGGAGCTCAAATTCAACGACAACGACTTGGCAGAACTTTTCTATTGGCTCGCATCCCTAAGCATCCAACCGTAACCTTGAATGAGCGGACAGCCAAAGGCTGTCCGCACCCATTCCTGACGAGGAAACCAAACATGTTCTGGTTGGTGTTTCAACCCCTCTGAAAAATATGAGTTCGTCAGTTGGGATTATTCTTCACAATATGTGGAAAGTCATAAAATTCCATGGTTCCAGTCACCACCAAGCAGTAACCAGTGTTTGGCTTGTGTGTTGGACTGAACGAACGTCCCCTCCGGTGTTTTTATTCCATGGCTTGCGTTCGAGAAATGCCTCAGCAGTTGGATGATTTTCCAACCTGAACATCAGGGGAGATGGCACCACCGCCAGATAATGTGAACTTCATACATCCACCAAGCCTCAACAAGGCTGGGCTGTCCGGGGCACCGGGTAACAAGGGGGCACTGAGAGGAGCTCTTTGCATGTCTTTGCGTAGCAAGCTTGGTGTTTCTCAAGCTTGGGGGACCCCAAAACCATGGGTTTCCCATGGTTTACCAATGAAAAAAAACGTGTTGGATCGTATAACATGTTATCTCTGTAAGATTATCTCCCTATTTCCTCTCTAAATATCGTGATTGCTACTATCTCCCTATGTTCTTGTATGTTCTTACATGTTTGTATTGTCTAGCTTTCCGCAGTTCCCTATTTTCTTGTTACTTTCTCCTTCCTATTTCGTCCATTGGTGGAACTTCCGAAATGGGAAGCCAGGCTGCACCATTGGTCTCTGAGGTTTCTGAGATCTCAACATGGACTTGAACTTCTTGAACACCTTGCCAAGCGGACTATTCAGCTCGCTGCAGCGCTTGAACCATTCGCCCTCTTCGAACACAAGGTGGTACTCCCTTAGTTATAAGTTAAGTGATGTTAAGTGTATAAACCCATCTACAAGCAAGTCACAACAGAATCACCATGAACCCTAGCTAAACAAGGAGCCAAGAAATTCCATCACTTTCTTCACCTTCCCGAGCTCGCGACCAACAGGTCGAACAGCGGTGTGTAGCGGTTCTGCCGCACCGCGGATTTCTTGATCCGCATCGCCAGCTTGAAGAGAAATGCCACCCTTGGAGCTTGATGCCCATCACCACCATATCAGCATCATCCTAATGATAGATAGTTATAGCAAACCATACCAACACTAATTCAACACTAATTCAACAATAATTCATAATCGGATCATCATCGGATCATCATCATCATCATTATCATCATCATCATCATCATCATTCACCTGAAGTGCATCTGTCATCTTGCGCCTCGCATGTGCCCTTAGGCTGGGGCACAGGTCCACTCTTCTCAACTTTCGTCTCTGCACCTTCAGCTAGGGCAAGTAGCTTCACCATAAGGATTCTCATCATGGGATAAATGACAGCAAGCCATATAATATACCATGTTTCTACCATGGCACGTATGGTCTCTAAACTCTTCACCCTTGTGATTTTGTCAAGGCATAGCCGGTGGCACAGGCTATCACATCTCAGCCACACTAGCTGATTAGACAATGAGAATAAGTGAGCCCTTGTGATTCATGATAAATTACTATAAAATGCACCCTTCCAACCTTATCATAGCTGCGAGTAGCCACTATAGATAGGTTTTCAGTTGCTCATTTCAAGAGTTTCATGAAAAGGTGGAAGGACATTAAAACCCAAGATTTCTAGGTGAGATCCCTATCTTTCCTGGTTACCCTAGGGTAAACGTTACCCTGAATAGCGCGCCTGTAGAGATTTGAGTCGGCTGGCAATTTGGCTGTAAATATCCCAAGTGCCACTTGCGCCAGCAGCACAAACGGTAACGGCAACAACGCTCACTCTGCATGGTGTCTTTGCACGACATGCCTTCGGTAGAGCTGCACGACAACTCCTGGGCAGGATTGTCATCATTTCGTTTGCAGCAGCCTGGCGTTGGAGCGCTGCAACATTTCTTTGTGATACATCCGTCTTTCTATGTCTTTCTGACTCCAAGGGTCGGCAGCATTACCCAGTTGCAGCAAACCAGTTGCGCATCAGAGACCCTTAAAGGACGGAATGGGTAAACCAACCCATGATGGGCAGCTGCTGCCTCTGACAGGGGGCAAAGCTCCGCCAAGGTCTGACCCACAGAACCAGGTATCTTCCAAGCCGTGACGGACAGCCCATGCGATCACATATTCTAAACATTCCGAATTTCTTGAGAAGCTTTACCAGCAAAATTGGGTTGACGTGGATTCGATTGCAAACTTGAAAGCATGAGCACAACTGCTACGAGTAGGAGGCAGTCTACGTAGGGCCAAACATCCACAAACAAGAATTGCGCAACCTCTTGGAAAAGTATAACGAGGAATGCTTGCGAACAAGCCTGCCAGCATTACCTTTCCTGAAGCCTGCCAGCATTCCTTTCCTGCCTCTGTTAGGCTTGAATGCGCAAGCACAGCATAGATAAGAGACACATCCTCCCAGCTTTGCAGGGACTTAAGCCAAGCTGATTGCATCTGAAGAACCGATGCGGCTCGGAGGCTAGGTTTCAAGCATGCAGAGATACTGCGTTTGAGACAAACAGGTTGCCAACTGCCTCCGCCCATGAGTTTGCGTGTTACATGTCTCACAGGTTCCTGATATTTGACGCCAATGATTGGATAGAGAATTGTGTGACTCGTGAGTTGTCCGGAACAGCCATTCTACTTGATGTTGACAGGAGAAAGAAAATAACTCGAAGCATCGGATCAAAAATCATCTCCGAAGACCGGAGTGACATTACAGAAGTGGTCAACGCACCAGAAAACGAGGCGGGGTCAAACCTCCCATCTGCCAAACATCCACTGGGAACTGGGCAAGTTCCAACAATCAAATCAAAGCCTATTCGGAAGCCAGCGCGATCCTAGGTGCAGAGAAAGCCTGGCACCTCGCTCCTATCGCATCTCTATACTAGGCTTTCCAGGTACGTGAAAGAACGGGGTTGAGCGAAGGACCATTGCGACCGCAGCCGTTCTTTGTGATCTACAGGTGGGATCTGATCAAAACCCCTGCGCCCCAAGCAGCTGACCCGTTGCAGCCAGCTGAAACTCTGAGAAGTGGTTTATTGAACCGCGCAGAGTGCCAATCTCCTGAGCTTTGGAATGTCCATGGCCGAGGGCACCTTTTCAGCGTGTGGGATTTGCCAATAACCATTCCAATTCGAAGAAGCAGCTGCCATCAACAGGGACGTCTCACACCCTTTCATCAAGATTTTATTTCAGCTGCTCATTTGGTGTACCATGATGTACTCGCTGAACTTCTGTCCACGGAATCGTGGGGCGTTAGGCCAAATGATGCTGGGTCGGCCAATGGGCCTGACAATCTCCAAACATTGCAAACATGTGCGTGCTTCTTGTGGCCAATGTCACTAGGAGCCAACAGCCATACCCAAGCCACCGGAAACGGAAGAGCCAAACAATTATTTCTCAAGACTTCTTGGTTTCTGTCGGTCTTGCTAAATGGGGTCTTACACGGCTTGGCAGCCCCTCAATTTGCGTGTTTTCGGGAAGCAATCTAGCACTGAGCCTGCAGTGCTAACTGATTCTTTTGCATCACTCTAGTACCACGTTCATTGCACCTTGTCCCACGAGCCTTTAGTGCCACATTCATTCTGCCATCGGTAGCTTTTCCACTGGACGGGAGCGTTCAAGACGTCACTATGCTGGAGCACAGACATTGATCTGAGACAAGACTAGCAACAAACCATATCCCTACCCCTATAGAGGGGGAGGGCAGGGGGGGACAAAACCAACCTGTCGAATTCCACTTTTTTTGCTTGGTAACCCTGGGATAGTGATCCAATTGCGCAAATGGAATTTCAAAGTAACATTTCTTGACCAGCCTTGGGCGCTGGCTAAAAAATACTTGCGCTTAGCTCCTCCGGAGCTAAGCGCAAGTATGATGATGGCAACGCAATTTTTGGAGGGATGCCACCCCTACACATGTGCTGCTTCAGTCTGACATGTGCTTGGCTCCTCCGGAGCTAAGCGCAAGTGTTTAATTTTCATCTGTTTGCCAATGATATGGAATGATGAGGAATGTTGATCATTGAGAAAAATTAATGCAAAAATGGAATTTTAAAATGAAATTTCAGTACGACTCCCCCCCCTCAAATTTCATTTTTAAGAGGGTAGGGATCAAACCATGGGCCTTCTAGAGGCCTCTTGTGACGCAAAAGCCAGAACTTGCAGGCTGTCTCGCAGACCCTGAACGTGGTACGTCTGCAGGGATTACGCATGTAGGACAGCTTCAACAGAGCTGAAAGACTTCGATAAGGTGCATGTTGCAGGACTGCCTCTTCAAGCACCTATGAACTATGAACAATGTGGTCTGAGGTGGCGCAAATGTGTGCGGCAACAACTTTTTAAGGACTGAGGACCAACCAGGGCTGAACTCCTTCAGCTCATTCTGATTGAGTCATTGTCTATCATTGTTCCAATTTTTGCTGTCAGCTTCCAGGACTAAGTACAGCGTACTGCAGGTAGTTTTGCGCCCGAACACATATCCTATAATGAAAAAGTTTCAATGTGCTAGTTCAGGCGTAACAGGGTTTTAAATTTACTATTAGGGTTCCCCCGTAATAATAAAAACTGTCTTTCAATCAACTAAATGAATTAATGGGGCTCTTGAAACAAGAGATGCTTGAATATTGCCGATACTTTTGGAAGGCTATCACCTGCACCTCAGTTAGATTGGTTTGAACGCAGTGCATTTGGCCTCTGTGCGTCACTTCTATGGCTTCGGCAAACAGTGCCAGGCCCGGGGTGACCAGGCAACATAGCCCGGGACACAACCCGCATCTAGCACCCATACCTCAGCTACTGCAAATCAGAACCGCAAATCTCTGACCCCGTAAATATCGTAAATGGATCTTTCTGCAAAGTGGGATCTGAATTCAATGGCCAAAATCTGGGTGGAAGCAGTCTTCCTGGACAAAAAACTACCCATTCAGATGGGGTGACAAACCTGCTGCTCTTACCTAGGTGGAAAATATGCGACTTGGACTCTCTTTGATCAAAACCAGGCCTGCAACAATTTCAATTGCATTTTAGTGTCCGTTTGACATGCAACAGTTCATCAACACCCCGTGCGTGCGGAAGCTGATACCATTGCCAGGTGGTACGCCCCAACAAATAGCGGGAAGTCTGACAAGGTTGCACACTCAGTCGTCGAGAGCCTGCGAGGGGTCCAAACAAATGCCCAAATGCACAGAGTCAACGGTTTGCAGCACGTTCCAGATCCCTGGCGACACAGTTCGGAAGATTTCGGAAGCCTGAATCTGAAAACCACGCAACTTGTGCTGCGCGGGCGCGCGGACCCTTTTGAACCCCCTGAATCGCCTGAATCCCTTGTTACTACACATCGCAGGCCAAAACATTGAAGAAAAGTTGCCAATGGGGATGCCTGAAGGCTAACTTGCAGTATCTGCACACCCACCATTCAGAAACGAAATTGGTTTCATGGAGTATATCTCTAAACATTGCTGCCGTGGGAGTTGCTAGAACTGCGTGCGGAATGATGTAAACAAATCATGCGTAGTGATACGAGGCCAAAGTTCTGAGATATTTAGCAGCTTCAAGGCATTCGAAAATACACTCACATCAGCAAACTACTGTCCCGATCACTTCGACACGGCTGTCCACAGCAGTCTGTCTGAGCAAGATCCGCGAGATCGAGGCGGGGGAGGGCGGACCCTTTCATCTGAGACCTGGTGGAACCCCAGCTGAAGGAAGGTAAAATTGCGCGGGCAAGGGATATCTGACAGCTGCTGTTTTTCGAATCATATAGGTAGCCACAAAATGGACGAAAGATGCGAAGCAAAAGCGTCGCGGCTTCAAGAGAGAAGCTCTAGTGCCCAGTACAGCACAATCGTTTGGGAGGGAAGGGCTTACAAACGCTGGCTGTTCGGGCCACCTCCTTGGTTTTTTGCCTTGACATTGCTGAACATTCGAAGTCGATCTCCGTTCGACCGTCTTTTTTCCTAGGAAACTTTTGACAATGAGATGAACAAGTCTCTTTGGAGATATTGTCTGCCTTGGTTTCTCCACAACGCATATGCGACACACTGAGCATGCTAAGGGCTGCATCAACACGGTTTCTCTTTGGAGGAAATGCTAGTGGCAAGGAAAAACCATAATTGGGTTTCAACAGGCTAGCATGTTGGATGCAAAACATTGCTCGTCTTCCGCCTCGTCTTGTGCTTGAATCAGGCTACATTAAACACACGGATGCCCAAGTGGCTCATCACACCTGAACTGCTACGAGTCCAATCTGATCGCAAAAAACTCATCAGGTTCCATCACCTCCATCAGTGTCAAAACGTGTCACACGGCCAAAAATAATGCTGAAAGCCAAAACTTCCAGGTCCATCACGGTGCTCGAAACACGAATGATCCAAATGCCCCCGGGTCTTGCTTCTTGAAAATCTAATCCCTTCCTCCTAACACTAAACGTCCCCCTAATACTAAAAACAGGCGTCCATCTCCAATTTCAGAAAATTTCAGTATGGCCAATTTGACTCTTAATTGATCCCCTTTAAAAAACAATTTAAAAATCAAGCTACTATTTGTGGGTTATCCCCCCTAATACTAAAAACTAGTCAACCCCGGAGTGTTTATTATTAGGTGGGAAGCTTCGAAATCCAATTTTTGGCAATATTTTATTAATTGCGTTATATAAAGAAATTTAATTGATTTTGAGATCGGAAAAATAGTTTTTATCATTACGGGTTTTAAATTAATATTGGGGGGAAGCTTCGAAATCTAATTCTTGGCAATATTTTAATCGCGTTATATAAAGAAATTTAATTGATTTTGAGATCGGAAAAAATAGTTTTTATTATTAAGGGTTTTAATTTAATATTAGGGGGAAGCTTCGAAATCCATTTTTTTTGGCAATATGTTGATTGCGTTATATAAGGAAATTTAATTGATTTTGAGATCGAAAAAATAGAGGGTTTAATTTTGTCAATAGGGTTCCCTAATAATAAATACCCCCCTAATACTAAAAACTACCTGCACTGTTTTGTATTAGGGGGGGTTAGTATTAGGAGGAAGGGATTACTTCGCAGAAAACATATTGGAAACGCGACAACCAATGATGACAATCAAATGACATGTCAGTAGCATTGCGGCCATAAGGGACAACGAATGATATCGTTCGAAACATGAAAGACGTAGGAATTCCTCCGTCGCAAAGCCGCCACAAGAAGGGAGACAAATGGAGAGCCAAGTGGGGAGACCTGTCGGAAAGAAAACTGACCCAGGGCGGTCACGGAGGGGGGGATAGGAAAGACGAGAAAACCTTCGTCCCAAAGTAGCCACAAGAAGGAAAGCAAAATACACAGCGCAGTGATGAGACAGACAAATGGTGAGACACAATTCCCTTTCCTAGGGCCAGTGTGAAGTACCAAGACCAGTAGAGACAACACAAATGGAGAAGTACAGACAGCGTAGAAACACATTGGGGGCAATTTTGGGACCAAGGCAGCCAGTCCGAAGTGGGCGCCCCAGGCAACCACAAGAAGGAAGAATGGAGAGAAAAGTAGGGACGCAAGCAAGTGACAAATGGGAGACGATGCAAGTCCTCCGCTTCAATTCCGTTTGGAGACGACGCAAAAGTTGGGCTCTCTGCAAGGGGAATATTGAATAAGATGCCTAACTGCACACAAACTGTTTAGAGAAGCACCCCACACTTCGCACTCCGCCCTTCACACTCTCCACTCCACGCTTCACATTCCACACTTCCCACATTAGACTCCACACTCCACACTTCACACATTCGACTCGTGCCACTTCACAGTCTCCACTCCACACTTCACACTTCACACTCTCCACTCCACGCTTCACACTCCACACTCCACACTCCACACCACACTCCTCACTTCCCACATCACACTCCACACTCCACACTTCACACTCCAAACTTCAGACTCCACACTTCACGCTCCCCACTCCACACTTCCCACATCACACTTCACACTCTCCACTCCACACTCCCACTTCACACTTCACACTCTCCACTCCACACTTCACACTCCTCACTCCACAATGCACACTCTCCACTTCACACTCCACACTTCAAACTCCACACTTCACACTTCGCAATCACTGCGCAGTCACACCCCAGACTCCACACTCCACACTTCACAATCTCCACTCCACACTCCGCACTTACACTCGCCACTCCACGCTTCACACTCTCCACTTCACACTCCACACCCTAAAGAAACCCCAAATGAAACCCTAAAGAAACCTTAAAGAAACCCTAACTAAAGAAACCTGAAAGAAACCCTAAATAAACTCCGAAGAAACCTAAATGAAACCCTAACCCTAAAGAAACCCTAAATGAAACCTTCAAGAAACCCTAAAGACACCCTATTTCAATTACCTAACGTTCATTGATATATTGTTCTCTTTTATTCTTGAAAATACCCGCGAAATCAGAAATCCGCATATCCTTACCATCTGGTTATTTAACATAGCCATGGAAAATCACAATGCTATTAATAGCTATGTTAGTCATAACCAGATGGTAGAATATCAGGACCAATCCAAACGGACCATCTCCATGAAATCTGCATTTTTCTTCATCCAATCGCTGTGCAAATCAATGCCGAATCATCCCTTCATGGCCATCGGCTTCAACACGTCCAGGTCCTGTCCACTGAAAAATCCCCAGCTGGATGGCTTCGTTTGGAAAATACCAATGAACACTTGGATTTCTCATGGCTTAGAAAACCTCTATACTAAAATATATTTAAGTTGCCCTCTGATCATTTCACATGGCCATGGAAAATGACCCAAAGTATAGATGAGCAACAAAAGTCCACGGCCATTTTCCATGGCCGCAGGATATTACCATAGCCAGCTGCTCCGTGCGCTGCTCTGGGCCTTTTCATGGAGCTGGTAAATCTTCTTGGCCACCAACCTATACCAGGTTGCTGCCCAAGAACGTTGGTGATTAGGGCTTTGGACCTCACGAAAAATAATCAAATGATATGTTCCATGGATTGAAATGCTAAGACCTCTTTGAGAGGTGGCTTGACCATGATATTTTAGGGATTCCGCATTCTGAAGATTGGATGTCAATCCTACAACCTTCGTATCGGATCGCATTTGAATGTTCTTTGCTATCCATGTTGCCATGTTGCAAAGGTGAGCAATGCATAACTATTGCCATACCCTCAAATAACTGGCCTCAAAGCTTAGATGTGGCAGTCAGGCAACCATTATCGGCTGTCCTGCGGCAAACAAACTCGAGTTGAGGCCGGAAAAACATTCCAAGACAACATTGAATACCATTTTCATCTGGTCATCTCTATTGTTCTAAGTAGCTCATCAAACATTTTTGACACGCAGCCGAACAGCCCCCCAGGAGCAGCCGAACTTCGGTCCAGGGCTCCAACACAGGCATCACTGCAATCGCTTGCATCAAGGCCGGAAGCTTATGTGCCTGGTCGCTGGGAGACTCCTTGTGATCCCATGGAATGCGCATGGTGGAAACCACATATATTTTGCTTATTACATATATGGGTTACATATCATAATGTATAAAGACATATATGATCAGCTCATTATGTTTACCACTGGGATATTATGGCTTTTGATTATCCCACCATTATATTAAAATGGCATAATATGGTGTATATGTATATATTAATATAAATATATATATATGTGATGGGATCCTTAAATTGGCCAGTACCATTCCCCTTTCCCATGGAGGTATCACATCCCACTCTTGCCTTCGCCACTGCATCCAGAGCAGTCTTAACAGCTGCCATGACCTGTGATTTGCTTATGGAACCACCAAACAATAAGACATATTCCCTATATTCCCTATAGATTCCTCAAGTAGTGAAAACAAACATCAGCAACTAAATCTAAGAACATGGGCAAAACATCAGAATCGCATTTTTCGGAAATTGACCATAAAACATACCCCGGATTACGACAGGTTCATGGTTTGATAAGAGAAGTGATGATGGCGAGCTGTCCACGGCAGTGGTTTGTCAATGGAGACCCCTTTTCATCAATTTTCATACAGAACATACAGATAATCTTCATAATCTATTGGAATTGGGGATAGCACAAAATATATCAAAATATCCTATTCTCAGAGAAACCATAACAAATTCTTGAACCTAGCCCTGGCCTTGGGGTCTTTGCAAAGAGCATCATCATCTTTCCCGGTGACCTCAAAAAGTCAGCCATCAGCAACTCGAAGTCATCGAGCCATGCTGGGTTCGGTTCACCAACGCCATTCGCAGCAGCCAAAGCTAAGAGCTCCTTCTTCTTGCCTTGGGGCTTCGATAGTGATGTGGATGACATCTGACATAAGATAGATATTAATGGCTATTCAATTATACAGGGGTTATATCATGTTATATCACAACTGATGGAGGGCTTATCACCATCATGTTATATCCATTTGTAACCTCAACCGCCAAGAAGCTGTGCCCCCTTGCAGACCCTTTATTGCACCCTGACAGCAACGATGCGCAGCCAAGTTGCACTGAGCAAGCAGGACGGGCAGATCGATTTCATGGCTTGCAAAAGAGCACACACCTGCAAAGGAGGTGTCTTTAAAAAGCACAACAAAACCAGGCATCTGGAGCTGCTCCGGGCAACTGGGCAACTGGTGAAAACATCATTTTTCTTGGATCGACGCAAGAAATCGGTCTAGGTCTCATGAATTTTGGGCTGATCGGCGCTGATCGGCCATGCTTTCAAACAGGATCTATAGAATCTATGATCACCCTGACCTCCAGCATCCGCGTTGACGAGTTCATGATTGTTGTAGGTCACATTGATCAGCTCCAAGGCAACGTGTTCGCCACCTTCCAGCTTCACCTGGAAACACGGAAAGCCACGGAAAGGGACGGAAAGCGAATCGAGGGGTAGTGAAGATTCCAAAGTTACTCATGTTATGGCTATATTATAGTACAACCATGGGATAGATATATAAAATCTTTTAGAATTAGATAGATAGATATATTGGATAAATATATGGTATATAGTTGGCAGCGGCTGAGACTGCAACAAGATTCTTCTTGCGATCGATGATCTTGACTTTTCCTCCAAGAGTGAACAGCATGTCACTGATTCGCTGCACGGCACTTGGGTGTAGAAGAAAAAATGGGGTGAATGGTGATACCCCACAAGGACAACTCTTCGTATACGGAAATCAACATAAAGTATATGACGTACCCCATAGGATCCATGTATGCTATATTAATGCTAACATAAAGGTGGTATATTGATGGTAAATGTTACCATATATAGCAGCACCATGGATCCGTCATGGGTACTATGACACAGCATCTTTATTATCAAACTTCGGGGTCTAGAACCACACCTTCGGGCGTGATCAGCCCGATGTCTCCAGAGTGGAACCTCAACACCGCGGCCCGTTACGGCCCGTTGAAACAGCGAAAGGGCTCAACGTCCAAGGCCCTGTGCCAGCCGTCTTTGTCGAAGTCTGCTGCCTCGTTGGATCTATGGAAAAAAAACATGATGCAAAAACACACCAAAAAAACACATACAAACACATCAAAATACAACATTTGATCAACATGTTACATGTTGATCAACATTTGAAACACACATCAGAAAAATTGGCAAAACCAAAGCCATCTTTTCTTCAGCTCTCATCGCCAAGCTGCTGTCTGCTCTGGCAGCTTGTAATAGCCAGAACCGATGGAATTACCTGACCGCAGGGAGTTTTACCAAGTACTATCCACAGCACTCTCCAAAGTTGTTCAGTGCTCCTTTTCCTTCTTCATGTTGCAAGCAAGCCCTCTTCAACCAATTCTGGTGCCGACTCTCATCCAAATTTCTCCCCGACCGCAGCAGGCGGAGCCATCTGAATGCACCTACCAAGAAGCTTCATCAGCTACCGGGATTTTGCTGAATCCCACAGCGATGAACTCTCCATCAATAGCACATTTTGGTGCACGACCATCCAAGCATCATCCGAGCGATTTAAGCAGTGCTCAAAACCTAGCATTGGTTGGTTTATAGGGATTCCCAGGTCATGAATTACTGATGATGATGATGATGATGATGATGATGGTGATGACGATGATGATGATGATGATGGTGATGATGGTGATGATGATGATGATGCTGGTGATGACGATGACGATGACGATGATGATGATGATGATGATGATGATGATGATGATGATGATGCTGGTGATGACGATGATGATGATGATGGTGATGATGGTGATGGTGATGATGATGATGCTGGTGATGACGATGATGATGATGATGGTGATGGTGATGGTGATGATGATGATGATGCTGGTGATGACGATGATGATTATGATGATGATGATGATGATGATGCTGGTGATGATGATGATGATGATGATGGTGATGATGGTGATGATGATGATGGTGATGATGATGATGATGATGATGCTGGTGATGACGAGGATGATGATGGTGATGATGATGATGATGCTGGTGATAACGATGGTGATGATGATGGTGATGATGATAATGATGATGGTGATGACGATGATGATGATGATGGTGATGATGGTGATGGTGATGATGATGATGCTGATGACGATGATGATGATGATGATGGTGATGCTGGTGATGACGATGATGATGATGGTGATGATGGTGATGGTGATGATGATGATGATGATGATGCTGGTGATGACGATGATGATGATGATGGTGATGGTGATGATGATGATGATGCTGGTGATGACGATGATGATGATGATGATGGTGATGATGGTGATGGTGATGATGATGATGATGATGCTGGTGATGACGATGATGATGATGATGATGGTGATGATGGTGATGGTGATGATGGTGATGCTGGTGATGACGATGAAGATTATGATGATGATGATGATGAAGATGATGACGATGATGATGATGATGATGATGATGCTGGTGATGACGATGATGATGATGGTGATGATGGTGATGATGATGATGATGATGATGATGGTGATGATGATGCTGGTGATGACGAGGATGATGATGGTGATGATGGTGATGGTGATGATGATGATGATGATGCTGGTGATGACGATGATGATGATGATGATGGTGATGATGGTGATGGTGATGATGATGGTGCCGCCTCTCATCCAAATTTCTCCCCGACCGCAGCAGGCGGAGCCATCTGAATGCACCTACCAAGAAGCTTCACCAGCTACCGGGATTTTGCTGAATCCCACAGCGATGAACTATCCATCAATAGCACATTTTGGTGCACGACCATCCAAGCATCATCCGAGCGATTTAAGCAGTGCTCAAAACCTATCATTGGTTGGTTTATAGGGATTCCCAGGTCATGAATTACTGATGATGATGATGATGATGATGATGATGTCGTCAATCCCCAATTTCCTGTCGAATCCCCGGGGAAAAGAACGTTGGTCCAGGCCTTGTCTGTACAAAGGTAGGGCTTGCCATCGTTGTCGGTGATCTCTGGCCTGGTTTCTCCATCAATGTGGGGATGGAGCCCCCAACGGCTATGAAAAAACATAGGCAAAATATTGGCAAAATGGATCAACATGGTATAACAGATTGATCAATGATATACTGGGTCAGGCATCTAAAACATTTCATTTGACACTGCCGGAAATTGAGTCTGGCCTGGGAATCCAGGGATCTGATGGATCTGAGGTGCCCGTACTCCGAGTGAAGTGTCAGTTCGACGGAGGACAGGACGGATCCAACGAATCCAACGGATGGATCTGCCAGCGGCTTTTGAAGCCTGGCAGTCAGGCGCTTCTCAGGCGGCTCTCCCGCAGTTGCCCACTATGTTCACGGCAAAACAAGGCGGAGCGGACACAGCGCCACCGCAGGTCTCTGTAAGGCCTGATGGCTGCAGATGGGGGGCAGGCAGGATCTGCCTTGCCTCTTCCCACATGATAGTGAAAAAACATAGAGCAACACACAAATAGATCACTTGGAAACCCGGAAATTGGGGAGCTCAAATTTAATGACAACGACTTGGCAGAACTTTTCTATGCCTTGGCTCGCATCCCTAAGCATCCAACCGTAACCTTGAATGAGCGGACAGCCAAAGGCTGTCCGCACCCATTCCTGACGAGGAAACCAAACATGTTCTGGTTGGTGGTTTCAACCCCTCTGAAAAATATGAGTTCGTCAATTGAGATTATTCTTCACAATCTATGAAATTCCATGGTTCCAGTCACCACCAAGCAGTAACCAGTGTTTGGCTTGTGTGTTGGACTGAACGAACGTCCCCTCCGGTGTGTTTTTTTTTCCATGGCTTGCGTTCGAGAAATGCCTCAGCAGTTCGATGATTTTCCCCAACCTGAACATCAGGGGAGATGGCACCACCGCCAGATCCACCAAGCCTCAACAAGGCTGGGCTGTCCGGGTCGCCGGGTAACAAAGGGGGCACTGAGAGGAGCTCTTTGCATGTCTTTGCGTAGCAAACTTGGTGTTTCTCAAGCTTGGGGGACCCCAACACCATGGGTTTCCCATGGTTTACCAATGAAAGTTTCCCATGGTTTACCAATGAAAGAAACGTGTTGGATCGTATAACATGTTATCTCTGTAAGATTATCTCCCCATTTCCTCTCTAAATATCGTGATTGCTACTATCTCCCTATGTTCTTGTATGTTCTTACATGTTTGTATTGTCTAGCTTTCCGCAGTTCCCTATTTTCTTGTTACTTTCTCCTTCCTATTTCGTCCATTGGTGGAACTTCCCAAATGGGAAGCCAGGCTGCACCATTGGTCTGTGAGGTTTCTGAGATCTCAACATGGACTTGAACTTCTTGAACACCTTGCCAAGCGGACTATTCAGCTCGCTGCAGCGCTTGAACCAATTCGCCCTCTTCGAACACAAGGTGGTACCCCCCTAGTTATAAGTTAAGTGATATTAAGTGTATAAACCCATCTACAAGCAAGTCACAACAGAATCACCATTAACCCTAGCTAAACTAGTACCAACTTAGTTGTGGGCACTACCCTCTAAGGAGCCAAGAAATTCCATCACTTTCTTCACCTTCCCGAGCTCGCGACCAACAGGTCGAACAGCGGTGTGTAGAGGTTCTGCCGCACCGCGGATTTCTTGATCCGCATCGCCAGCTTGAAGAGAAATGCCACCCTTGGAGCTTGATGCCCATCACCATCATCAGCATCATCCTAATGATAGATAGTTATAGCAAACCATACCAACAATATCCAACAATAATTCAACAATAATTCAACAATAATTCATCATCGGATCATCATCATCATCATCATCATCATCATCATCATTCACCTGAAGTGCATCTGTCATCTTGCGCCTCGCATGTGCCCTTAGGCTGGGGCACAGGTCCACTCTTCTCAACTTTCGTCTCTGCACCTTCAGCTAGGGCAAGTAGCTTCACCATAAGGATTCTCATCATGGGATAAATGACACCAAGCCATATAATATACCATGTTTCTACCATGGCACGTATGGTCTCTAAACTCTTCACCCTTGTGATTTTGTCAAGGCATAGCCGGTGGCACAGGCTATCACATCTCAGCCACACTAGCTGATTAGACAATGAGAATAAGTGAGCCCTTGTGATTCATGACAAATTACTATAAAATGCACCCTTCCAACCTTATCATAGCTGCGAGTAGCCACTATAGATAGGTTTTCAGTTGCTCATTTCAAGAGTTTCATGAAGGACATTAAAACCCAAGATTTCTAGGTGAGATCCCTATCTTTCCTGGTTACCCTAGGGTAAACGTTACCCTGAATAGCGCGCCTGTAGAGATTTGAGTCGGCTGGCAATTTGGCTGTAAATATCCCAAGTGCCACTTGCGCCAGCAGCACAAACGGTAACGGCAACAACGCTCACTCTGCATGGTGTCTTTGCACGACATGCCTTCGGTAGAGCTGCACGACAACTCCTGGGCAGGATTGTCATCATTTCGTTTGCAGCAGCCTGGCGTTGGAGCGCTGCAACATTTCTTTGTGATACATCCGTCTTTCTATGTCTTTCTGACTCCAAGGGTCGGCAGCATTACCCAGTTGCAGCAAACCAGTTGCGCATCAGAGACCCTTAAAGGACGGAATGGGTAAACCAACCCATGATGGGCAGCTGCTGCCTCTGACAGGGGGCAAAGCTCCGCCAAGGTCTGACCCACAGAACCAGGTATCTTCCAAGCCGTGACGGACAGCCCATGCGATCACATATTCTAAACATTCCGAATTTCTTGAGAAGCTTTACCAGCAAAATTGGGTTGACGTGGATTCGATTGCAAACTTGAAAGCATGAGCACAACTGCTACGAGTAGGAGGCAGTCTACGTAGGGCCAAACATCCACAAACAAGAATTGCGCAACCTCTTGGAAAAGTATAACGAGGAATGCTTGCGAACAAGCCTGCCAGCATTACCTTTCCTGAAGCCTGCCAGCATTCCTTTCCTGCCTCTGTTAGGCTTGAATGCGCAAGCACAGCATAGATAAGAGACACGTCCTCCCAGCTTTGCAGGGACTTAAGCCAAGCTGATTGCATCTGAAGAACCGATGCGGCTCGGAGGCTAGGTTTCAAGCATGCAGAGATACTGCGTTTGAGACAAACAGGTTGCCAACTGCCTCCGCCCATGAGTTTGCGTGTTACATGTCTCACAGGTTCCTGATATTTGACGCCAATGATTGGATAGAGAATTGTGTGACTCGTGAGTTGTCCGGAACAGCCATTCTACTTGATGTTGACAGGAGAAAGAAAATAACTCGAAGCATCGGATCAAAAATCATCTCCGAAGACCGGAGTGACATTACAGAAGTGCTCAACGCACCAGAAAACGAGGCGGGGTCAAACCTCCCATCTGCCAAACATCCACTGGGAACTGGGCAAGTTCCAACAATCAAATCAAAGCCTATTCGGAAGCCAGCGCGATCCTAGGTGCAGAGAAAGCCTGGCACCTCGCTCCTATCGCATCTCTATACTAGGCTTTCCAGGTACGTGAAAGAACGGGGTTGAGCGAAGGACCATTGCGACCGCAGCCGTTCTTTGTGATCTACAGGTGGGATCTGATCAAAACCCCTGCGCCCCAAGCAGCTGACCCGTTGCAGCCAGCTGAAACTCTGAGAAGTGGTTTATTGAACCGCGCAGAGTGCCAATCTCCTGAGCTTTGGAATGTCCATGGCCGAGGGCACCTTTTCAGCGTGTGGGATTTGCCAATAACCATTCCAATTCGAAGAAGCAGCTGCCATCAACAGGGACGTCTCACACCCTTTCATCAAGATTTTATTTCAGCTGCTCATTTGGTGTACCATGATGTACTCGCTGAACTTCTGTCCACGGAATCGTGGGGCGTTAGGCCAAATGATGCTGGGTCGGCCAATGGGCCTGACAATCTCCAAACATTGCAAACATGTGCGTGCTTCTTGTGGCCAATGTCACTAGGAGCCAACAGCCATACCCAAGCCACCGGAAACGGAAGAGCCAAACAATTATTTCTCAAGACTTCTTGGTTTCTGTCGGTCTTGCTAAATGGGGTCTTACACGGCTTGGCAGCCCCTCAATTTGCGTGTTTTCGGGAAGCAATCTAGCACTGAGCCTGCAGTGCTAACTGATTCTTTTGCATCACTCTAGTACCACGTTCATTGCACCTTGTCCCACGAGCCTTTAGTGCCACATTCATTCTGCCATCGGTAGCTTTTCCACTGGACGGGAGCGTTCAAGACGTCACTATGCTGGAGCACAGACATTGATCTGAGACAAGACTAGCAACAAACCATATCCCTACCCCTATAGAGGGGGAGGGCAGGGGGGGACAAAACCAACCTGTCGAATTCCACTTTTTTTGCTTGGTAACCCTGGGATAGTGATCCAATTGCGCAAATGGAATTTCAAAGTAACATTTCTTGACCAGCCTTGGGCGCTGGCTAGAAAATACTTGCGCTTAGCTCCTCCGGAGCTAAGCGCAAGTATGATGATGGCAACGCAATTTTTGGAGGGATGCCACCCCTACACATGTGCTGCTTCAGTCTGACATGTGCTTGGCTCCTCCGGAGCTAAGCGCAAGTGTTTAATTTTCATCTGTTTGCCAATGATATGGAATGATGAGGAATGTTGATCATTGAGAAAAAATAATGCAAAAATGGAATTTTAAAATGAAATTTCAGTACGACTCCCCCCCCTCAAATTTCATTTTTAAGAGGGTAGGGATCAAACCATGGGCCTTCTAGAGGCCTCTTGTGACGCAAAAGCCAGAACTTGCAGGCTGTCTCGCAGACCCTGAACGTGGTACGTCTGCAGGGATTACGCATGTAGGACAGCTTCAACAGAGCTGAAAGACTTCGATAAGGTGCATGTTGCAGGACTGCCTCTTCAAGCACCTATGAACTATGAACAATGTGGTCTGAGGTGGCGCAAATGTGTGCGGCAACAACTTTTTAAGGACTGAGGACCAACCAGGGCTGAACTCCTTCAGCTCATTCTGATTGAGTCATTGTCTATCATTGTTCCAATTTTTGCTGTCAGCTTCCAGGACTAAGTACAGCGTACTGCAGGTAGTTTTGCGCCCGAACACATATCCTATAATGAAAAAGTTTCAATGTGCTAGTTCAGGCGTAACAGGGTTTTAAATTTACTATTAGGGTTCCCCCGTAATAATAAAAACTGTCTTTCAATCAACTAAATGAATTAATGGGGCTCTTGAAACAAGAGATGCTTGAATATTGCCGATACTTTTGGAAGGCTATCACCTGCACCTCAGTTAGATTGGTTTGAACGCAGTGCATTTGGCCTCTGTGCGTCACTTCTATGGCTTCGGCAAACAGTGCCAGGCCCGGGGTGACCAGGCAACATAGCCCGGGACACAACCCGCATCTAGCACCCATACCTCAGCTACTGCAAATCAGAACCGCAAATCTCTGACCCCGTAAATATCGTAAATGGATCTTTCTGCAAAGTGGGATCTGAATTCAATGGCCAAAATCTGGGTGGAAGCAGTCTTCCTGGACAAAAAACTACCCATTCAGATGGGGTGACAAACCTGCTGCTCTTACCTAGGTGGAAAATATGCGACTTGGACTCTCTTTGATCAAAACCAGGCCTGCAACAATTTCAATTGCATTTTAGTGTCCGTTTGACATGCAACAGTTCATCAACACCCCGTGCGTGCGGAAGCTGATACCATTGCCAGGTGGTACGCCCCAACAAATAGCGGGAAGTCTGACAAGGTTGCACACTCAGTCGTCGAGAGCCTGCGAGGGGTCCAAACAAATGCCCAAATGCACAGAGTCAACGGTTTGCAGCACGTTCCAGATCCCTGGCGACACAGTTCGGAAGATTTCGGAAGCCTGAATCTGAAAACCACGCAACTTGTGCTGCGCGGGCGCGCGGACCCTTTTGAACCCCCTGAATCGCCTGAATCCCTTGTTACTACACATCGCAGGCCAAAACATTGAAGAAAAGTTGCCAATGGGGATGCCTGAAGGCTAACTTGCAGTATCTGCACACCCACCATTCAGAAACGAAATTGGTTTCATGGAGTATATCTCTAAACATTGCTGCCGTGGGAGTTGCTAGAACTGCGTGCGGAATGATGTAAACAAATCATGCGTAGTGATACGAGGCCAAAGTTCTGAGATATTTAGCAGCTTCAAGGCATTCGAAAATACACTCACATCAGCAAACTACTGTCCCGATCACTTCGACACGGCTGTCCACAGCAGTCTGTCTGAGCAAGATCCGCGAGATCGAGGCGGGAGAGGTCGGACCCTTTCATCTGAGACCTGGTGGAACCCCAGCTGAAGGAAGGTAAAATTGCGCGGGCAAGGGATATCTGACAGCTGCTGTTTTTCGAATCATATAGGTAGCCACAAAATGGACGAAAGATGCGAAGCAAAAGCGTCGCGGCTTCAAGAGAGAAGCTCTAGTGCCCAGTACAGCACAATCGTTTGGGAGGGAAGGGCTTACAAACGCTGGCTGTTCGGGCCACCTCCTTGGTTTTTTGCCTTGACATTGCTGAACATTCGAAGTCGATCTCCGTTCGACCGTCTTTTTTCCTAGGAAACTTTTGACAATGAGATGAACAAGTCTCTTTGGAGATATTGTCTGCCTTGGTTTCTCCACAACGCATATGCGACACACTGAGCATGCTAAGGGCTGCATCAACACGGTTTCTCTTTGGAGGAAATGCTAGTGGCAAGGAAAAACCATAATTGGGTTTCAACAGGCTACAGGCTAGCATGTTGGATGCAAAACATTGCTCGTCTTCCGCCTCGTCTTGTGCTTGAATCAGGCTACATTAAACACACGGATGCCCAAGTGGCTCATCACACCTGAACTGCTACGAGTCCAATCTGATCGCAAAAAACTCATCAGGTTCCATCACCTCCATCAGTGTCAAAACGTGTCACACGGCCAAAAATAATGCTGAAAGCCAAAACTTCCAGGTCCATCACGGTGCTCGAAACACGAATGATCCAAATGCCCCCGGGTCTTGCTTCTTGAAAATCTAATCCCTTCCTCCTAACACTAAACGTCCCCCTAATACTAAAAACAGGCGTCCATCTCCAATTTCAGAAAATTTCAGTATGGCCAATTTGACTCTTAATTGATCCCCTTTAAAAAACAATTTAAAAATCAAGCTACTATTTGTGGGTTATCCCCCCTAATACTAAAAACTAGTCAACCCCGGAGTGTTTATTATTAGGTGGGAAGCTTCGAAATCCAATTTTTGGCAATATTTTATTAATTGCGTTATATAAAGAAATTTAATTGATTTTGAGATCGGAAAAATAGTTTTTATCATTACGGGTTTTAAATTAATATTGGGGGGAAGCTTCGAAATCTAATTCTTGGCAATATTTTAATCGCGTTATATAAAGAAATTTAATTGATTTTGAGATCGGAAAAAATAGTTTTTATTATTAAGGGTTTTAATTTAATATTAGGGGGAAGCTTCGAAATCCAATTTTTTTGGCAATATGTTGATTGCGTTATATAAGGAAATTTAATTGATTTTGAGATCGAAAAAGTAGAGGGTTTAATTTTGTCAATAGGGTTCCCTAATAATAAATACCCCCCTAATACTAAAAACTACCTGCACTGTTTTGTATTAGGGGGGTTAGTATTAGGAGGAAGGGATTACTTCGCAGAAAACATATTGGAAACGCGACAACCAATGATGACAATCAAATGACATGTCAGTAGCATTGCGGCCATAAGGGACAACGAATGATATCGTTCGAAACATGAAAGACGTAGGAATTCCTCCGTCGCAAAGCCGCCACAAGAAGGGAGACAAATGGAGAGCCAAGTGGGGAGACCTGTCGGAAAGAAAACTGACCCAGGGCGGTCACGGAGGGGGGGATAGGAAAGACGAGAAAACCTTCGTCCCAAAGTAGCCACAAGAAGGAAAGCAAAATACACAGCGCAGTGATGAGACAGACAAATGGTGAGACACAATTCCCTTTCCTAGGGCCAGTGTGAAGTACCAAGACCAGTGGAGACAACACAAATGGAGAAGTACAGACAGCGTAGAAACACATTGGGGGCAATTTTGGGACCAAGGCAGCCAGTCCGAAGTGGGCGCCCCAGGCAACCACAAGAAGGAAGAATGGAGAGAAAAGTAGGGACGCAAGCAAGTGACAAATGGGAGACGATGCAAGTCCTCCGCTTCAATTCCGTTTGGAGACGACGCAAAAGTTGGGCTCTCTGCAAGGGGAATATTGAATAAGATGCCTAACTGCACACAAACTGTTTAGAGAAGCACCCCACACTTCGCACTCCGCCCTTCACACTCTCCACTCCACGCTTCACATTCCACACTTCCCACATTAGACTCCACACTCCACACTTCACACATTCGACTCGTGCCACTTCACAGTCTCCACTCCACACTTCACACTTCACACTCTCCACTCCACGCTTCACACTCCACACTCCACACTCCACACCACACTCCTCACTTCCCACATCACACTCCACACTCCACACTTCACACTCCAAACTTCAGACTCCACACTTCACGCTCCCCACTCCACACTTCCCACATCACACTTCACACTCTCCACTCCACACTCCCACTTCACACTTCACACTCTCCACTCCACACTTCACACTCCTCACTCCACAATGCACACTCTCCACTTCACACTCCACACTTCAAACTCCACACTTCACACTTCGCAATCACTGCGCAGTCACACCCCAGACTCCACACTCCACACTTCACAATCTCCACTCCACACTCCGCACTTACACTCGCCACTCCACGCTTCACACTCTCCACTTCACACTCCACACCCTAAAGAAACCCCAAATGAAACCCTAAAGAAACCTTAAAGAAACCCTAACTAAAGAAACCTGAAAGAAACCCTAAATAAACTCCGAAGAAACCTAAATGAAACCCTAACCCTAAAGAAACCCTAAATGAAACCTTCAAGAAACCCTAAAGACACCCTATTTCAATTACCTAACGTTCATTGATATATTGTTCTCTTTTATTCTTGAAAATACCCGCGAAATCAGAAATCCGCATATCCTTACCATCTGGTTATTTAACATAGCCATGGAAAATCACAATGCTATTAATAGCTATGTTAGTCATAACCAGATGGTAGAATATCAGGACCAATCCAAACGGACCATCTCCATGAAATCTGCATTTTTCTTCATCCAATCGCTGTGCAAATCAATGCCGAATCATCCCTTCATGGCCATCGGCTTCAACACGTCCAGGTCCTGTCCACTGAAAAATCCCCAGCTGGATGGCTTCGTTTGGAAAATACCAATGAACACTTGGATTTCTCATGGCTTAGAAAACCTCTATACTAAAATTTATTTAAGTTGCCCTCTGATCATTTCACATGGCCATGGAAAATGACCCAAAGTATAGATGAGCAACAAAAGTCCACGGCCATTTTCCATGGCCGCAGGATATTACCATAGCCAGCTGCTCCGTGCGCTGCTCTGGGCCTTTTCATGGAGCTGGTAAATCTTCTTGGCCACCAACCTATACCAGGTTGCTGCCCAAGAACGTTGGTGATTAGGGCTTTGGACCTCACGAAAAATAATCAAATGACATGTTCCATGGATTGAAATGCTAAGACCTCTTTGAGAGGTGGCTTGACCATGATATTTTAGGGATTCCGCATTCTGAAGATTGGATGTCAATCCTACAACCTTCGTATCGGATCGCATTTGAATGTTCTTTGCTATCCATGTTGCCATGTTGCAAAGGTGAGCAATGCATAACTATTGCCATACCCTCAAATAACTGGGCTCAAAGCTTAGATGTGGCAGTCAGGCAACCATTATCGGCTGTCCTGCGGCAAACAAACTCGAGTTGAGGCCGGAAAAACATTCCAAGACAACATCGAATACCATTTTCATCTGGTCATCTCTATTGTTCTAAGTAGCTCATCAAACATTTTTGACACGCAGCCGAACAGCCCCCCAGGAGCAGCCGAACTTCGGTCCAGGGCTCCAACACAGGCATCACTGCAATCGCTTGCATCAAGGCCGGAAGCTTATGTGCCTGGTCGCTGGGAGACTCCTTGTGATCCCATGGAATGCGCATGGTGGAAACCACATATATTTTGCTTATTACATATATGGGTTACATATCATAATGTATAAAGACATATATGATCAGCTCATTATGTTTACCACTGGGATATTATGGCTTTTGATTATCCCACCATTATATTAAAATGGCATAATATGGTGTATATGTATATATTAATATAAATATATATATATGTGATGGGATCCTTAAATTGGCCAGTACCATTCCCCTTTCCCATGGAGGTATCACATCCCACTCTTGCCTTCGCCACTGCATCCAGAGCAGTCTTAACAGCTGCCATGACCTGTGATTTGCTTATGGAACCACCAAACAATAAGACATATTCCCTATATTCCCTATAGATTCCTCAAGTAGTGAAAACAAACCTCAGCAAGTAAATCTAAGGACATGGGCAAAACATCAGAATCGCATTTTTCAGAAATTGACCATATCACATACCCCGGATTACGACAGGTTCATGGTTTGATAAGAGAAGTGATGATGGCGAGCTGTCAGCGGCAGTGGTTTGTCAATGGAGACCCCTTTTCATCAATTTTCATACAGAACATACAGATAATCTTCATAATCTATTGGAATTGGGGATAGCACAAAATATATCAAAATATCCTATTCTCAGAGAAACCATAACAAATTCTTGAACCTAGCCCTGGCCTTGGGGTCTTTGCAAAGAGCATCATCATCTTTCCCGGTGACCTCAAAAAGTCAGCCATCAGCAACTCGAAGTCATCGAGCCATGCTGGGTTCACCAACGCCATTCGCAGCAGCCAAAGCTAAGAGCTCCTTCTTCTTGCCTTGGGGCTTCGATAGTGATGTGGATGACATCTGACATAAGATAGATATTAATGGCTATTCAATTATACAGGGGTTATATCATGTTATATCATGTTATATCACAACTGATGGAGGGCTTATCACCATCATGTTATATCCATTTGTAACCTCAACCGCCAAGAAGCTGTGCCCCCTTGCAGACCCTTTATTGCACCCTGACAGCAACGATGCGCAGCCAAGTTGCACTGAGCAAGCAGGACGGGCAGATCGATTTCATGGCTTGCAAAAGAGCACACACCTGCAAAGGAGGTGTCTTTAAAAAGCACAACAAAACCAGGCATCTGGAGCTGCTCCGGGCAACTGGGCAACTGGTGAAAACATCATTTTTCTTGGATCGACGCAAGAAATCGGTCTAGGTCTCATGAATTTTGGGCTGATCGGCGCTGATCGGCCATGCTTTCAAACAGGATCTATAGAATCTATGATCACCCTGACCTCCAGCATCCGTGTTGACGAGTTCATGATTGTTGTAGGTCACATTGATCAGCTTCAAGGCAACGTGTTCGCCACCTTCCAGCTTCACCTGGAAACACGGAAAGCCACGGAAAGCGACGGAAAGCGAATCGAGGGGTAGTGAAGATTCCAAAGTTACTCATGTTATGGCTATATTATAGTACAACCATGGGATAGATATATAAAATCTTTTAGAATTAGATAGATAGATATATTGGATAAATATATGGTATATAGTTGGCAGCGGCTGAGACTGCAACAAGATTCTTCTTGTGATCGATGATCTTGACTTTTCCTCCAAGAGTGAACAGCATGTCACTGATTCGCTGCACGGCACTTGGGTGTAGAAGAAAAAATGGGGTGAATGGTGATACCCCACAAGGACAACTCTTCGTATACGGAAATCAACATAAAGTATATGACGTACCCCATAGGATCCATGTATGCTATATTAATGCTAACATAAAGGTGGTATATTGATGGTAAATGTTACCATATATAGCAGCACCATGGATCCGTCATGGGTACTATGACACAGCATCTTTATTATCAAACTTCGGGGTCTAGAACCACACCTTCGGGCGTGATCAGCCCGATGTCTCCAGAGTGGAACCTCAACACCGCGGCCCGTTACGGCCCGTTGAAACAGCGAAAGGGCTCAACGTCCAAGGCCCTGTGCCAGCCGTCTTTGTCGAAGTCTGCTGCCTCGTTGGATCTATGGAAAAAAAACATGATGCAAAAACACACCAAAAAAACACATACAAACACATCAAAATACAACATTTGATCAACATGTTACATGTTGATCAACATTTGAAACACACATCAGAAAAATTGGCAAAACCAAAGCCATCTTTTCTTCAGCTCTCATCGCCAAGCTGCTGTCTGCTCTGGCAGCTTGTAATAGCCAGAACCGATGGAATTACCTGACCGCAGGGAGTTTTACCAAGTACTATCCACAGCACTCTCCAAAGTTGTTCAGTGCTCCTTTTCCTTCTTCATGTTGCAAGCAAGCCCTCTTCAACCAATTCTGGTGCCGACTCTCATCCAAATTTCTCCCCGACCGCAGCAGGCGGAGCCATCTGAATGCACCTACCAAGAAGCTTCATCAGCTACCGGGATTTTGCTGAATCCCACAGCGATGAACTCTCCATCAATAGCACATTTTGGTGCACGACCATCCAAGCATCATCCGAGCGATTTAAGCAGTGCTCAAAACCTAGCATTGGTTGGTTTATAGGGATTCCCAGGTCATGAATTACTGATGATGATGATGATGATGATGATGATGGTGATGACGATGATGATGATGATGATGGTGATGATGGTGATGATGATGATGATGCTGGTGATGACGATGACGATGACGATGATGATGATGATGATGATGATGATGATGATGATGATGATGCTGGTGATGACGATGATGATGATGATGGTGATGATGGTGATGGTGATGATGATGATGCTGGTGATGACGATGATGATGATGATGGTGATGGTGATGGTGATGATGATGATGATGCTGGTGATGACGATGATGATTATGATGATGATGATGATGATGATGCTGGTGATGATGATGATGATGATGATGGTGATGATGGTGATGATGATGATGGTGATGATGATGATGATGATGATGCTGGTGATGACGAGGATGATGATGGTGATGATGATGATGATGCTGGTGATAACGATGGTGATGATGATGGTGATGATGATAATGATGATGGTGATGACGATGATGATGATGATGGTGATGATGGTGATGGTGATGATGATGATGCTGATGACGATGATGATGATGATGATGGTGATGCTGGTGATGACGATGATGATGATGGTGATGATGGTGATGGTGATGATGATGATGATGATGATGCTGGTGATGACGATGATGATGATGATGGTGATGGTGATGATGATGATGATGCTGGTGATGACGATGATGATGATGATGATGGTGATGATGGTGATGGTGATGATGATGATGATGATGCTGGTGATGACGATGATGATGATGATGATGGTGATGATGGTGATGGTGATGATGGTGATGCTGGTGATGACGATGAAGATTATGATGATGATGATGATGAAGATGATGACGATGATGATGATGATGATGATGATGCTGGTGATGACGATGATGATGATGGTGATGATGGTGATGATGATGATGATGATGATGATGGTGATGATGATGCTGGTGATGACGAGGATGATGATGGTGATGATGGTGATGGTGATGATGATGATGATGATGCTGGTGATGACGATGATGATGATGATGATGGTGATGATGGTGATGGTGATGATGATGGTGCCGCCTCTCATCCAAATTTCTCCCCGACCGCAGCAGGCGGAGCCATCTGAATGCACCTACCAAGAAGCTTCACCAGCTACCGGGATTTTGCTGAATCCCACAGCGATGAACTATCCATCAATAGCACATTTTGGTGCACGACCATCCAAGCATCATCCGAGCGATTTAAGCAGTGCTCAAAACCTATCATTGGTTGGTTTATAGGGATTCCCAGGTCATGAATTACTGATGATGATGATGATGATGATGATGATGTCGTCAATCCCCAATTTCCTGTCGAATCCCCGGGGAAAAGAACGTTGGTCCAGGCCTTGTCTGTACAAAGGTAGGGCTTGCCATCGTTGTCGGTGATCTCTGGCCTGGTTTCTCCATCAATGTGGGGATGGAGCCCCCAACGGCTATGAAAAAACATAGGCAAAATATTGGCAAAATGGATCAACATGGTATAACAGATTGATCAATGATATACTGGGTCAGGCATCTAAAACATTTCATTTGACACTGCCGGAAATTGAGTCTGGCCTGGGAATCCAGGGATCTGATGGATCTGAGGTGCCCGTACTCTGAGTGAAGTGTCAGTTCGACGGAGGACAGGACGGATCCAACGAATCCAACGGATGGATCTGCCAGCGGCTTTTGAAGCCTGGCAGTCAGGCGCTTCTCAGGCGGCTCTCCCGCAGTTGCCCACTATGTTCACGGCAAAACAAGGCGGAGCGGACACAGCGCCACCGCAGGTCTCTGTAAGGCCTGATGGCTGCAGATGGGGGGCAGGCAGGATCTGCCTTGCCTCTTCCCACATGATAGTGAAAAAACATAGAGCAACACACAAATAGATCACTTGGAAACCCGGAAATTGGGGAGCTCAAATTTAATGACAACGACTTGGCAGAACTTTTCTATGCCTTGGCTCGCATCCCTAAGCATCCAACCGTAACCTTGAATCATTCCTGACGAGGAAACCAAACATGTTCTGGTTGGTGGTTTCAACCCCTCTGAAAAATATGAGTTCGTCAATTGAGATTATTCTTCACAATCTATGAAATTCCATGGTTCCAGTCACCACCAAGCAGTAACCAGTGTTTGGCTTGTGTGTTGGACTGAACGAACGTCCCCTCCGGTGTGTTTTTTTTTCCATGGCTTGCGTTCGAGAAATGCCTCAGCAGTTCGATGATTTTCCCCAACCTGAACATCAGGGGAGATGGCACCACCGCCAGATCCACCAAGCCTCAACAAGGCTGGGCTGTCCGGGTCGCCGGGTAACAAAGGGGGCACTGAGAGGAGCTCTTTGCATGTCTTTGCGTAGCAAACTTGGTGTTTCTCAAGCTTGGGGGACCCCAACACCATGGGTTTCCCATGGTTTACCAATGAAAGTTTCCCATGGTTTACCAATGAAAGAAACGTGTTGGATCGTATAACATGTTATCTCTGTAAGATTATCTCCCCATTTCCTCTCTAAATATCGTGATTGCTACTATCTCCCTATGTTCTTGTATGTTCTTACATGTTTGTATTGTCTAGCTTTCCGCAGTTCCCTATTTTCTTGTTACTTTCTCCTTCCTATTTCGTCCATTGGTGGAACTTCCCAAATGGGAAGCCAGGCTGCACCATTGGTCTGTGAGGTTTCTGAGATCTCAACATGGACTTGAACTTCTTGAACACCTTGCCAAGCGGACTATTCAGCTCGCTGCAGCGCTTGAACCAATTCGCCCTCTTCGAACACAAGGTGGTACCCCCCTAGTTATGAGTTAAGTGATATTAAGTGTATAAACCCATCTACAAGCAAGTCACAACAGAATCACCATTAACCCTAGCTAAACTAGTACCAACTTAGTTGTGGGCACTACCCTCTAAGGAGCCAAGAAATTCCATCACTTTCTTCACCTTCCCGAGCTCGCGACCAACAGGTCGAACAGCGGTGTGTAGAGGTTCTGCCGCACCGCGGATTTCTTGATCCGCATCGCCAGCTTGAAGAGAAATGCCACCCTTGGAGCTTGATGCCCATCACCATCATCAGCATCATCCTAATGATAGATAGTTATAGCAAACCATACCAACACTAATTCAACAATAATTCATCATCGGATCATCATCATCATCATCATCATCATCATCATTCACCTGAAGTGCATCTGTCATCTTGCGCCTCGCATGTGCCCTTAGGCTGGGGCACAGGTCCACTCTTCTCAACTTTCGTCTCTGCACCTTCAGCTGGGGCAAGTAGCTTCACCATAAGGATTCTCATCATGGGATACATGACAGTAAACCAAATAATATACCCTCTGGTAAATAAACATAGACCCTGAAATCACCAATTTTTAATGGAAACTAGTCTTCCAACCCCTATCTGCCAGGGTCTATGTTAATTTACCAGAGGGTACCATGTTTCTACCATGGCACGTATGGTCTCTAAACTCTTCACCCTTATGATTTTGTCAAGGCATAGCCGGTGGCACAGGCTATCACATCTCGGCCACTAGCTGATTAGACAATGAGAATAAGTGAGCCCTTGTGACTCATGACAAATTACTATAAAATGCACCCTTCCAACCTTATCATAGCTGCGAGTAGTCACTATAGATAGGTTTTCAGTTGCTCATTTCAAGAGTTTCATGAAAAGGTGGAAGGACATTAAACCCCAAGATTTCTAGGTGAGATCCCTATCTTTCCTGGTTACCCTAAGGTAAACGTTTGCATAGATGTGGAGTTTACCCACTAAAAGATAGGAAAACGTAGGTCGTTTTCCGTTCCCGGGAATCCCCATGGCTTTTCTGCATCCATGTCACTTATGGAACCCGTTCCCGGGTACCCTCTGGTAATGACTAACAGTTTGCTATTGAAAATGACCATAGTCATATAATGTCATATAGTTTTGTATTTACCCGTCAAAAATGAATAAAATTCCATTGCTTTTTGTATGTTTACCAAAGGGTGACTGAACGTGATCAGCTGAATAGTGCGCCTGTAGAGATTTGAGTCGGCTGGCAATTTGGCTGTAAATATCCCAAGTGCCACTTGCGCCAGCAGCACAAACGGTAACGGCAACAACGCTCACTCTGCATGGTGTCTTTGCACGACATGCCTTCGGTAGAGCTGCACGACAACTCCTGGGCAGGATTGTCATCATTTCGTTTGCAGCAGCGTGGCGTTGGAGCGCTGCAACATTTCTTTGTGATACATCCGTCTTTCTATGTCTTTCTAACTCCAAGGGTCGGCAGTATTACCCAGTTGCAGCAAACCAGTTGCGCATCAGAGACCCTTAAAGGACATTTGCGTTGGTTTGCCTGTTCGGAAGGACCAGTCAAATAGTCAGCGTTGAGCCGGGCGGCTGTGACTTGACAAGGCCGCAGGCAACCGCTTTCACTTCCAAAGGTGACGGCGCGCCAAAATTATCCAATTTTCCGCAAGAAATGTGCTCAGCGACAGCTCAAGGCGGGATTCTTTTCATACCCTTTCATCAAGATTTTTGACCTGGCTCATTTTGCTCTGCCATATATTATTTGTATATTTATCCCAATCATTTCAGCTGCTCGTCATTTGGTGTACCATGATGTACTCACTGAACTTCTGTCCACGGAATTGTGGGGCGTTAGGCAATCAAATGATGCTGGGTCGGCCAATGGGCCTGACAATCTCCAAACATTGCAAACATGTGCGTGCTTCTTGTGGCCAATGTCACTAGCAACTGAGCACAATGCGCATCTTTTCTTAGTTTCTTCTTGAACCACTGGGTGGCGGCATGCGTGTTCCGTTGCGTCTTAAGTTTCAACCCTCCTAAGCCGTGACCCTCCAAACCACTGTAGTAGGGATACGAAGCATCGGATCAAGAATCATCTCCCAAGACCGGAGTGACATTACAGAAGTGGTCAACGAACCAAAAAACAAGGCGGGGTCAAACCTCCCATCTGCCAAACATCCACTGGGAACTGGGCAAGTTCCAACAATCAAATCAAAGCCTATTCGGAAGCCAGCGCGATCCTAGGTGCAGAGAAAGCCTGGCACCTCGCTCCTATCGCATCTCTATGGTCGCAGCCGTTCTTTGTGATCTACAGGTGGGATCTGATCAAAACCCCTGCGCCCCAAGCAGCTGACCCGTTGCAGCCAGCTGAAACTCTGAGAAGTGGTTTATTGAACCGCGCAGAGTGCCAATCTCCTGAGCTTTGGAATGTCCATGGCCGAGGGCACCTTTTCAGCGTGTGGGATTTGCCAATAACCATTTCAATTCGAAGAAGCAGCTGCCATCAACAGGGACGTCTCAAAGGACAATTGAAGATGGTGCAACATGCTCATTTGGTGTACCATGATGTACTCGCTAAACTTCTGTCCAAGGAATCGTGGGGCCGTTAGGGAATCAAATGATGCTGGGTCGGCCAATGGGCCGACAATCTCCAAACATTGCAAACATGTGCGTATTTCTCAAGACTTCTTGGTTTCTGTCGGTCTTGCTAAATGGGATCTTACACGGCTTGGCAGCCCCTCAATTTGATACCCTCAAGATCAAACAAACCCCCTTGTCCGACATTTTAGAACCCCGGATCTGGGGTCTAAAATCGTTTTCCCTTAAAAAACCCAAGGTTTCCCAATTTGTGGACGGAGACCATTCTAGAACCCCAAAGTGTACGGAGGGATAAGAGACACGTCCTCCCAGCTTTGCAGGGATTTAAGCCAAGCTGATTGCATCTGAATAACTGATGAGGCTCGGAGGCTAGGTTTCAAGCATGCAGAGATACTGCGTTTGAGGCAAACAGGTTGCCAACTGCCTCCGCCCATGAGTTTGCATGTTACATGTCTCACAGGTTCCTGATATTTGACGCCAATGATTGGATAGAGAACTGCATGACTCGTGAGTTGTCCGGAACTGGAATGTCCATGGCCGAGGGCACCTTTTCAGCGTGTGGGATTTGCCAAAAACCATTCCAATTCAAAGAAGCAGCTGCCATCAACAGGGACGTCTCACAGGACAATTGAAGATGGTGCAACATGTGCAGCTGCAAAGGCCTCAGCCAAATCCCTGAACATTTGCGTTGGTTTGCCTGTTCGGAAGGAGTCAAATAGTTAGCGTTGAGCCGGGCGGCTGTGACTTGACAAGGCCGCAGGCAACCGCTTTCACTTCCAAAGGTGACGGCGCGCCAAAATTATCCAATTTTCCGCAAGAAATGTGCTCGGCGACAGCTCAAGGCGGGATTCTTTTCATACCCTTTCATCAAGGTTTTTGACCTGGCGCATTTTGCTCTGCCATATATTTGTATATTTATCCCAATCATTTCAGCTGCTCATTTGGTGTACCATGATGTACTCGCTGAACTTCTGTCCACGGAATTGTGGGGCGTTAGGCCAAATGATGCTGGGTCGGCCAATGGGCCTGACAATCTCCAAACATTGCAAACATGTGCGTGCTTCTTGTGGCCAATGTCACTAGGAGCCAACAGCCATACCCAAGACACCGGAAACGGAAGAGCCAAACAATTATTTCTCAAGACTTCTTGGTTTCTGTCGGTCTTGCTAAATGGGGTCTTACACGGCTTGGCAGCCCCTCAATTTGCGTGTTTTCGGGAAGCAATCTAGCACTGAGCCTGCAGTGCTAACTGATTCTTTTGCATCACTCTAGTACCACGTTCATTGCACCTTGTCCCACGAGCCTTTAGTGCCACATTCATTCTACCATTGGTAGCTTTTCCACTGGACGGGAGCGTTCAAGACGTCACTATGCTGGAGCACAGACATTGATCCGAGACAAGACTAGCAACAAACGTCGAATTCCACTTTTTTTGTTTGATAACCCTGGGGTAGTGATCCAATTGCGCGCATGGAATTTCAAAGTAACATTTCTTGACCAGCCTTGGGCACTGGTTTGAAAATACTTGCGCTTAGCTCCTCCGGAGCTAAGCGCAAGTATGATGATGGCAACGCAATTTTTGGAGGGATGCCACCCCTACACATGTGCTGCTTCAGTCTGACATGCGCTTGGTTCCTCCGGAGCTAAGCGCAAGTATCTAATTTTGATCTGTTTGCCAATGATATGGAATGACGAGGAATGTTGATCATTGAGAAAACATAATACAAAAATGGAATTTTAAAATGACATTTCAGTACGACTCCCCCCTCAAATTTCATTTTTAAGAGGGTAGGGATCAAACCATGGGCCTTCTAGAGACCTCTTGTGACGCAAAAGCCAGAACTTGCAGGCTGTCTCGCAGACCCTGAGCGTGGTACGTCTGCAGGGATTACGCATGTAGGACAGCTTCAACAGAGCTGAAAGACTTCGATAAGGTGCATGTTGCAGGACTGCCTCTTCAAGCACCTATGAACTATGAACAATGTGGTCTGAGGTGGCGCAAATGTGTGCGGCAACAACTTTTTAAGAACTGAGGACCAACCAGGGCTGAACTCCTTCAGCTCATTCTGATTGAGTCATTTTTGTCCATCATTGTTCCAATTTTTGCTGTCAGCTTCCAGGACTAAGTACAGCGTACTGCAGGTAGTTTTGCGCCCGAACACATATCCTATAATGAAAAAGTTTCAATGTGCTAGTTCAGGCGTAACAGGGTTTTAAATTTACTATTATAGGGTTCCCCCGTAATAATAAAAACTGTCTTCCATCAACGAAATGAATTAATGGGGCTCTTGAAACAAGAGATGCTTGAATATTGCCGATACTTTTGGAAGGCTATCACCTGCACCTCAGTTAGATTGGTTTGAACGCAGTGCATTTGGCCTCTGTGCGTCACTTCTATGGCTTCGGCAAACAGTGCCAGGCCCGGGGTGACCAGGCAATATAGCCCGGGACACAACCCGCATCTAGCACCCATACCCCGGCTACTGCAAATCAGAACCGCAAATCTCTGACCCCGTAAATATCGTAAATGGATCTTTCTGCAAAGTGGAACCTGAATTCAATGGCCAAAATCTGGGTGGAAGCAGTCTTCCTGGAAAAAAGACTACCCATTCAGATGGGGTGACAAACCTGCTACCTAGGTGGAAAATATGCGACTTGGACTCTCTTTGATCAAAAACAGGCCTGCAACAATTTCAATTGCATTTTAGTTTTAATGTCCATTTGACATGCATTAGTTCATCAACACCCCGTGCGTGCGGACGCTGATATCATATCATTGCCAGGTGTTACGCCCCAACAAATAGCGGGAAATCTGACAATGCACACTCAGTCGTAGAGAGCCTGCGAGGGGCCCAAACAAATGCCCAAATGCACAGAGTCAACGGTTTGCAGCACGTTCCAGATCCCTGGCGACCCAGTTCGGAAGATTTCGGAAGCCTGAATCTGAAAACCACGCAACTTGTGCTGCGCGGGCGCGCCGGGCGCGCGGACCCTTTTGAACCCCCTGAATCGCCTGAATCCCTTGTTACTACACATTGCTGGCCAAAACATTGAAGAAAAGTTGCCAATGGGGATGCCTGAAGGCTAACTTGCAGTATCTTCACAACCATTCAGAAACGAAATTGGTTTCATGGAGAAATATCTCTAAACATTGCTGCCGTGGGAGTTGCTAGAACTGCGTGCGGAATGATGTAAACAAATCATGCGTTGTGATACGAGGCCAAAGTTCTGAGATGTTTAGCAGCTTCAAGGCATTCGAAAATACACTCAAATCAGCAAACTACTGTCCCGATCACTGCGACACGGCTGTCCACAGCAGTCTGTCTGAACAAGATCCGTGAGATCGAGGCGGGAGAGGTCGGACCCTTTCATCTGAAACCTGGTGGAACTCCAGCTGAAGGTAAAATGGCGCGGGCAAGGGATATCTGACAGCTGCTGTTTTTCGAATATACGTAGCCACAACATGGACGAAAGATGCGAAGCAAAAGCGTCGCGGCTTCAAGAGAGAGGGCTGCATCAACACGGTTTCTCTTTGGGGGAAATGCTAATGGCAAGGAAAACACATACTTGGGTTTCAGCAGGCTAGCATGTTGGATGCAAAACATTGCTCGTCTTCCGCCTCGTCTTGTGCTTGAATCAGGCTACATTAAACACACGGATGCCCAAGTGGCTCATCACACCTGAACTGCTACGAGTCCAATCTGATCGCAAAAAAACTCATCAGGTTCCATCACCTCCATCTCAGTGTCAAAACGTGTCACGCGGTCAAAAATAATGCTGAAAGCCAAAAACTTCCAGGTCCATCACGGTGCTCGAAACACGAATGATCCAAATGCCCCCGGGTCTTGCTTCTTGAATTTTACTTCAGAAAACATATTGGAAATGCGACAACCAATGATGACAATCAAATGACATGTCAGTAGCATTGCGGCCATAAGGGACAACGAATGATATCGTTCGAAACATGAAAGACGTAGGAATTCCTCCGTCGCAAAGCCGCCACAAGAAGGGAGACAAATGGAGAGCCAAGTGGGGAGACCTGTCGGAAAGAAAACTGACCCAGGGCGGTCACGGAGGGGGGGATAGGAAAGACGAGAAAACCTTCGTCCCAAAGTAGCCACAAGAAGGAAAGCAAAATACACAGCGCAGTGATGAGACAGACAAATGGTGAGACACAATTCCCTTTCCTGGGGCCAGTGTGAAGTACCAAGACCAGTGGAGACAACACAAATGGAGAAGTACAGTCAGTGTAGAAACACATTGGGGACAATGGGGGCCAGTGTGAAGTACCAAGACCAGTCGAGACAACACAAATGGAGAAGTACAGACAGCGTAGAAACACATTGGGGGCAATTTTGGGACCAAGGCAGCCAGTCCGAAGTGGGCGCCCCAGGCAACCACAAGAAGGAAGAATGGAGAGAAAAATAGGGACGCAAGCAAGTGACAAATGGGAGACGATGCAAGTCCTCCGCTTCAATTCCGTTTGGAGACGACGCAAAAGTTGGGCTCTCTGCAAGTTGGAATATTGAATAAGATGCCTAACTGCATACAAACTGTTTGGAGAAGCACCCCACACTTCGCACTCCGCACTTCACACTCTCCACTCCGCGCTTCACACTCCACACTCCACACCACACTCCTCCATCCAACATCACACTCCACACTTCACACTCCAAACTTCAGACTCCACACTTCACGCCCCCCACTCCACACTTCCCACATCACACTTCACACTCTCCACTTCACATTCCAAACTTCAGACTCCACACTTCACGCCCCCCACTCCACACTTCCCACATCACACTTCACACTTCACACTCTCCACTTCACACTCCACACTTCAAACTCCACACTTCACACCTCGCAATCACTGCGCAATCACACCCCAGACTCCACACTTCACAATCTCCACTCCACACTCCACACTTACACTCTCCATTCCACGCTTCACACTCTCCACTTCACACTCCACACCATAAAGAAACCCCAAATGAAACCCTAAAGAAACCTTAAAGAAACCCTAACTAAAGAAACCTGAAAGAAACCCTAAATAAACTCTGAAGAAACCTCAATGAAACCCTAACCCTAAAGAAACCCTAAATGAAACCTTCAAGAAATCCTTAAGACACCCTATTTCAATTACCTAACGTTCATTGATATATTGTTCTCGTTTATTCTTGAAAATACCCGCGAAATCAGAAATCCGCATATCCTTACCATCTGGTTGTTTAACATAGCCATGGAAAATCACCATGCATTTTTCATAGGTAAACCATCTATTCCGATAAGGGCCATCGATACCAAACCATGGCGAACTGTGAATGTCATAACCAGAAGGTAGAATATCAGGACCAATCCAAACGGACCATCTGAAATCTGCATTTTTCTTCATCCAATCGCTGTGCAAATCAATGCCGAATCATCCCTTCATGGCCATCGGCTTCAACACGTCCAGGTCCTGTCCACTGAAAAATCCCCAGCTGGATGGTTTCATTTGGAAAATACCAATGAATACTTGGAATTCTCATGACTTAGAAAACCTCTATATACTAACATATATTTAAGTTGCCCTCTGGTCATTTCACATGGCCATGGAAAATGACCCAAAGTATAGATGAGCAACAAAAGTCCACGGCCATTTTCCATGGCCGCAGGATATTACCATAGCCAGCTCCGTGCGCTGCTCCTGGCCTTTTCATGGAGCTGGTAAATCTTCTTGGCCACCAACCTATACCAGTTTGCTGCACAAGAACTTTGGTGATTAGGGCTTTGGACCTCACAAAACATCATCAAAGGATATGTTCCATGGATTGAAATGCTAAGACCTCTTTGAGAGGTGGGTTGACCATGACATTTTCTGAAGATTGGATGTCAATCCTACAACCTTCGTACCGGATCGCATTTGAATGTTCTTTGCTATCCATGTTGCCATGTTGCAAAGGTGAGCAATGCATAACTATTGCCATACCCTCAAATAACTGGGCTCAAAGCTTAGATGTGGCAGTCAGGCAGCCATTATCGGCAGTCCTGCGGCAAACAAACTCGAGTTGAGGCCGGAAAAGCATTCCAAGACAACATTTAATACCATTTTCATCTGGTCATCTCTATTGTTCTAAGTAGCTCATGAAACATTTTTGACACGCAACAGCCGAACAGCCCCCCAGCAGCAGCCGAACTTCGCGGGTCCAGGGCTCCAACACAGGCATCACTGCAATCGCTTGCATCAAGGCCGGAAGCTTATGTGCCTGGTCGCTGGGAGACTCCTTGTGATCCCATGGAATGCGCATGGTGGAAACCACATATATTTCGCTTATTACATATAATTATGGGTTACATATCATAATGAATAATGACATATTATATGATCAGCTCATTATGTTTACCACTGGGACTGGGATATTATGGCTTTTGATTATCCCACCATTATTGGTACATGCCATAATATGGTATATGTATATATTAATATATATATGATGGGGATCCTGAAATTGGACAGTACCATTCCCCTTTCCCATGGAGGTATCACATCCCACTCTTGCCTTCGCCACTGCATCCAGAGCAGTCTTAACAGCTGCCATGACCTGTGATTTGCTTATGGAAGCACCAAAAAATAAGACATATTCCCTATATTTCCTATAGATTCCTCAAGTAGTGAAAACAAACATCAGCAACTAAATCTAAGAACATGGGCAAAACATCAGAATCGCATTTTTCAGAAATTGACCATAACACATACCCCGGATTACGACACGTTCATGGTTTGATAAGAGAAGTGATGATGGCGAGCTGTCCACGGCAGTGGTTTGTCAATGGGGGAGACCCCTTTTCATCAATTTTCATACAGAACATACAGATAATCTTCATAATCTATTGGAATTGGGTATATATATATATATCAAAATATCCTATTCTCAGAGAAACCATAACAAATTCTTGAACCTAGCCCTGGCCTTGGGGTCTTTGCAAGAGCATCATCATCTTTCCCGGTGACCTCAAAAAGTCAGCCATCAGCAACTCTCGAAGTCATCGAGCCATGCTGGGTTCACCAACGCCATTCGCAGCAGCCAAAGCTAAGAGCTCCTTCTTCTTGCCTTGGGGCTTCGATAGTGATGTGGATGACATCTGACATAAGATAGATATTAATGACTATTCAATTATACAGGGGTTATATCATGTTATATCACAACTGATGGAGGGCTTATCACCATCATGTTATATCCATTTGTAACCTCAACCGCCAAGAAGCTGTGCCCCCTTGCAGACCCTTTATTGCACCCTGACAGCAACGATGCGCAGCCAAGTTGCACTGAGCAAGCAGGACGGGCCGATCGATTTCATGGCTTGCAAAAGAGCACACACCTGCAAAGGAGGTGTCTTTAAAAAGCACAACAAAACCAGGCATCTGGAGCTGCTCCGGGCAACTGGGCAACTGGTGAAAACATCATTTTTCTTGGATCGACGCAAGAAATCGGTCTAGGTCTCATGAATTTTGGGCTGATCGGCGCTGATCGGCCATGCTTTCAAACAGGATCTATAGAATCTATGATCACCCTGACCTCCAGCATCCGCGTTGACGAGTTCATGATTGTTGTAGGTCACATTGATCAGCTCCAAGGCAACGTGTTCGCCTTCTTTCAGCTTCACCTGAAACACGGAAAGCCACGGAAAGCGAATCGAGGGGTAGTGAAGATTCCAAAGTTACTCATGTTATGGCTATATTGTAGTACAACCATGGGATAGATATATAGAATCTTATAGAATTATATAGATAGATATATTGGATAAATATATGGTATATAGTTGGCAGCGGCTGAGACTGCAACAAGATTCTCTTTGCGATCGATGATCTTGACTTTTCCTCCAAGAGTGGACAGCCTTTCACTGATTCGCTGCACGGCACTTGGGTGTAGAAGAAAAAATGGGGTGAATGGTGATACCCCACAAGGACAACTTTTCGTATACGGAAATCAACATAAAGTATATGACGTACCCCATAGGATCCATGTATGCTATATTAATGCTAACATAAAGGGGGTATATTGATGGGATCCATGTTACCATTAATATAGCATACATGGATCCTATGGGTACTATGACACAGCATCTTTATTATCAAACTTCGGGGTCTAGAACCACACCTTCGGGCGTGATCAGCCCGATGTCTCCAGAGTGGAACCTCAACACCGCGGCCCAACGGCCCGTTGAAACAGCGAAAGGGCTCAACGTCCAAGGCCCTGTGCCAGCCGTCTTTGTCGAAGTCTGCTGCCTCGTCGGATCTATGGAAAAAAAACATGATGCAAAAACACACATCATTAAAACAAAAAAAATACATAAAAACACACAACATTTGATCAACATGTTGATCAACATTTGAAACACACATCAGAAAAAAAGATGCAAAACCAAAGCCATCTTTTCTTCAGCTCTCATCGCCAAGCTGCTGTCTGCTCTGGCAGCGTGTAATAGCCAGAACCGATGGAATTACCTGACCGCAGGGAGTTTTACCAAGTACTATCCACAGCACTCTCCAAAGTTGTTCATTGCTCCTTTTCCTTCTTCATGTTGCAAGCAAGCCCTCTTCAACCATTTTTTCTGTGTTATCTGTCTGTGTTCTTTCTTTGTCTCGCTGCTTCCTCCAACTTCCAATTCTGGTGCCGCCTCTCATCCAAATTTCTCCCCGGCCGCAGCAGGCGGAGCCATCTGAATGCACCTACCAAGTTGCCAAGAAGCTTCATCAGCTACCGGGATTTTGCTGAATCCCACAGCGATGAACTCTCCATCAATAGCACATTTTGGTGCACGACCATCCAAGCATCATCCGAGCGATTTAAGCAGTGCTCAAAACCTATCATTGGTTGGTTTATAGGGATTCCCAGGTCATGAATTATTATTGATGATGATGATGATGATGTCGTCAATCCCCAATTTCCTGTCGAATCCCCGGGGAAAAGAACGTTGGTCCAGGCCTTGTCTGTACAAAGGTAGGGCTTGCCATCGTTGTCGGTGATCTCTGGCCTGGTTTCTCCATCAATGTGGGGATGGAGCCCCCAACGGCTATGAAAAAACATAGGCAAAATATTGGCAAAATGGATCAACATGGTATAACAGATTGATCAATGATATACTGGGTCAGGCATCTAAAACATTTCATTTGACACTGCCGGAAATTGAGTCTGGCCTGGGATCTGATGGATCTGAGGTGCCCGTACTCTGAGTGAAGTGTCAGTTCGACGGAGGACAGGACGGATCCAACGAATCCAACGGATGGATCTGCCAGCGGCTTTTGAAGCCTGGCACTCAGGCGCTTCTCAGGCGGTTCTCCCGCAGTCACCCACTGCTGTTGGAAAACCACGATATGTTCACGGCAAAACAAGGCGGAGCGGACACAGCGCCACCGCAGGTCAAATAGATCACTTGGAAACCCGGAAATTGGGGAGCTCAAATTCGGAGCTCAAATTCAACGACAACGACTTGGCAGAACTTTTCTATTGGCTCGCATCCCTAAGCATCCAACTTTGAATGAGAGGACAGCCAAAGGCTGTCCGCACCCATTCCTGACACTCGAGGAAAGCGCTACGAAATCCCTCAGCAGTTGGATGATTTTCCCCAACCTGAACATCAGGGGAGATGGCACCACCGCCAGATAATGTGAACTTCATACATCCACCAAGCCTCAACAAGGCTGGGCTGTCACCGGGTAACAAGGGGGCACTGAGAGGAGCTCTTTGCATGTCTTTGCGTAGCAAACTTGGTGTTTCTCAAGCTTGGGGGACCCCAACACCATGGGTTTCCCATGGTTTACCAATGAAAAAAATGTGTTGGATCATGTTGGATCGTATAACATGTTATCTCTGTAAGATTATCTCCCTATTTCCTCCCTTAATATCGTGATTGCTACTATCTCCCTATGTTCTTGTATGTTCTTACATGTTTGTATTGTCTAGCTTTCCGCAGTTCCCTATTTTCTTGTTACTTTCTCCTTCCTATTTCGTCCATTGGTGGAACTTCCCAAATGGGAAGCCAGGCTGCACCATTGGTTTCTGAGGTTTCTGAGATCTCAACATGGACTTGAACTTCTTGAACACCTTGCCAAGCGGACTATTCAGCTCGCTGCAGCGCTTGAACCATTCGCCCTCTTCGAACACAAGGTGGTACCCCCCTAGTTATAAGTTAAGTGATATTAAGTGTATAAACCCATCTACAAGCAAGTCACAACAGAACCACCATGAACCCTAGCTAAACTAGTACCAACTTAGTTGTGGGCACTACCCTCTAAGGAGCCAAGAAATGCCATCACTTTCTTCACCTTCCTGAGCTCGCGACCAGCAGGTCGAACAGCAGTGTGTAGCGGTTCTGCCGCACCGCGGATTTCTTGATCCGCATCGCCAGCTTGAAGAGAAATGCCACCCTTGGAGCTTGATGCCCATCACCATCATCAGCATCATCCTAATGATAGATAGTTACAGCAAACCATACCAACAATATCCAACAATAATTCAACAATAATTCATCATCGGATCATCATCATCATCATAATCATCATCATCATCACCACCATCATCATCATCATCATCATCATTCACCTGAAGTGCATCTGTCATCTTGCGCCTCGCCCTTAGGCCCTTAGGCTGGGGCACAGGTCCACTCTTCTCAACTTTCGTCTCTGCACCTTCATCTGGGGCAAGTAGCTTCACCATAAGGATTCTCATCATGGGATAAATGACAGTAAACCATATAATATACCATGATATACATGTTTCTACCATGGCACGTATGGTCTCTAAACTCTTCACCCTTGTGATTTTGTCAAGGCATAGCCGGTGGCACAGGCTATCACATCTCAGCCACACTAGCTGATTAGACAATGAGAATAAGTGAGCCCTTGTGATTCATGACAAATTACTATAAAATGCACCCTTCCAACCTTATCATAGCTGCGAGTAGCCACTATAGATAGGTTTTCAGTTGCTCATTTCAAGAGTTTCATGAAAAGGTGGAAGGACATTAAAACCCAAGATTTCTAGGTGAGATCCCTATCTTTCCTTCTTACCCTAGGGTAAACGTTTGCATAGATGTGGAGTTTACCCACTAAAAGATACTAAAACGTAGATCGTTTTCCGTTTCCGGGAATCCCCATGGCTTTTCTGCATCCATGTCACTTATGGAACCCGTTCCCGGGTACCCTCTGGTAATGACTAACAGTTTGCTATTGAAAATGACCATAGTCATATAATGTAATATAGTTTTATATTTACCCGTCAAAAATGAATAAAATTCCATAGCTTTTTGTATGTTTACCAAAGGGTGACTGAACGTGATCAGCTGAATAGCGCGCCTGTAGAGATTTGAGTCGGCTGGCAATTTGGCTGTAAATATCCCAAGTGCCACTTGCGCCAGCAGCACAAACGGTAACGGCAACAACGCTCACTCTGCATGGTGTCTTTGCACGACACGCCTTCGGTAGAGCTGCACGACAACTCCTGGGCAGGATTGTCATCATTTCGTTTGCAGCAGCCTGGCGTTGGAGCGCTGCAACATTTCTTTGTGATACATCCGTCTTTCTATGTCTTTCTGACTCCAAGGGTCGGCAGCATTACCCAGTTGCAGCAAACCAGTTGCGCATCAGAGACCCTTAAAGGACGGAATGGGCAAATCAACCCATGATGGGCAGCTGCTGCCTCTGACAGGGGGCAAAGCTCGGCCAAGGTCTGACCCACAGAACCAGGTATCTTCCAAGCCGTGACGGACAGCCCATGCGATCACATATTCTAAACATTCCGAATTTCTTGAGAAGCTTTAGCAGCAAAATTGGGTTGACGTGGATTCGATTGCAAACTTGAAAGCATGAGCACAACTACGAGTAGGAGGCAGTCTACGTAGGGCCAAACATCCACAAACAAGAATTGCGTAACCTCTGGGAAAAGTATAACGAGGAATGCATGCGAACAAGCCTGCCAGCATTGCCTTTCCTGAAGCCTGCCAGCATTCCTTTCCTGCCTCTGTTAGGCTTGAATGCGCAAACACAGCATGGAGAAGAGACACGTCCTCCCAGCTTTGCAGGGATTTAAGCCAAGCTGATTGCATCTGAAGAACCGATGAGGCTCGGAGGCTAGGTTTCAAGCATGCAGAGATACTGCGTTTGAGGCAAACAGGTTGCCAACTGCCTCCGCCCATGAGTTTGCATGTTACATGTCTCACAGGTTCCTGATATTTGACGCCAATGATTGGATAGAGAATTGCATGACTCGTGAGTTGTCCGGAACTGGAATGTCCATGGCCGAGGGCACCTTTTCAGCGTGTGGGATTTGCCAAAAACCGTTCCAATTCAAAGAAGCAGCTGCCATCAACAGGGACGTCTCACAGGACAATTGAAGATGGTGCAACATGCTCATTTGGTGTACCATGTACCATGATGTACTCGCTAAACTTCTGTCCAAGGAATCGTGGGGCGTTAGGGAATCAAATGGTGCTGGGTCGGCCAATGGGCCAACAATCTCCAAACATTGCAAACATGTGCGTATTTCTCAAGACTTCTTGGTTTCTGTCGGTCTTGCTAAATGGGGTCTTACACGGCTTGGCAGCCCCTCAATTTGATACCCTCAAGATCAAACAAACCCCCTTGTCCGACATTTTAGAACCCCGGATCTGGGGTCTAAAATCGTTTTCCCTTAAAAAACCCAAGGTTTCCCAATTTGTGAACGGAGACCATTCTAAAACCCCAAAGTGTACGGAGGGATAAGAGACACGTCCTCCCAGCTTTGCAGGGATTTAAGCCAAGCTGATTGCATCTGAATAACTGATGAGGCTCGGAGGCTAGGTTTCAAGCATGCAGAGATACTGCGTTTGAGGCAAACAGGTTGCCAACTGCCTCCGCCCATGAGTTTGCATGTTACATGTCTCACAGGTTCCTGATATTTGACGCCAATGATTGGATAGAGAACTGCATGACTCGTGAGTTGTCCGGAACTGGAATGTCCATGGCCGAGGGCACCTTTTCAGCGTGTGGGATGTGCCAAAAACCATTCCAATTCAAAGAAGCAGCTGCCATCAACAGGGACGTCTCACAGGAAAATTGAAGATGGTGCAACATGTGCAGCTGCAAAGGCCTCAGCCAAATCCCTGAACATTTGCGTTGGTTTGCCTGTTCGGAAGGACCAGTCAAATAGTCAGCGTTGAGCCGGGCGGCTGTGACTTGACAAGGCCGCAGGCAACCGCTTTCATCCAAAGGTGACGGCGCGCCAAAATTATCCAATTTTCCGCAAGAAATGTGCTCGGCGACAGCTCAAGGCTGGATTCTTTTCACACCCTTTCACCAAGATTTTTGACGTGGCGCATTTTTCTCTGCCATATATTTATATATTTGTCCCAATCATTTCAGCTGCTCATTTGGTGTAGCATGAAGTACTCGTTGAACTTCTGTCCAAGGAATCGTGGGGCGTTAGGGAATCAAATGATGCTGGGTCGGCCAATGGGCCAACAATCTCCAAACATTGCAAACATGTGCGTATTTCTCAAGACTTCTTGGTTTCTGTCGGTCTTGCTAAATGGGGTCTTACACGGCTTGGCAGCCCCTCAATTTGCGTGTTTTCGGGAAGCAATCTAGCACTGAGCCTCGGAGGCTAGCTTTCAAGCTGCAAAGGCCTTAGCATGTTGCAGTTGATGTTACCAGCACGATCCTACGAGTAGGTGCAGACAAAGCCTGGCACCTCGCTCCTATCGCATCTCTAAATCGAAGACACGTGGCTTGGGCCACCTCCAAAATTCAAAGGATTCCCTTATACCAAAGGTGGACATGCTGGTACCATGGTGTACTTGCTGAACTTCTGTCCACGGAATCGGGGGGCGCAAGGCTTTAGGCAAGGCCAATGGGCCTGACAATCTCCAAACATTGCAAACGTGTGCGTGCTTCTTGTGGCCAATGTCACTAGGAGCCAACAGCCATACCCAAGCTACCGGAAACAGAAGAGCCAAACAATTATTTCTCAAGACTTCTTGGTTTCTGTCGGTCTTGCTAAATGGGGTCTTACACGGCTTGGCAGCTCCTCAATTTGCGTGTTTTCCGGGAGCAATCTAGCACTGAGCCTGCAGTGCTAACTGATTCTTTTGCATCACTCTAGTACCACGTTCATTGCACCTTGTCCCACGAGCCTTTAGTGCCACATTCATTCTATCACAGACATTGATCCGAGACAAGGCTAGCAACAAACCATGATGATGGCAACGCAATTTTTGGAGGGATGCCACCCCTACACATGTGCTGCTTCAGTCTGACATGCGCTTGGTTCCTCCGGAGCTAAGCGCAAGTATTTAATTTTCATCTGTTTGCCAATGATATGGAATGACGAGGAATGTTGATCATTGAGAAAAAATAATGCAAACATGGAATTTTAAAAATCACATTTCAGTACGACTCCCCCCCTCAAATTTCATTTTTAAGAGGGTAGGGATCAAACCATGGGCCTTCTAGAGACCTCTTGTGACGCAGAAGCCAAAACTTGCAGGCTGTCTCGCAGACCCTGAACGTGGTACGTTTGCAGGGACTGCGCATGTAGGACAGCTTCAACAGAGCTGAAAGATTTCGATAAGGTGCATGTTGCAGGACTGCCTCTTAAAGCACCTATGAACTATGAACAATGTGGTCTGAGGTGGCGCAAATGTGTGCGGCAACAACTTTCTAAGAACTGAGGACCAACCAGGGCTGAACTCCTTCAGCTCGTTCTGATTGAGTCATTTTTGTCTATCATTGTTCCAATTTTTGCTGTCAGCTTCCAGGACTAAGTACAGCGTACTGCAAGTAGTTTTGCGCCCGAACACATATCCTAAATGAATAGGTTTCAATGTGCTAGTTCAGGCGTAACAGGGTTTTAAATTTACTATTAGGGTTCCCCCGTAATAATAAAAACCGCCTTTCCATCAACTAAATGAACTAATAGGGCTCTTGAAGCAAGAGATGCTTGAATATTGCCGATACTTTTGGAAGGCTATCACCTGCACCTCAGTTAGATTGGTTTGAACGCAGTGCATTTGGCCTCTGTGCGTCACTTCTATGGCTTCGGCAAACAGTGCCAGGCCCGGGGTGACCAGGCAACATAGCCCGGGACACAACCCGCATCTAGCACCCATACCTCGGCTACTGCAAATCAGAACCGCAAATCTCTGACCCCGTAAATATCGTAAATTGATCTTTCTGCAAAGTGGGATCTGAATTCAATGGCCAAAATCTGGATGGAAGCAGTCTTCCTGGAAAAAAGACTACCCATTCAAATGGGGTGACAAACCTGCTGCTCTTACCTACTAGTAGGTGGAAAATATGTGACTTGGACTCTTTTTGATCAAAAACAGGCCTGCAACAATTTCAATTGCATTTTATGACATGCAACAGTTCATCAACACCCCGTGCGTGCGGAAGCTGATATCATTGCCAGGTGTTACGCCCCAACAAATAGCGGGAAATCTGACAAGGTTGCACACTCAGTCGTAGAGAGCCTGCGAGGGGCCCAAACAAATGCCCAAATGCTCAGAGTCAACGGTTTGCAGCACGTTCCAGATCCCTGGCGACCCAGTTCGGAAGATTTCGGAAGCCTGAATCTGAAAACCACGCAACTTGTGCTGCGCGGGCGCGCCGGGCGCGCGGACCCTTTTGAACCCCCTGAATCGCCTGAATCCCTTGTTACTACACATCGCTGGCCAAAACATTGAAGAAAAGTTGCCAATGGGGATGCCTGAAGGCTAACTTGCAGTATCTGCACAACCATTCAGAAACGAAATTGGTTTCATGGAGAAATATCTCTAAACATTGCTGCCGTGGGAGTTGCTAGAACTGCGTGCGGAATGATGTAAACAAATCATGCGTAGTGATACGAGGCCAAAGTTCTGAGATGTTTAGTTTAGCAGCTTCAAGGCATTCGAAAATACACTCAAATCAGCATACTACTGTCCCGATCACTTCGACACGGCTGTCCACAGCAGTCTGTCTGAACAAGATCCGCGAGATCGAGGCGGGAGAGGTCGGACCCTTTCATCTGAAACCTGGTGGAACTCCAGCTGAAGGAAGGTAAAATTGCGCGGGCAAGGGATATCTGACAGCTGCTGTTTTTCGAATATAGGTAGCCACAAAATGGACGAAAGATGCGAAGCAAAAGCGTCGCGGCTTCAAGAGAGAAGCTCTAGTGCCCAGTACAGCACAATCGTTTGGGAGAGAAGGGCTTACAAACGCTGGCTGTTCGGGCCACCTCTTTGGTTTTTTGCCTTGACATTGCTGAACATTCGAAGTCGATCTCCGTTCGACCGTCTTTTTCCTAGGAAACTTTTGACAATGAGATGAGCAAGTCTCTTTGGAGATATTGTCTGCCTTGGAAGCCTTGGTTTCTCCACAACGCATATGCGACACACTGAGCATGCTAAGGGCTGCATCAACAAGGTTTCTCTTTGGAGGAAATGCTAATGGCAAGGAAAACACATAATTGGGTTTCAACAGGCTAGCATGTTGGTTGTGCTTGAATCAGGTTACATTAAACACACGGATGCCCAAGTGGCTCGTCACACCTGAACTGCTACCAGTCCAATCTGATCGCAAAAAAACTCATCAGGTTCCATCACCTCCATTGGTGTCAAAACGTGTCACACGGCCAAAACTAATGCTGAAAGCCAAAAATTCCAGGTCCATCACGGTGCTCGAAACACGAATGATCCAAATGCCCCCGGGTCTTGCTTCTTGAAAATCTACTTCGCAGAAAACATATTGGAAACGCGACAACCAATGATGACAATCAAATGACATATGTCAGTAGCATTGCGGCCATAAGGGACAACGAATGATATCGTTCGAAACATGTAACATGAAAGACGTACGAATTCCTCCGTTGCAAAGCCGCCACAAGAAGGGAGACAAATGGAGAGCCAAGTGGGGAGACTTGTCGGAAAGAAAACTGACCCAGGGCGGTCATGGGAGTGGAGAGGGTGATAGGAAAGACGAGAAAACCTTCGTCCCAAAGTAGCCACAAGAAGGAAAGCAAAATACACAGCGCAGTGATGAGACAGACAAATGGTGAGATACAATTCCCTTTCCTGGGGCCAGTGTGAAGTACCAAGACCAGTGGAGACAACACAAATGGAGAAGTACAGACAGCGTAGAAACACATTGGGGACAATTTTGGGACCAAGGCAGCCAGTCCGAAGTGGGCGCCCCAGGCAACCACAAGAAGGAAGAATGGAGAGAAAAGTAGGGACGCAAGCAAGTGACAAATGGGAGACGATGCAAATCCTCCGCTTCAATTCCGTTTGGAGACGACGCAAAAGTTGGGCTCTCTGCAAGGGGAATTATTGAATAAGATGCCTAACTGCATACAAACTGTTTGGAGAAGCACCCCACACTTCGCACTCCGCACTTCACACTCCACTCCACGCTTCACACTCCACCCACATCACACTTCACACTCTCCACTCCACACTCCCACTCCACACTTCACACTCTCCACTCCACACTTCACACTCCTCACTCCACAATGCACACTCTCCACTTCACACTCCACACTTCAAACTCCACACTTCACACTTCGCAATCACTGCGCAATCACACCCCAGACTCCACACTTCACAATCTCCACTCCACACTCCGCACTTGCACTCGCCACTCCACGCTTCACACTCTCCACTTCACACTCCACACCCTAAAGAAACCCCAAATGAAACCCTAAAGAAACCTTAAAGAAACCCTAACTAAAGAAACCTGAAAGACACCCTAAATAAACTCTGAAGAAACCTAAATGAAACCCTAACCCTAAAGAAACCCTAAATGAAACCTTCAAGAAACCCTTAAGACACCCTATTTCAATTACCTAACGTTCATTGATATATTGTTCTCGTTTATTGAAAATACCCGCGAAATCAGAAATCCGCATATCCTTACCATCTGGTTGTTTAACATAGCCATGGAAAATCACCATGCTATTACCATCTATTTCTATGGGCCATCTATACCATGGCTATGTTAAATAACCAGATGGTAGAATATCCGGACCAATCCAAATGGACCATCTCCATGAAATCTGCATTTTTCTTCATCCAATCGAGGCTGTGCAAATCAATGCCGAATCATCCCTTCATGGCCATCGGCTTCAACACGTCCAGGTCCTGTCCACTGAAAAATCCCCAATAGCTGGATGGTTTAATGGAAAAGACCGATGAACATGATGAACATTTGGATTTCTCGTGACTTTGAAAACCTCGATTAAAATTTATTTAAGTTGCCCTCTGGTCATTTCACATGGCCATGGAAAATGACCCAAAGTATAGATGAGCAACAAAAGTCCACGGCCACTTTCCATGGCCGCAGGATATTACCATAGCCAGCTGCTCCGTGCGCTCCGGGCCTTTTCATGGAGCTGGTAAATCTTCTTGGCCACCAACCTATACCAGGTTGCTGCACAAGAACTTTGGTGATTAGGGCTTTGGACCTCACAAAACATCATCAAAGGATATGTTCCATGGATTGAAATGCTAAGACCTCTTTGAGAGGTGGCTTGAACATGACATTTTAGGGATTCCGCATTCTGAAGATTGGATGTCAATCCTACAACCTTCGTATCGGATCGCATTTGAATGTTCTTTGCTATCCATGTTGCCATGTTGCAAAGGTGAGCAATGCATAACTATTGCCATACCCTCAAATAACTGGGCTCAAAGCTTAGATGTGGCAGTCAGGCAGCCATTATCGGCAGTCCTGCGGCAAACAAACTCGAGTTGAGGCCGGAAAAGCATTCCAAGACAACATTTAATACCATTTTCATCTGGTCATCTCTATTGTTCTAAGTAGCTCATGAAACATTTTTGACACGCAACAGCCGAACAGCCCCCCAGCAGCAGCCGAACTTCGCGGGTCCAGGGCTCCAACACAGGCATCACTGCAATCGCTTGCATCAAGGCCGGAAGCTTATGTGCCTGGTCGCTGGGAGACTCCTTGTGATCCCATGGAATGCGCATGGTGGAAACCACATATATTTCGCTTATTACATATAATTATGGGTTACATATCATAATGAATAATGACATATTATATGATCAGCTCATTATGTTTACCACTGGGACTGGGATATTATGGCTTTTGATTATCCCACCATTATTGGTACATGCCATAATATGGTATATGTATATATTAATATATATATGATGGGGATCCTGAAATTGGACAGTACCATTCCCCTTTCCCATGGAGGTATCACATCCCACTCTTGCCTTCGCCACTGCATCCAGAGCAGTCTTAACAGCTGCCATGACCTGTGATTTGCTTTTGGAAGCACCAAAAAATAAGACATATTCCCTATATTTCCTATAGATTCCTCAAGTAGTGAAAACAAACATCAGCAACTAAATCTAAGAACATGGGCAAAACATCAGAATCGCATTTTTCAGAAATTGACCATAACACATACCCCGGATTACGACACGTTCATGGTTTGACAAGAGAAGTGATGATGGCGAGCTGTCCACGGCAGTGGTTTGTCAATGGGGGAGACCCCTTTTCATCAATTTTCATACAGAACATACAGATAATCTTCATAATCTATTGGAATTGGGTATATATATATATGAAAATATCCTATTCTCAGACAAACCATAACAAATTCTTGAACCTAGCCCTGGCCTTGGGGTCTTTGCAAAGAGCATCATCATCTTTCCCGGTGACCTCAAAAAGTCAGCCATCAGCAACTCGAAGTCATCGAGCCATGCTGGGTTCACCAACGCCATTCGCAGCAGCCAAAGCTAAGAGCTCCTTCTTCTTGCCTTGGGGCTTCGATAGTGATGTGGATGACATCTGACATAAGATAGATACTAATGACTCATATGACTATTCAATTAATTAAAGGGGTTATATCATGTTATATCACAACTGATGGAGAGCTTATCGCCATCATGTTATATCCATTTGTAACCTCAACCGCCAAGAAGCTTTGCTCCCTTGCAGACCCTTTATTGCACCCTGACAGCAACGATGCGCAGCCAAGTTGCACTGAGCAAGCAGGACGGGCCGATCGATTTCATGGCTTGCAAAAGAGCACACACCTGCGAAGGAGGTGTCTTTAAAAAGCACAACAAAACCAGGCATCTGGAGCTGCTCCGGACAACTGGGCAACTGGTGAAAACATCATTTTTCTTGGATCAACGCAAGAAATCGGTCTAGGTCTCATGAATTTTGGGAAGATCGGCGCTGATCGGCGCTGATCGGCGCTGATCGGCGCTGATCGGCCATGCTTTCAAGCAGGATCTATAGAATCTATGATCACCCTGACCTCCAGCATCCGCGTTGATGAGTTCATGATTGTTGTAGGTCACATTGATCAGCTCCAAGGCAACGTATTCGCCACCTTTCAGCTTCACCTGGAAACACGGAAAGCCACGGAAAGCGAATCGAGGGGTAGTGAAGATTCCAAAGTTACTGTTATGGCTATATTATAGTACAACTATGGGATAGAATCTATCCATTAGCAAAATTTTTCCCTTAGCAAAATTTTCCCTTTAGCAAAATTTTTCCTTAAGCAAAATTTCCCCTTAGCATTTTTTTCCTTTAGCAAAATTTGTCCTTAAGCAATTTGTTTCCCTTAGCAAAATTTTCCCTTTAGCAAAATTTTTCCTTAAGCAACAAAAAATCCCTTAGCATTTTTTTAAACAACATTTGTCCTTAAGCAAAAATTTCCCCTTAGCATTTTTTTTCCTTTAGCAAAATTTGTCCTTAAGGGAAAAAATTTCCAGGTTAGCAAAATTTTTCCCTTAGGAAAATTTTCCCTTTAGCAAAATCTTCCCTTTAGCAAAATTTGTCCTTAAGCAATGTTTTTCCTTAAGCAAAATTTTCCCTTAGCAATTTTTTTCCTTTAGCAAAATTTGTCGTTAAGCAATTTTTTCCCTTAGCAAAATTTTCCCTTTAGCAAAATTTTTCCTTGGCAAAATTTGTCCCTTAGCAAAATTTGTCCCTTAGCAAACTCGTCCCTGCACTGCTGCCTTTCCCTTTGCCCAAAAGGGATTTTATCCAACAAAATCTCTGCAAGCTCCAATTTGGATTGAGAAGATTGGGCCTCTCAAATTGTTTGTGGTTTTGGTCCCTGGGTTGTTATGCAATTTTGGCTGGGAAGTTACAATTAAAATCCATTATTCCACTGTTAGTGGCGGGGGGTCACTCCAAGTTAAACCCTTTGTTTTAATTACATCATTATCATTGTTAGAATAGAAGGAATAAGTTTTTGCTCCATGTTCTTCTTGCTTGCTGCTGGTAATTTGAATATTTGTTTGCATGAGGTCAGGTATTTGCTTTTGCAACCAAATACAGATTAAGATTTGAAATTGTGCTTCTTACATGTTCCTTTTGCCTTTGCTTTTGTATTGTTTTTTTTTTTTTTGCATTTTTTTTACATTTTTTCTGTTTTTTTTTTGCTTTTGGATTTGTTTTTTTTTGGGGGGGTTGCTTTTTTTGTTTTACATTTTTTCACATTTTTCACAAATAAATTGATTTTCAAGTTTATAGGATTCTGCCTAAGTGGTTAACATAAGGATAGATATATAGAATCTTATAGAATTATATAGATATATTGGATAAATATATGGTATATAGTTGGCAGCGGCTGAGACTGCAACAAGATTCTTCTTGCGATCGATGATCTTGACTTTTCCTCCAAGAGTGAACAACATGTCACTGATTCGCTGCACGGCAATTGGGTGTAGAAGAAAAAATGGGGTGAATGGTGATACCCCACAAGGACAACTTTTCGTATACGGAAATCAACATAAAGTATATGACGTACCCCATAGGATCCATGTATGCTATATTAATGCTAACATAAAGGGGGTATATTGATGGGATCCATGTTACCATTAATATAGCATACATGGATCCTATGGGTACTATGACACAGCATCTTTATTATCAAACTTCGGGGTCTAGAACCACACCTTCGGGCGTGATCAGCCCGATGTCTCCAGAGTGGAACCTCAACACCGCGGCCCGTTACGGCCCGTTGAAACAGCGAAAGGGCTCAACGTCCAAGGCCCTGTGCCAGCCGTCGTTGTCGAAGTCTGCTGCCTCGTTGGATCTATAGGAAAAAAACATGATGCAAAAACACACATCATTAAAAAATAAAATTAAAACATACATAAAAAACACAACATTTGATCAACATTTGAAACACACATCAGAAAAATTGGCAAAACAAAACCATCTTTTCTTCAGCTCTCATCGCCAAGCTGCTGTCTGCTCTGGCAGCTTGTAATAGCCAGAACCGATGGAATTACCTGACCGCAGGGAGTTTTACCAAGTACTATCCACAGCACTCTCCAAAGTTGTTCAGTGTTCCTTTTCCTTCTTCATGTTGCAAGCAAGCCCTCTTCAACCATTTTTTTCTGAGTTATCTGTCTGTGTTCTTTCTTTGTCTCGCTGCTTCCTCCAACTTCCAATTCTGGTGCCGCCTCTCATCCAAATTTCTCCCCGACCGCAGCAGGCGGAGCCATCTGAATGCACCTACCAAGAAGCTTCATCAGCTACCGGGATTTTGCTGAATCCCACAGCGATGAACTACCCATCAATAGCACATTTTGGTGCACGACCATCCAAGCATCATCCGAGCGATTTAAGCAGTGCTCAAAACCTATCATTGGTTGGTTTATAGGGATTCCCAGGTCATGAATTAATTATTGATGATGATGGTGATGATGGTGATGATGATGATGGTGATGATGATGATGATGATAATGATGATGATGACGATGATGACGATGATGATGATGATGATAATGATGATGATGACGATGACGATGATGACGATGATGATGATGACGATGATGATGATGATGATGGTGATGATGACGGATGACGATGATGATGATGATGATGGTGATGATGGTGATGGTGATGATGATGATGACGATGACGATGATGACGATGACGATGATGATGATGATGATGGCGATGATGATGATGATGGTGATGATGATGATGACGATGATGATGATGATGACGATGATGACGATGACGATGATGATGATGATGATGGTGATGATGATGATGATGAGGATCGTGGTGATGATGATGATGATGACGATGACGATGATGACGATGATGATGATGATGACGATGATGATGATGATGGTGATGATGATGATGATGGTGATGATGATGGTGACGATGATGACAATGATGATGATGATGATGACGATGATGATGATGGTGATGATGATGACGATGATGACGATGATGATGATGACGATGATGATGATGGTGATGATGATGATGATGACGGATGACGATGACGATGACGACGACGATGATGATGATGGTGATGATGGTGATGATGGTGATGATGGTGATGACGATGATGATGATGATGACGATGATGATGATGGTGATGATGATGATGATGATGATGATGATGATGATGATGACGATGACGACGGATGACGATGATGACGATGATGATGATGATGATCATGATGATGATGATGGTGATGATGGTGATGATGGGGATGATGACGATGATGATGATGATGATGTCAATCCCCAATTTCCTGTCGAATCCCCGGGGAAAAGAACGTTGGCCCAGGCCTTGTCTGTACAAAGGTAGGGCTTGCCATCGTTGTCGGTGATCTCTGGCCTGGTTTCTCCATGTGGGGATGGAGCCCCCAACGGCTATGAAAAACATAGGCAAAATATTGGCAAAATGGATCAACATGGTACAACATATTGATCAATGATATACTGGGTCAGGCATCTGAAACATTCTGAAACTGCCGGAAATTGAGTCTGGCCTGGGATCTGATGGATCTGAGGTGCCCGTACTCTGAGTGAAGTGTCAGTTCGACGGAGGACAGGACGGATCCAACGAATCCAACGGATGGATCTGCCAGCGGCTTTTGAAGCCTGGCAGTCAGGCGCTTCTCAGGCGGTTCTCCCGCAGTCACCCGCTGCTGTTGGAAAACCACGATATGTTCACGGCAAAACAAGGCGGAGCGGACACAGCGCCACCGCAGGTCTCTGTAAGGCCTGATGGCTGCAGATGGGGGGCAGGCAGGATCTGCCTTGCCTCTTCCCACATGAAAGATAGTTCAAACATAGAGCAACATACAAATAGATCACTTGGAAACCCGGAAATTGGGGAGCTCAAATTTAATGACAACGACTTGGCAGAACTTTTCTATGCCTTGGCTCGCATCCCTAAGCATCCAACCGTAACCTTGAATGAGCGGACAGCCAAAGGCTGTCCGCACCCATTCCTGACGAGGAAACCAAACATGTTCTGGTTGGTGGTTTCAACCCCTCTGAAAAATATGAGTTCGTCAATTGAGATTATTCTTCACAATCTATGAAATTCCATGGTTCCAGTCACCACCAAGCAGTAACCAGTGTTTGGCTTGTGTGTTGGACTGAACGAACGTCCCCTCCGGTGTGTGTGTGTGTGTATTTTTTCCATGGCTTGCGTTCGAGAAATGCCTCAGCAGTTGGATGATTTTCCAACCTGAACATCAGGGGAGATAGCACCACCGCCAGATAATGTGAACTTCATACATCCACCAAGCCTCAATAAGGCTGGGCTGTCCGGGTCACCGGGTAACAAGGGGGCACTGAGAGGAGAAAAAATGCATGTCTTTGCGTAGCAAACTTGGTGTTTCAAAAGCTTGGGGGACCTCAAAACCATGGGTTTCCCATGGTTTACCAATGAAAAAAAACAGTGTTGGATCGTATAACATGTTATCTCTGTAAGATTATCTCCCTATTTCCTTTCTAAATATCGTGATTGCTACTATCTCCCTATGTTCTTGTATGTTCTTACATGTTTGTATTGTCTAGCTTTCCGCAGTTCCCTATTTTCTTGTTACTTTCTCCTTCCTATTTCGTCCATTGGTGGAACTTCCGAAATGGGAAGCCAGGCTGCACCATTGGTCTCTGAGGTTTCTGAGATCTCAACATGGACTTGAACTTCTTGAACACCTTGCCAAGCGGACTATTCAGCTCGCTGCAGCGCTTGAACCATTCGCCCTCTTCGAACACAAGGTGGTACTCCCCTAGTTATAAGTTAAGTGATATTAAATTATTAAGTGTATAAACCCATCTACAAGCAAGTCACAACAGAATCACCATGAACCCTAGCTAAACTAGTACCAACTTAGTTGTGGGCACTACCCTCTAAGGAGCCAAGAAATTCCATCACTTTCTTCACCTTCCTGAGCTCGCGACCAACAGGTCGAACAGCGGTGTGTAGCGGTTCTGCCGCACCGCGGATTTCTTGATCCGCATCGCCAGCTTGAAGAGAAATGCCACCCTTGGAGCTTGATGCCCATCACCATCATCAGCATCATCCTACTGATAGATAGTTATAGCAAACCATACCAACAATAATTCAACAATAATTCATCATCGGATCATCATCATCATCATCATCATCATCGGATCATCATCATCACCATCATCATCATCATCATCATTCACCTGAAGTGCATCTGTCATCTTGCGCCTCGCATGTGCCCTTAGGCTGGGGCACAGGTCCACTCTTCTCAACTTTCGTCTCTGCACCTTCAGCTGGGGCAAGTAGCTTCACCATAAGGATTTTCGTCATGGGATAAATGACAGTAAGCCATATAATATACCATGTTTCTACCATGGCACGTATGGTCTCTAAACTCTTCACCCTTGTGATTTTGTCAGGGCATAGCCGGTGGCACAGGCTATCACATCTCAGCCACACTAGCTGATTAGACAATGAGAATAAGTGAGCCCTTGTGATTCATGATAAATTACTAATTACTATAAAATGCACCCTTCCAACCTTATCATAGCTGCGAGTAGCCACTATAGATAGGTTTTCAGTTGCTCATTTCAAGAGTTTCATGAAAAGGTGGAAGGACATTAAAACCCGAGATTTCTAGGTGAGATCCCTATCTTTCCTGGTTACCCTAGGGTAAACGTTTGCATACATGTGGAGTTTACCCACTAAACACTAAAAGATACGAAAAAAACCGTAGATCGTTTTCCGTTCCCGGGATTCCCCACGGCTTTTCCGCATCCATGTCACTTATGGAACCCGTTCCCGGGTACCCTCTGGTAATGACTAACAGTTTGCTATTGAAAATGGCCATTTATAGTTGATATACCCATTAAAAATGGTGAATGGTGATTTTGCTATTGAAAATGACCATAATCATATAGTTTTATATTTACCCATCAAAAATGAAAAAAATCCATAGCATTTTGTATGTTTACCAAAGGGTAAATGGGTCTCCCCAAAGATCCGGCGTAAGCCCAACTTGCGCCTTTCTTGATGGTCTCCCAGACCTTCGGTACCCCAGCCATCAAAGTTGGAGCGAACCTCGTTGCCAGCAATTGAAAAGGCAAGACATTTTCCAGCGTCTCCAATTCTTAACAATTCTTAACAACGTGACAGCACCTGTCACACAAACAAGGGGTGTTGCCGGACTTAGAACCTTTCGCATTATGACTCTATTATATACGTGTCACTTCTGTCCCGACTTCGTCTCGGCCAGAAATTCGTCCACCATGTTCGAACAGAACAAAGGTCGGTGATGGTGGCAGATCTCCATAAATATCATAAATTACCCTGCATTTTACGCTGTTGGATGGTTGGTAGATCTCCCTTTTTTACCATAAAAAACACTACTGAACATCAGCATTTTGAGGCTGTCCCTGCAAGATCTTAGGCCCGGTCTCCTCAAGAGCTCCCTTGGGGTAACACCTCTCGGGACCTCCCGGCCAATGTTTTTTTGTCGCTGAACATTTCAAAGAAGGGGATTCTGATGCTATCTTTATGGAATATCATGGAATATTGGTTATAGACATAGATGGTTATAGTATGGTTTCTGGTGGGACATGATGAATTTTGTTAGTGGAATATCATATGGAATATTGACTATAGTGGAAATATGTGGGGATATAATAGGGAGAATAGGGATTTGTTTAGGGATTATAGTGAAAAAACATCTGGGTAGATGACAAGAATTCACACACCTGAACAAGTTCGTCCATTTTGAGATAGTTACCCTACAATTCTCCTCATTCGTGACGTGAGGTCGTGATGAAATCTTTCTTCTAACTCTCGACACCTGGCAGAAGAGACTTGGGATCTGCATAGGCAATGCGGTTGCCAGTGGTGTAGAAAAGCCTGAGTCTCAACGTCGTCGCAACCGTTGCAACGTTTGGCCATGGCCGCAGCTCCCTCAAGGCTTTAAGTTTCCCGTGAGATGACCTAAGGCATTGACAACTCTGCTACCACTGCCAAAATGTGAGCCAGTGGAAGATATCCGAGGAAGGTATGGGATCCTGACCGTCATCTGTCATCTCTGCAGGCAAAATATGGGAGACATCCATAGGCATCCATAGGCATCCCAGCCTAGATCGTCCAAGACCTCTGAGAATTGAATGAAGCCTCAGCATTCAGAAAGTCCCGGGAGGACGGTTGCAGAGATTCAGACTTGCAATGCTGAGTCAAAGACATGATGCAACAAATGCCACCAGTTGTTGATGTTGCAGCATCACACCCTGGCAGCTCAAGCTCCAAAATCGACCCATTCTCTTCCAAGTGAAATGCAGCGGGGCTATCTGAAAATGGGGCGCAGTATGCCCCATTGACATTTTCATGGAGAACATCAGCTTTTCAATCATATGGATACTTTATCCATCTTTATCCCACGTTTTCCCAAGAATTTCAAGTTCAACCCCAGCCGTGCAACGAGTGAAAAAAACGCCGTGCCGTCACGTCACCCGGTTTTCTAGGCGCCTTTGGTGGGCCGGTTGAGCCGCTGGTGTACCTTGAAGGATCTTCATCATCAAAGACTCACCATGAAGCCTCAACATTTATAGGCAGTGTATCATCAACATATATCATAGAAACATAGAGATATGAAAGATAAGTGTATATATATACACACTATATAAGTTGACTATAAAAAGTGACTATAAGTGTATTAATACACTCACTCACAATGTATAAATGATTTATAATTACTAGCCTTGTAATATGCTGTCTATACCACATCAGTCACTGGCTGTCAGATCACATCAGCACCGCGATAGAGTCAGGCTTCGCGGGAGTGGACTCCTTGGGGTTGGCCTGCCAAAATCATGGCAAAAAAAATCCCCAACATGGAGATTTCTAGTGATTTATAGCCCTGGGAATACTATGGAATACCTGGATGAATTGCCACACAAGCATAGAAAAGCATGTTGAAGAAACAACATGACATGCCACGAAACACAATTTCCCTTGCGCAACACCTTGGGCCGGCCTTGCGCGAAACTTGCGAGATGCAGGTTTCAAACTACCCAAAAGTTCTCCACAAACCCGCTTACTAAACTTTAAGAGGAAGGTTTTAGAACGCCTCCCATATATATATATACACACACGTATTTATGAAATAATGGTATGATTGATGGTTTTGCCGGTTAGCACTTTCCCAGCTTTCCAAGCCATGACCAACGAAAAAAAAAACACCTTGCCCAGCTCGATGACCTCCTGCCTGGCAGCGAAGCGTATGGGTCAAAAGCCTACCTGGGGAACAGCAAAATAGCTGCAATGTGGGGCCCCCTAGTTATAAGTTTATTTATAAGCCCCAATAACTATAGTTATAAGTTATAAGTACAATAAACCATAGTTATTGGAGTTATAAACCAACTTAGCTATCTAGGGGGCCCCACTTTGTGGTAAATGTTTGGTAAATGGATGTGAATATCCTATCAATGGTATGGATTAGGTATCCAAAAATATGACTAGGCAATGTTCATCAAACATGGAGCCCTTAAGCTGAAAAACAGAGCCCAAGGCCTTTTTCTTAACATCTGTTTATAAGTACACCATCCATCTTGGCCAACATTTCAACATTTCATGCCATTTCCATTCCAAACATGGGACAACCAACGTTTCAGCCACAAGCCACCGCGCCAGGAGAGAAGTTTCACCGACTTGGAGCTGCTCTTCAATTTGGTTTGGCATTCTTCGGGCCTCAGCCGAGAGAATGGTGATCTCATGACTGGTTCACCTGCGAGGATGAGAATGGTACAGATACCACCCGGTTGACTTCATCCACATCCACTGGAAACATTGGTCAATTGGTCAATCGGTCAAGATATGGCAAGATCCTTCTTCCAACTCTCAGAACTTGATTTGCAGTCTGATGTCACTTCGCAAAGATCAGCGAAGAATCTGCCGTCATGTTGCACCTGTTGTACCTGTTGTGCCTCTCTTGGGATCCAGCGTGCACAAATAGTCCAGGTATATAATGGCCTCTCGATGGGGCCGAACATTGGGTGCTTGCCAAACATGACCAATCCATCTGCGGTTTCCTAGGCCTTGAATATATAGAATTTACCATCTGGTTATTTAACAGTTCGCCATGGAAAATCACCATGCTATTAATAGGTAAACCATGGTAAACCATCTATTTCGATTAGGGCCATCTATACCATGGCTATGTTAGTCATAACCAAAGGGTATACAATGCTGCATATCTTCAGAAATGGAGCCTCCAGGGAAGGCATTTGCTCCGCAATCTTCTCCAAGCCTCAAACTTTCACCCAGCCGTCGACAAATAATGGGCTGATTCGGGAAAGCGGTTTTTCAGTTTCAAAACCTTGGATGTGTTCAAAAATCCCTGGGATCTTGGGAAGATCCTGTTTAACATCTTCAGCCTGTTCAACCCAAACAGAACAACTAACACAACTCATTGGATATGTGTCCATTGTTTCTGACATCGATCATCCAAGGCTCATACCCTCCGCAGATTTGCGATTGCACACAATGGCCGAAACGGCTCCTGACGGGGACGAGACATCATCGGCTTGGTTGACCCAGGTTGAAAGGAACAACTGACAAGGAATTTCCAATACCCTCTGGTAAACATACAAAAAGCTATGGAAAATGGCCATAGAAATAGTGAGTTTTCCCATCAAAAATGGTGATTTTCCATAGCTACGTTAAATCACCAGAGGGTATATTTGATGGGAAAGTCATGGAATGCCATGTACTCTGGTTTCCCCTGGATTTTCTATCACATCATCCAAATAGAAGCATCGATTTTTGTGACCTCCATCGCCGGATATCTCAAGATTTTTTTTCTCCCGTGCATGACGTTTTTTGTCACGTCAGTCCAACACACATCATGTTGGCCATGGCCATCTTCTGTTCTTTCCGAGGCTCATCCCATTGACCCATTGACCAGCCCCGAATATCTAACCAAAATCATGGAAACCAACTCTTCTTTAATGGGATTTTCCAGCTCCCCTCCGGTAACATGGCAAGGGGACATCCTCAGTAAATGGAGCTTTGATTGGGAAAAACCTCCACGGATCCAGGGAAAATCCCCGGGTCGCCTTCGTTGACCGCGTGGACCACTGCATCGGTCCCAAGGGTCGCATAGGCGGTGGCCACCACGATGTTCTGCGACATGGCGCCAAACCTGGCTATTGAAGCCATGGACCATAGAAAGTTCGTTGATTTACCCATCAAAAAATGTTTTTGATGGTGGTTTTCCATGGTTTTTTGTATGTTTACCAGTTTGGGTAAATCTCTATATCCCATGATATCCTAGGGAATATCCCATTCATCATGGATTTTTGTTGTGGCCATTTGATGTGATTTTTAATGGGATCCCTTTTTGATGGGATGCAACTAATATCATGGGACTACCATGAAGATCAGGACGAAGACCTCTTAATGGAAATCAGGGGTGTTCCTCCTCTGATAAACTACACGAACAGTTTGCGAACTGGAAACATCACCATTTTGAATGGGTAAATCAACTATATATCAATGGATTGGTTTAAGGGAAAATCTACAGGAAACCATAGATTTTCCCATTAAGTATGGGGGTTTCCTGTAAAATGTCCCTTAAACCAATCCATTGAATATAATTCTGGGCCATATTTTCTATAGCAAACTGTGGGCCACAAATGACCAGGCCGGGTCTGTGTTGCGATGAACGGGAGTAAATGGGATCATGGGATGAATGTGATTCACATAGAAATCTGAGATATTTTTACCCTCTGGTTATTTAACAGTTCGCCATGGAAAATCCCCATGCTATTAATAGGTAAACATAGGTAAACCATCTATTTCTATGGGCCATCTATACCATGGCTATGTTAAATAACCAGAGGGTATTTGGAATTTACGGATCATTTTCCCTGTTCTATATCAGATATGAATGATGGATATTTCATGGGATATCATGGAATTGAATGCGATTGATAGGGTATAAGAAGGATATAATACGGGAATATACTATGGCATATCATGGCGAAACAAGGGGATATAATTGGGATATAGTATTATGTGATTAATGGGTATGGGGTAACAATATAATCGGGATATCATGGGGATAACTGGATATAGAACCAACTTCACATGATGAGGAAAAACATGGAACAAAAACTCTATGAACATTATATTACATCATTATATCACCAAAAATGATCAGACCTTTCTTTGCATCACCCAACTGAAAAGGCAACATAATCTCAAAAAGGTGCTTCAAATTGAATTGTTCAAACCTCCCCCAAAACATGATATTTGCCAACCCCTGTCAAATGGGAGAAACTCAACGAACATCATAGGACATAAATGAACATAGGACATATTTAGATATATGATCGGAAAAAACATGGGTCATGAGAACATATTCGGATACACAAACAAAATAAAACAAATAAATAAGTTAATATAATAGACAAAACATGGGGTTTAACACAGCCAAAGAGGATAACCAGCGATACATCTGGAAGTCAGATGGCCAAAATCTCCTCAAACAGCTTCTGGGCTTTGGGGGTTTCTAATGAATTGAGAAGCGGATAAGCTTAGCCAGCAGCACGCGCATACCTGCCAATCGGCACAGGTGTCCTGCGTTTCCAGAAGAATGTCGGACTGACGCCTGGCTAATTCTAATCTCTTTCATATTACCCTCTGGTAATTTTAACATAACTATGGAAAATCACCATTTTTCATGGGAAAATCCACTATAAATGGGCCATTTTCAATAGTTATGTTAAATTACCAGAGGGTAGATGTCACTACCAAAGTATTGTTTAATAGTGGATCTAGAAAGCCTTGGCAGATGAAATATCAAGGCAATCACCAAAACAGAAGATGTGGAAGTTTTCACAGCAGAAACGAGCACTGAATCGAGTCATGAACAACAGCCCGTATCTAATCCCATTCTGCTTGGTTGCTATCCTATGTTTCATATCAATAGGCAATTTTTAGTGTCTCCCATGACTTTTCACCAGCTGGTTACGTTACGTGCATGGCAACTGCTGACAGAATCTGAGACTGGCAGTCCTCATACATCATGATCTTGAACTTTCCAGTGAGGCTGTCGAACTCTCCTTCAGGCTGCGGCCTCGGCAACCACATTGGTCCACTTCTTTATTGGTCCACTTCTTTATTGGTCCACTTCCCAAGTTTCTATGGTGATCTATGGTGATCTATGGTGGAAAGCCAATCCATAACAGCCATAACATCCTCCGAGCTAGGAATCCATGAAAGCTGTCAAGAAAAGCATCCCATGTTCAAACATCACCCATCTATTTTTGAAGATAAGGATTCCCTTAGTCCTACAATTCAAATAATCATTCCTTCCCCCGTTCATCTCATCCTTAAACGGGGTCCCGGTCATGGCATGTCATGGACGGCTGGGCATCCCACTCCAAGCCAAGTGCTCGCAAACCAGCCCCAAAAGCCTGGACATTTTTGGGACGTGAGAAATGGCGACCCACAACTTGATTGACAAACATTTTGGGCATATATATTTGAAGGGATCTATGATATATGAATAATATATGATAGAATGGTGATCACCAGAAATTGGTGTATATATATATTATATAATATGATGTCATATTTTGAAGTTCACCAGAAACTGATATATGACATGACATGTATTGATATGTTAACCATCCCTGGCATGGATCCAATTGGGATATGAGATTTGCTGAGTTTGTTTCTAAACATACAGTATATTTGCATTTGCCACATCTTGAAAATAACACCTTCCAGGAACAGCTTCACCATCGAAGATATTCAAACATGGTTACTGTATGTGACACGTTTTGGACAACCTTGTGAAGCGCCGAAGTTCCATATGGTGCTTGGGGGTGCCATTCCGCCCCGAAAAAAAACCAACCGGAGCTGATTACTCCATGTTATACCATGTTATACCATGTACCCATGGCCCATTCCCCAACATCCTCGGTGCCTTGCATAAATCACCGAATTCCCGATAGCTTCGCCAGTGCGTCTCTCCAAAGACCTGCTGATTTCATGGGCACAGCACTGGCTACAACGACTACGCATCGACACGAAGCAGCAGGACCGGCCTTGGCTGGAAATCTGTAGCCTTCGTCCTCGACAAAGATACACATTTGCCCTCTGGTTGGCTAACATAACGATGGAAAATCATCATTGGTTAATGGGTAAATCATCTATAGATGCAGTGTTTTCATCCGTTTTCCATAGCCAACTCTCCAAATTCTCCTTGGTGTCTGAAAATTTGGCACCCCCATTTTCAGACACATCCACTGGCCAGTTTCCGGTGACATCAAACCTGGAAAAAACTGGGAAATCCTCAAGCTAAATGGAGGATTTCATGGGAATATCCACTATAAATGGAGGATTTTCCCCTGCCACATTGAATTACTGGAGGGTCCACCGGCTGTCCGTGTTGAAACACGACCGTCCTTTTTCCAAGACAGCAAGGGTCGAATTCCTTGAGCTTGTCGATCAGCATAGCCTCAATGTATGGTATGGTAGCACCAGGACAGTGGGGACTCTAGAAATAGATGGTATAGATGGTATAGATGGTATAGATGGTATAGATGGTATAGATGGTATAGATGGTATAGATGGTATAGATGGTATATGGTATAGATGGTATAGATGGTATAAGCAATCCCCCCAGTCGTGGATGCTTAGTGTCGGGTTGACCGAACTGAACAAATCTCTGTATACCTGGGATTTCTACCCCCCAAAATAGGTGGTATAGTTATGGATAAAACAAACAACAGCTCTTGACTGGTAGCCATATCCAAAATTTGGAATACGGGTCAAACGAATATGGCACTGCCCATAAAGCCGCTGGGTCATTCAATACTAAACTGCTTGGTACTTTGAACTGTTTGAACCGCAGAGTGAAAAATAGATGTCAGTTGGCATCATCATCCAATACCAAACGAAAAAACAAATAGGGTGGAATATCAACATGTCTTGACACCGACAGCCAGCCTGGGAAATTCCCATTGAAATTGATTGCTGGTTCATTCTATCATGCTTCCCCATTGCCGGTTGAACCCCGGAGCCAATTGAGTCTTATCAAGTATTATACAACGTGAGGCCCCCAAGATATCTAAGTTGGTTTATAACTCCAATAACTATGGTTTATGGTACTTATAACTATAGTTACTGGGGTTTATAAACCAACTTATAACTGGGGGGCCTCACATTGTATATATATATATATAGCCATATCCCAAATAAGTGGTATTGTGGTATTCACCAAAATAACTGGGTCAGTGTAAAAAAACTGATTTGCTCCAGTCATCAAAGGTGGCAACCGAAAATCACCGAACTTGCAGATTTTCCCATATAAAACATATTACCCTCTGGTAAACGTTTACAGTTTGCGACATTGAACATGGCCCAGTCGAAATAGTGGTTTTTCCCATGAAAAATTATGATTTTCATTGATTTTACATAGCTACGTAAACGTTTACCAGAGGGTCAAACACCGCCATTAACTTTTTTTGGATTTTGCAGTTTGCCATGTTTCATGACCAGGTCCCTAATTTTGACCCCCATCATCCCCACGTGGAAATTCCCATGGGCATAACCCAAATTGGATCCTCATCAAAATCAATAGCTGAAGTTTATCATAGCTGAATCCCCACACTTGCTATAGCTGAATCCACTATTTTTTGATGAATATTGATCAATATTGCATAAATTCTCATGATCTCCCCATGAAATCAAAAAACCCAACCACTGCAGTCCCAGATGCGCTTCACCGACCGCTCGAGTAGTTGGGGTACTGTCAGTACGCCCTGGATGGTAGGGGAATCCCCAACAAAAACGCGCCTGGTTTGAAGATGTTTTGACCTCCAACTATTCTATTTCTTTGAAGTTCACCTCTGAAGAAAATCGAACAACAACTTCAACCAGTGCATGGTCAAGGTCCATGACTGGTATACGGTGTGTATATGTATGGGTTATGGTCATCCCACCATCAGGGTCATAAATCATAATCCTGATTCATGGATTTATTGGTTTATCTAACTCTTGACCATGGCACACATGGTCAAAACCATGGTTCATATTTGTGCGACCGTCAAAACTCAATTCATGTGGTGAGGTCATGGCATCGCTTCACAAGGCCCCCTATCGCTACACACAGTCCCAGCACCCTTTTCACCAACTAGGCAGAATTGGTGCTAGAAGAGGAGGATCCAGATGAGGAATCGGATTCTTATTCCTTTTGCGCTGGTATCTCTAGGGAAATTCAAGCTTTTACGTGATCACCAACGCTGACGTCGACAGCTTCAGCTAGACACCAGCCGGACTCACTGCAGGTCATCTGACCTCGGAGGCTGCCCTTGGCTTGTCTTGGCTTGTCTTGCCTGTGCTGCCTTGTTTCCGGCGCCTTTTTTTCTTCACCCCGCCTCCTTTGCAACCTAATACCACGCCAAAATGAATCGGCAAAACCCTGACCAAATGAACCCTTTAAGAACTAACCCATTAAGAACTTGAGGGTACCCTTGTTCATACTTCCCATATTTTTCCACCTATAGCACAAGTTGTATAGTTTCAAGTGACCATGTGGGGTACTCCCTAATTTCATGGATTTCAGGTATCGCTCTGGGTATCGAGGGGTATCGCTTCGGGCATCGCTACGGGGACCAGAAAATGTGTGATCTCAGGGGTATGTTTCAAGTGACACGAAATTCTGACAAGCTCCATGTTGCAATTCTACTCCTGGACAGTGGCTTTGGAGAAGCGTCCGTGACCGCACAAGGATGCTGTTTCAACATATCTCAGCACGGTCACTATCTGAATCAACATCATCACCATCACCATCATCATCAGCATCATCACCATCATCAAGCTCATGATGCGTTATGAATTAGTTTCTTGCATACCTTATAGATCAACATACCCCAATATATCAACATTGTTTAATGTAACTATCTCATATATACTTGACGACAGGCCATCTTGCAACTACCCAGGAAGACCAGCCCACTGCGACTGCTCCAGTGTCGCACTCTGACATCAAAAGATTGGAAAGTCATGCGCCCAACAGGAAGGTTCAATCATAAACAAAGTCTAAAAAGAGGTATCGCTACACAAGGCCCCCTATCGCTACACACAGTAAATCACATGTTTTGAGTAGTGATGGCGGATCGTAGTTGAAGCCTTTCATGGCGTCTTTTGATCATTGCACATATGGTTTATGGCATTATTTATGGTCATCATGTCATCCATCCCACAATCGGAATCCTTCCTGCCTTAAACCCATCCCAATTGGGAAAACAACCAATGCTGTAGCTCCTCAGCTCAGGCTGCACCGTCTTCAGACCGAGCCATTCCCAGCCTCTTCCGGAAACGGTGACGTCACGAGTTTGCCAGCCTGGATCGCTTCTAGGGAATGCCAAACCTCAGAAAAGTCTGCGACATCGGATGACAGTCCAAATAACATGTTCGACAAAGTATAGACAAGTGAAAGCACAAAGTTCTGCTCAGTCTCGCAACGTCGGAATCAGGACCTGTACTATTGATCTTGGCTTTCTTCACTGGTCCTCAGGCCGGGCTTGTGCCGTGAAACTAGCGCGGTTTGAGTCAAAAGGCTATGAAGTCTTCAACTCAAACACGTTCAACTCAGACCAGAACTTGCAAACTCGGACACAGCATTCATGTTCTTCAGCAGCATCCAAATTGGGCCTCAAGGTCCAATCATGTCCAATCCAGCTGTGGTCAAGGCTGTTGATTTCTACATTGCAAGGCTCTCCATGCTCTCCATCACATGTTGTAAGGTGTCAACCAAGGGTAAGGACCCAAAGCAAGAAATCCTTGGCTCCAAGTCACCACCGCGGGTTTTCGGGGATGTGCTATGCCTAAAAAAACACCTCCCATAAACCATGGTTTATACGGATTTACATTGATTTACCATGATTTACCATGATTTACCCATATTTGGGACCATGATGGGACCATTTAGGAGGTGTTAGTAGGGATGGGAGTCCTTTGATTGGTCCCTTAGAAAAACTCTGAAAAATCCATTGGATCAACACCCAGCTACCAGAATCACCAGAAGCAATCCGGCGACGTGCAAGGCAACCTTGGCGGCCACGAGTTGGAAACATGTGAAGATCGAGGAAAGCGGGACTTCACTGGGAGGCAAAGCCACAGCTACATGTGCAAAGTCCAATGCATGCAAAATGCAACTCTTTGAGTGAGTTTAGTGAAAGTATAGATTGACATGTCTCATATCACCTTTCAGAAGGAACACAGACATGACATGAAATGTTACAGCCTGTTGTCAATGCTCTGCACTTCATTGGCTCCACTGATCTATGCATCCCAAGAACATTAAGCCCAACATTTGCCATCGGAAAATCAGCTGTCAAAGCTGCAGCCTTCACTGAGAGACTGATTTGCCTTGACGCGACTTGCGCATAAAATGGCTGCGCTGATTGGCCATTTCGAGTGTACCATCTGGTTATTTAACATAGCCATGGAAAATCACCATTTTTAAATATTTTTAATAGGTAAACCATCCATAAATGGGCCATCTATACCATGGCTATGTTAGTCATAACCAGAGGATACCAGAGGGTATCAATACACTTTAGGACAGACCCATGTCATCCCATGTCACAGCTCAGCAGCGCCTTTCACGCGACACGTGGCTGCCAAAACGTTGCTGCGATGGGCGACCGTTGGTCGGTGAAACAGAGACAGGGCAGCTGACGGCTGCCTGCCCCCATCAACACGACGTGCTCACTGGTAGAGCACAACTTGCCACTTTAATCCTCTAGTGACTTCCAGCCACTTCTCAATCATTTCCACATTTTTCCACATCTTAACACATTTTCCCAGGCTTGGCAAAGCAATTCACCTCACACTCCGGGCTTCTTGCCCTGAAGTCACAGTGAAGTGCGCAAGTGCGCAAGCAATGCATTTCGCTAGGGCCGGACACCTCTGCTATGTAAACAGATGCTCTTTGAGAAACCATCAGAACCTCTGCAATCAAACGCACTAACCTCTAAACAATTTACAGTAATTTAAATCATTCACGAAAACATAATGATTCGACTTGACATGCAGTGTCCAGGATCTGTGAGACACGGATCCTGCCGCCCTGGATCACATCATCCCCTTGCCCATTAAGGCCATGGGGCCGCCCATGGGGCCCATTCCCTTCTTCATGAACTGCGGTTGCCATACCATGTTGCCTTTGCTCATGCCTTTGCCGCCCATCTGTCCCATCTGTCCCATAGGGCTGCCTTTGCCCATCTTTCCCATACCTTTGCCCATGCCGCCCATCATGTTCATCATGGGGCCCATACCCCAAGCGCCCATCATCCTCGGAAGCGGCCAGACCCGATTTGTGGCCAATTTTTGATGGAAAATCTTGTTTCAAAGGCAGGCAACAATCCATCTCCAGCTCTTGAAATCAACTGTGTTTTTTTATCGGTTCCAAAGTCAAAACCATGATGCCCACATCTTCACAATGCCAAGTACACTTCCGAAATGTTCCAAGGACACTTCTGTGAAGGTCGATGACATGTCTATAGCAACTCCCAAAAAGGTGACGAAAAGTTGGAAACCTGTAAAAAAAATGGAGGAAACCATCCTGGAAACACTTTTCAATTTTTTTGGGGGGGTTGCTTTACATAATCTCTGTATATTTCACATGGTATATATGTTTGTACCGCGCTAAACCCCCCAAAAAAACAATTCCCCTACTTGCCCAATTTCGAATTTTTGCAGGCTATCCATATTAAAAGCATCAAAAGCATTCAAAAACTACATCCCGCAATTGGCTGCCTCTTCGGCGGTTTACTACATGGATGTTTCAAACTGCCTATCTGCTGATAAGTCCCCAGCTATGGATAATTGAATATGTCTTAATCAGCCTAAATCATCCATAAATCCCCAGCGGATAATTGAGGATAATTGAATAGAGTAGATAGAGTAGTATGTTTTAATCACCCCAAAATTGAATCCAGTTCATCCCTGTCTAAATTCACATCTTCTAAATCTTCCGGCTTCACCCAGGATCTGATTCATCATCTGCACCTGCTTTCCGGCTTCACCCAACAACATGACCTCTTTGGCGGCGTAGCCCTTTGCCTGCGGATCACCAAAATCCGGGTGCAGTTTCCCAATGGCTGCAGTGAACTCACTATGGAGAAATCACGGTTGGAGAAATGATGACAAATCCCATGACGGATCCATGGTGCTGGTATATATATATATTTTTGCAAAAGGGGCGTGTTTTTACAAAGGGGCGTGCTTTTGGAACCCCTGGGATAATCCCTTGATAAAACCAAGATATCACCATAGATTCAAACTGTCCAATGGGGTTCTTAGCCAATAGCATCAGGTCCCTGTGCCAATCTCAAGGGCCAACAGGCCCAAAGTAGCGCGCTTGCGCTTTTTTGACCCCAGACGAATGCAGCTCTGAGCTTATGCCAGGGGCCTCAGAGGTGATGTGTGATGGATCGACCAAGAATGTGGCATTTGGTTTACCTTGGAAACATGGGTTGAACTTAAGAAGGTTGGACCATTACCTGCAATTCATCACAATGTTCCAAACAAAGTGTTATATCTAGTGTAAAGGGTAACTTTTCGTTCCTGATAGATAACCGTTACATATAATATCATCATATAGTAAATCCTTAATATAACCTGAATATGACCTGACAAAAGAAGTCAGGCTGACAGCTGAAGACACCCATCCATCCAAAGTGTGTTTGGAGGTTTGTTTTTCTCTCTAGCGACGTATTTGGCTCAATCTCTGAGTTGTCACAGCTTTCTCAGCTATGGCAGCAGCCGATCCTCATGCTCATGCTGCTAAGGCGGACATTGCTGATGTCCATATGGAGTGGGAGGGTGACCGTGTTGTTCGCCGACAGGTGAGGGAGAACAAATGTTTGTTCAGATCAGAAAAGAACACCGAGGATGTGCCCCATGTGAACGTCAAATCTGCCAGTGCCAACTATGATGTCCTTTTACCGTTGGCCCGTCGGATGGTTGATGAACATGGGGAGTGTCTCATGGTGTCCATTCCTGCCCTGGTACTAGAGACACTGAGATCAATCTTCTAGACTTATGTTTTGTGTGTGTGTTGTGGGGGGTTGTTAGGTATTGGTTTGAACACATGTTTTATAAACCCCTTTTCCAGGTTCTGACATCTTATACTGACAAATTCCAACCATTCCCCATCCCGCACTTAGGATTACCAAGTTGGGAATTTCCATGGCAGTCCCCCTTGAGAAGAAGAGGATTCAAATTGATGCCTGGCTAGCCAAGAAGTACATGGTTCTTCTTAAGCGAAAACTTCAGCGAGGACAGGTACCGAGGAGTGGGGCATTCCGTCAATTGATGGCGGCAGTTTACCCAGATCGATTTGATGGCCCGGACCAGGCCTGGTAATCATAACACTATGTTTCCACTACCATAAAGTTTTGGGGGGTTCCTGTTGAGGTCTATGAAAGGGGTACATTTCTTTTTTGTCTAGTATGAAGTTTCCCCTCCTAAACTGTTCAGAAAGTTTCTTCCAAATTTACCGTGTCCCTCCCACTTTAGATGTTGTTTCGCTGTGCAGGTGGTTCAGTTCGATGAGAGAGATGAGGAAGACAGCGACAAGGAGGAGGACCCATCGGTCTCTGACGCCGCATTGACCGAGAATGATGGTGTTGAAAGTGATTCTATGCCGGTGATGGATGATGAAATTCCTGCCTCTCAACCAGATATGAATGATGTGGTGGTGTTGTGTGATGGTGAAGATGATGGTGAAGAAGATGAAAGGGTAGGGGTCTTGGTGCAGGGTGAAGAGGAAGAGGAAGAGTTCTCCCCAGGGGACAAAGCGTTGCCATATGAGCCTGACAAGACACCCACGAAAAAGGCCCCCACCAGTTCGAACAAGTCGGCTGGCTCAGCTTCCCAGACCAAATCCAAATTTCATATCTTTGATGATGATGATGACAAGAGAAATTCTACACCAGAGCCCGACTTTGACAAGGAAACGTTTGTAGATGGGAAGGGTGGTAGCAATGGTTCAATCCAAGAGTTGAAAGCCAAGTTGTCTAACCTACGCAGGCAAAAGTCCGCACTGAAACTGGGTTTCAAGATTTGTTTTCCATGGTTTAGTTATGTTCACCCGCAAAGGTTTTCTATGAGTAATATGTTTTTGTGTGTTTGCGACATTGCATTATATTATGTTTACCATCGGTTATATAACGTTTTTTTGCCTACCCCTCCGAACCCTTACATTAACCCCATGTTTCTTCCTGCCTGCCTAAGGATTGCAAGCCAGCCAAGTTCGATCAAGCAGCCCAAACAAGCAGTTGAGCTGATTGAGGTCCCAGATACTCTTGGTTTTGGGGGTGATGAGGTGGATACCTGCCCCATGAATCTAGAGGAGTTCATGGATGATTTCATGAATGAAGAGGTTGTTGCGGACGTGGAGACTGAGCCCCTTCACAATGCCGTATCTGGGGTGAAAGTTTGTAAAAATGATTTTCTGGGTTTGCTTATTCTAAGATAGTTTCAATCTGGTTGGGAAACGCCCCAAAGCCTTCAGAATGTCCCTCATGCTTCAAATTATGCCATGTGCATGTGCCATGTCAGTTTGTGCTATCAGGTACTTCTTCGACGCCAGCAACTTGCTTTCAAACAGAAGGCAGATGAAGATGATGATGATGATGAAGGAGGTGCAGGTACAGGTCAGCCAAAAGGAAGAGGAAAAGGGAAGGGTCGTGGCAAGGGAAAAGGCAAGTCTGCTGGCCGTGGCAAGGCCAAGGCTGTCGACAAGACTGAGAAACCTGGGTCCAAAACAGCCCACAAGAGGAAGGCAAAGAATGTTGCCCCAGAAGAATCCGAGCCATTGGCTGAAGAACCACCCGCAAAGAAAACTAGGACTAGGAAACCAAAGGCTTCAGTAGAGAAGGCCAAGGCTGATGAATCTGCCGTGGTGCAGCCTGATTTGGGTGGGGAGACCCCAGAGCCATCAGTGAGCAAGCCTAGGAGGTCGAGGGCTAGCGCCACCAACAAGAAGGACAAGACAGACGACAAGGTTCCAAAAGACAAAGGTGCCAAGGTTCCCAAGACTCAAAAGAAGGCTTCGCAGACTGACACAGGCATGGACAAAAAAACAAAGCAGAAGAAAGAAACCCAGAAGGATTCCAAGAAAGGAGGGGAGGATTCTAATGGCAAAGAGGTCAAGGAGGGGGATGATGATGAGAGCCTCAAGTCGTTCGCTCGCCGTGCTCGCCCCTCTTCCAACCCCTGTGCAATTGCCAAATGGGATGCTGTTCGCCAAAGTTTCAATGACACCATCCGCTCCCTTGCCATTCAAAAAGCTTCCGCTCATGAGGACGGTGTTGGAAAATGGTGTTCTTTGTGTTGTGCTTTTGGTTTTGCCATTGGTTTCTTATGTTCTTTAAAACTGCGTTTAGTGTCTGCCCCCCCAGTTTGTAATGTGTGTTCATCTGACTTTACCCTGGCATTACATTCTCCCACCATTCAAACGTTTTGTTTTTCCATGGGTTGCCCCAATAGTGTCACATGCAAACCTGCTCTAATGCATATCAGCTGCATTATTTTCCAAAGAGCATAACAACAGTAGGCTGTTTACCTTCAAAGGTTTCCTTGGAGTGACAGACTATTCGCTAGCCTACCTTCTAGGATGCAACATTAGTACAATGCATTTTCTGTTGTCCACATCCATTTACAGCCTCTTCTGTTTGTTTCCGGCCTTGGAACTTAGAACCAAGTTCATACGTTCTTCTTCTTAGTATTATGCACAGCTTGATGGATTATAGTTATGAATATTGTGGTCCAACCTCCTTCGTTAATATCTTACACATTGTATATATACCCAATTTTAGGAAATAGAACCAGCCAAAAACCCACAACATTCCAGTTATTCCTACATCCCTGGCAGTACGATTTCTGGACCTTCTGCTCGACCTCTTGGAAGGGGAAAAAGATTTCCGTGGAAGAATTCCCACAAGCTGCATCGCTTGCAGCTCATGATTATGTGGCCAAGACTTTTAACAAGCATTGATGTGACTAGAACACACTCCTGAGATCACGCTGAAATTTTGTGGGGTCCATGGATGTGCTTAACTCTTACCCACGCACTGCTCACTCTTACCAAATTATCCAAAAACAATATTGGGATGTGATTTGCCCTTTTGGTGTTTGTCAACAACTTTGGTATTGAATCCTCAGAAAAAATCATGGCAGCCAGTGCGTTGGAGTAGTTGGCATTTTGGGGTCTGGATTACTGCAACAAGCGGATCCACTATATTGAGCACAAGGCTTCCCAAAAATTATCGCTAGTCGGTGCAACTTACAAGTGCTTAGAGCACGGCCCAAAGTGAGTTGCCAGAAGTGAGTCATTTGAACTATAATTACTCAATAAAGATCAGATTGTCTAAAAACAAACTGGTTCATTTATTCCAGCATCTTATCACCTACATATGTAGCTATGGGTAACTCCAGGGTGACAGTGCACGCATTTGATTGCAAATCAGAGCGACATCTACCTCATGTGCCTGCGTGGAAAAAAACAACGCTGATTCCCTGGGACCTCATCCTCTGAAATGTCAATGTGTTTGATTCCATTGAATTCTACGTGTAATACCACTCAAGGCAGTTGGGCAACAATTTAAGATTTTATATCGTAGGAATTTGGGAATTCTATCATAGAGTTACTTGCACAAGATTGGAAACCAAATCCAATTGTTGCAATATAAAATTTCCCCACATCCCCAATGGGTCACACCAGTCGGGCTCCAAGAGCCAAGAGCCACACTGTCATCCCCTTGCTGCCCAGGTCTCATGGCAATGGCTGGCGAAGACGTTTGTTGCCTCACGAGGGCATTGCTGACATGTTTGGCGCCCATGGTTCTGTGGCAAGGGTGTGGGATGTTTGTTTGAAACATAGGAGGTTCTAACTTGGAAGACATAAACATTATCTATATCATCATGTTGTAGCATCATTCCAACAGAGCATTGTACCACTCACAGCGGCCGAAACAACAGCTGGGTGGCCCAAAAAAAGGGAGCTAGCTTCTAGGGCGCCATGGCTGTGCCCAATGATGATTTTTCTCCACTGGACCGTGTCTTGAAGAGGCTTCATGCCAATGGCGCACCGAAGGTGGGGGGGTATCTACAATTTACAATTAACCCCTTCCAGTCGCATGTCCTGAGCCCCAATACCAACAAGTTTGGGTCCCTGACCTTGAGAAGTTGTAGAATTGTTCCTTGCATCCTTTGCCTGCAATGTTGGGTATGGGCATGGGTGTCAAGCACCAAGCTCCTATTAAACCAACTAGAGAAACAGAGATGACGTATGATGAGTTTCAACCAGTTAAATCCACAAATCAATTGAATCAAACTTCTGTATTCTGATGGGATGTCCGTCAGATACTGATGGCATTGGTGGTACTCCTCGCCCTGTCGGAGAATGTGCTGATATTTTCCGAGGCGAGGTCATGGGGGTTAAAGAACAATGTATATTATAAAATATCATATATAATCATATATAATACATATATATATATTTCCGACTTGACCTTTTTTTGTGAATCAGTTTGGTTTTAGATTCAATCTGAAAAAATATGAACCCATTCAAATCAAATCTGATCGAATATGATGAAAGAATGGTCCTGCCAGAGCATCGCTCCTGCACTGCAGGCCTATTCCTTTGTGGAACTCTTCTGTGGCCATGCTTGGGTTAGCCGGGTTATGCGGTGCAAGGGCCACCCTACTGCCCAAATGGATCTCTTGCTCACCAAGGAGAAGTTTCGATCATCACCCCAAAATCCCATGGATCTCCTGACAGATAGTGGGTTTTTGCCCCCTGTCCCTAATTTATTTCAGTTTCATATGTAGCTGAGATTGGACCTTTGAAAGCTGCATTGATTTGAGTTGACTGTTACAAAAACTTTCACCACATGCTATCGAAAACCAAGGCTAGCTCTTGCCTCTATATTGAATGGGCGATTCGATGGATGTGTCTACCTCTTGGCTATGGTTTGTACCAGTTTTGTGGCGATCAATAGAGCTACAAACCAGCGCTACCCAGATTCTCCGCTAGGCAACACGCTGGTGCCTAGCGTTCAGATTGGAAACATCCTTGCAGCACGGCATGGGGCCTCAGCCAAGCAAAGAAGTGAGTGGGTGGAACCTTAGGCCATTCCAGCTCAATCTTCAAGGGGTTGAAGGGATATTTCCAAGACGATTTTCTAACTACAAACTGAAAAAGATACATTTGAATCCGGTGATATCCCATGGGAGCCCAGGACTAATGATTTTTGAATTTGGAAGTATTTTCACAGGGCCAACATGCACCCATCAAACATTTACCATCCTGCCCAAAAAAAAGCACAAACTGACCGGGGATCATGCGTTATCTCCAATGCCATGGGTGATTTTGAAAGCAAACTATGCTGGTTGTGAGCCTCCCATAACAAGTCAGAGCAACCCCCAGTATCAACATGCTCTTGAGTCTGAGATTCTTGTTGTGTTCCCTTTGTTAATGCTTTTGTTTTTTTACCAAAGAGTTCCAAATACTTGAGGCCGGTCAGCATATCAAAATGGTCTAAACTATTAAACTAAACAACATGCTGCCACCCATAACAAGATACCATTGGTTACATCTTTCATTCGAAGAATATCTGGGGCCCAAATCAGATACTACGCTTGAAGAAAATGGTCAAATATGGTCAATCTGTTTGCCAGTCCTTGGCCCCCATATGACCCCACAATCACAAACAAATTGCCAAGAAAACATATTACCAATCATTACCATAATACCATCAAAATTGATCTATGAGTCCATGAGTGCATTAGGACAGCTTTTCTATGTGGGATTTTCTGATTTGGGGATTTGTGGCCTATTACGTTTTGGGTTCCCTTCTTCTCCACCATGTTCTCTGTCAGCCCTGGCCAGCCCATTGGGTCACTCCACTGGTCTAGGTGCTGCCTGCTGATACACGCCTGTCTGGCCATGGGTGGATGCTTTGTGCTGGAGCAGCCGAGTTCGTCAACTTGGTCTTGGTTGCCACGGGTGAGGGAACTATTCCACCACTTGAAAGAGGTTGGGGAGGAACCAAATTAAACTAGACTAGCAACCACACAGTTCTAAGCAGTATGATAGATCGGTTAAAATCATAAATTGTAATTTGGATCCTGGAAATTTTGAAATACTTACACGAAGGGTAAATTGAACAATTACTTTGGGGTCAGTCAAGTGGTTCAGGTTTGACCTTTGTTTCTCCATGTTTCTCCCAAAAGGTGTGGTCTGCGGGATGGTGGATGGCTCACTACAACAGCAAATTTCCCAAGCGACATCACGCCTGGAGCAATAGCCGAGAGATTAGATTACTTGATATGGGTGTACTTTGTCGAGAGTACCAACGCAAACTTGCTACTCTTGGTGTCAAGTCCAGCAAGACCTACATATCTGGTGGCCGGAAGAAATACGTGGGCACAAAACATCTCAAGGGTTCTGAGTCAGGGCCTTGGTGTGTTTCAACATTCTGGCATACTTGCCAATTTGTTTTCGGCCTGGGCTAGTTACATGCACATGGATATGTATATAGAAATTCAAAGCCATATATATGTGTGTGTGTTCAGCGCCCGTGCCCAGGAACTACCCTCCGGCCTTTGGGAAGAAGATCTTCAAGATCCATTCCAGACTTGTCAGCACGAGGGTCCTCCGGGAAGCGACTGGTGAGTTCTATGACGCAATTGATGGACAAACCCTTTTCTCCATCTTAGAATGGGGCGACCTTTGGAATGATGCAGACATGGTCTCCTGTCTAGCATGGCTACGAGCCAACAAACACCTCAACCTAGGATCTTGGAGGGATCTTTTCCCATCTGAACTTTAAACAAATTTGATCCTTCATGTTTGGGCGTCCCAATTTTTCAGTTCGGTTGGGAATGCCAGCCCAAAGAAGGTGAATGCTAGTTGTGCATTTTAATTTCAATGCTTTGGCTGGGACACAGCTTTAGATGTGTTTTGAAAGCCTAAATGAAGAAACAATTCGTTTGCGTATGAAATTTCCAATGCTTTGATATGCCAGCTCAGCTGAAAAGGATGGTGTCTAGCACTTGCAATCGGTTTTTTGCAGTCATGTATGGAGTGACGTGGGAAACATTGCATATCATGAGTGCCCTGGAAGATTTTGTGGGGAATTGGAGGGATATCTTAATTTTATACAAGAATATTCAATGTTTTCTCCAATTTTAAGGATGTTTATCATGTTTTTTGGCCAATATTGCACCATTTCACCCGTACATGAAAATACGTGCAAACTACGTGCAAAACACGTGTTTTGCACGTGCAAAAACCCGTACGCGTACAAGGGGCGTGGATTTCCATACAAGGGGCGTGGATAGCCGTACAAAAACACGTACAAAATACGTATTTTTCCTGGTTTTTGACCATGCCAATTTTTGATGGTTTTGTCAAAAAAAAACATGAAAAATCAAGGAAAATCCATCAAAATTCCTTGGAATGTGTTTTTTTCCCCTGGCCACCGACTATCCTGCCAAATCTGGGCCGAAGATCGTGGCTCAACCAGGCATCGGCCTGCAAAAGGCTGGGGTTTAGGTGATTTAGGGGCTAGAAATGGCACCTACAAAGCTTGAATCTCGCCAATGGTCTTGTTCAGAGCTAGCTGGCTCCAATGCAGAGATGCTTCAAGTGAAACGTGAAGCAGAAAGCAAAGAGGAACTTGAGCGAAAGATCAAGGAGCCTAGCAGTTGTTCAAATTGTTTTTCACACTGGTCTCACAGTTTCCCCTTTCAAACACGCAGATCCTGTTTGCAAAGGACTACGAACGAGAGATTCTAGCTCTGAGAGGTCAAGTTGATGAGTATGATGACAATGTTGAAGTTTCTTATTGGCATTTAGCATATAGATCCATATATATAGATAATGTATATCCCTATAGTGTTTCTGTGGTAAGCAAACCCCTATAGATCATTATTCTTGGTGGCCACCTGCCAAGGAAGCTGACACTATCCCAGTATCCTGTATGCAAGTGTTGGGAACTCGCTTTGTGGATTGTTACGACTTTGGGGAGATCTGGAAACACACAATGTCCACCATTGATTTGGTATTTCCAAGTTGTTCTCATCCAATCCTTTGATACCTAAAGAGTTGAGGCTACAGAAGAGGAATTGAAAAATTCCAGGATGAATGCTAACAAAGGGAAGAAGCCAGCAAAGTCAGCACCCACAGCTGCAAAAGCAGCACCGGCACCCAAGTCAGCGAAGACAGCTTCGTCTGCCCCTGTGACTGCAGCAGCTGCAAAGGCGGCACCCCCTTCCAAAGTGAGTGGGAAATCCAGCAAGGAGTCGGAGACCTCAGTCAAAGATGGGAAGCGGTGCCCCAAAGTTCCTGAAAGTACACCAGAGGTTGTTCAATCCCCGGCGCCACCAGTGTCCAAGCGTCAGAGGGGTAAGCAGCCAGACCCAGACCCTAACTCTCAAATCGACTCTTTGAAGCAGGCCTGGGATCATTGATTTTGTTTGCAAGTGGTTTTCAGAAATATTATGCCAGGTATTTTGCTGATTTTTCTACATGTTGAATATCTGAACTTGAAAACTTCCCATCCATGTAGGCAAATGCCAAGATGCAAGCTCAGCTTGACCTGATGGCAAAAGAAATGGAAAAGGCTAAGAAAGTTCAGAAGAGCTCCCCTGGTACGAGTTCCACTACTGCCACTCCAAGTGCAAAGCACCCAGGTCCATCCCCGGCCTCGGCTAAGCCACGTGCTTCGTCCAAGGTTGCTCCTCCTGACGCACCAGGGTCGGACAGCGACAACGAGGAGCTGACCCAAGGTGCAAAATTGGGCCGGCTGAGTCGACTGTGCGAGCGAAAGCCAAGTGGCAAGTTACACGTCCCACTTGAAGTACATGAGAAATGGCTCCAGAAGGGCCGTGCTAGGGATGAACTCTTGGAACAACTTGAAGCAAGTGACTGGAATCCGGACAGGGTTTGGTAAACTGGTGCTTCAATTTGATCCTCAACATCTTGATTTCTTGACATCGTTTCACCACAAAATTATATATATACTATGCATTGAGCCCTTCAAAGACTTCCACCCTGGGATGTCCAGACCAATAAACAATAAACAATAAACTATAAACAAGTTTATGCGTTCCTGCTGTTCTCTTGGCCATGATGCATCACTCACCCCTGGGAAGGATGCATTCGTGAAGAAAGTCACCAAGGTCCATGAGACTACCGCCAAGAAAAAATCAACCAATAGAAGAGGATGGTATACCAAAGAAGCTATGGAGAAAAAACTTCAATGGAGCAAGTTCCTAGGATCAAACTGGTATCTTCTGAGCTCCTACATGCTGAGATGTACGAAGTTCTCTCCTATATAATATCTGCATGTACACATTTTGTAACCATCCACCATCATAGCTAGTACCAAACAGGGTTGTACAGATTGCCCGCTTCAGGTCATACATCGCAGGCGTTGTCAAGTACTGCGAGAAGGAAGGGAACGAACACCTATGGAAGAAACTTGGTGGCTCTTTTGCCTTCATTGGGTCTTTACGTGCCACAAAAAAAACATGTTCAACATCTTTCAACTTTCAGCTGAAAGCAATTCCTTTCCTGCCCCCATGACTTTATCCTTCACATCATGTCATAATGTATGGTGACTTTGTTGGATTAGTGGGCCCAAGGAAAGACAAGTACAATAAGAAGATTCGAAAATACTATGTGGAGACTGCTGAGTCCGATGAGTCGTGCGGTGAAGATGTTGAAACTTTGAAGGAAACGGAAGAGCTTGAGGTGAGGCATCACTGACAACCATTCACATAGAAATCCAATTTAGGGTATTTAATATGTGGTCTCCCTGTTTCCAGCTCCCATCTCGCTCCTGCAGGCTGACAGTCCAGTGCGATTCCAAAGGTTGCAAGGAAAGTCAAAGGCCTTGGCAGAGTTGCCATCCCATGGTGAAGAAAGTGAGTCTGAGGAAGAAGATGCCAAGGGTAAGTCTGTGCAGGCCAACGGTGGCCCACAGGAGAATTGTTATTCAGTCCAATAGGGTATTCCAATTCCAATTTTTGATGTTTCTTCTAGTGAGTGTTTGTTAATCAAGGGGTTGTAGTGTAGGCTTTGCGGTTTGTTTCAAAACTCTTATCCCTGAGCAGGAGTACAAAAACATGAAGAAACTTGGTGATTCCCTGTTGGCCCGTTCGGCCAAAGTCACTGACCTGATGTCAAAGTTGGAAAGTCATGTCCAAGAAAAGCCGGAGGGATCCATGGAGAAGAAACGTGTTACCAGGCCAGGGGTTGAAACAACCAACACAGAACCATAGATGTTTTTTCCCAATCTCTATCCCACCATTTATTCTGACCGATCAGACCCCCTTGGCCAAGGACTTTGAAGTCACTGGAGAATGCCATCGAGATCCTGGAAAAGGAGTTCGAGGGAATCGAGGCAAAGAAGGCCGAGGTATCGGACTTGCTGTGTGACAAGATCGAAGAGAAGCAGAAAGAGAAGCTTCTTACTTACATGAATGCATGTATATACAGTATACATCATTTATTGAAGTGTCCTCAAGAAATAGAACACTGCAAATGGAAATTCAACTTGCCAAAAGGAATGATTAGTGTTCAACACGTCCAAGGCTTCTAGATATGGTGCATGTTCAGATCAAGGAGACAACTTTGGCGTGTCTAGCCAGCAAACTTAACCTGAGCAGAACAAAAAACATACTGTACAGCAAATGTCGTGAGAGTCATTGTTTCCTATCATATGCTATGTTTTTTTTCCATACCTTGCTATCCAAGCAAACTCAATGATAAGGTGCGCAAAGGTCACCACGGCTGAGCAATCGGGGAAGAAGCTTATATGCATTCAAGTTTTAAAGGGTGGAACCTGCATGAGAATGATACTACTTTTCGATTCAATCTCCAATGGTCCATCATGGCCATCACCCTAAGGAACCTTTTGAAGTCACTGCAGCAGCAGTGTTGAGATGCGCTGTTTAGGGGTTGAGCCTAGCTGATTTCAGCTATGTTGGTTTTGTGAAAGTGTGGCAATGAAACTTGCCGCAACGAAATGATATCAAAGATTGGGGCAACGCACCAAGCCTTAAGCCTATGGCTTGGTTTGCGCTTTGTGAAGATCAAACGCTGGGATAACCTAGCTTTGGGTAGCGCGGGAAAAGACAACAGGGCTCTTGGCTATTTGAGCAGGTCAGTATATTGTTGTAAGGAACTTGTGGCATCAACACCAAATCCCTAGTGGCATCTTAGTCCTAGTCCCCAATCCCATCAACATTACAGTTAAGGGGGATGTACTACACACACAAGTTCGCTCGTGCTGCCAGGTAGGGCCGCCAACAACGATCAACCAGATCGGCTCCTTCGTCACTATGCTCGGCTGATTTCCAACGGAGCCCGGGCACTCAAAATCCTGGCCGGGTTGGTGGGAAGAAATATGGACACATGAATGTCCAGACACCCATGCTTTTGGCAGCTCAGCTATTTTCAGGGTCTTCAAGCATCATGGACAACACGTGTTGCTACACTGCAAGCCTGACAAAACTTGTCAAATTCTATGACTACCATAATGCTCGGCTAGGGAGTATTGATATGATGTTGGAACCAGGTGCCATCATTTCTGAACAAAGCAGTATCTATCTCTAATATGTTTTTGCTTTCCGGCCATGGATCCACATGATGATGACGATGACCTTCTGTGCCTGCTGCTGTCTTATGATTGTCCGGTGACTGGGAAGAAAAGAACAGCTGGGTCCTATGACACCGTGGGTTCACCCATCCCAAAAAAAAAGTTCCTTGGGTGCAATATGTTGTATACGAAGCATCCTTCAAGAGTGAGCAACTTTTAAGGCACAGAATTTCCTCCATGTTACCCCAGGCTCAACGTGACTGAACCAGATGAGAAGGCATCAGCATCGGCGTCACCCATGCCAACTTGCACCATGTCCACTGGTGAGGACTTTGCTGACCCAAACTACGATGATTATTTCCATAGGGGAAACACCGGTGCCACAACACCCATGTGTCCTCAAGTCTCGTCAAAGGCAACTGCCATGGCAAACCGATCTGCCGATTGGCTGAAGTCACCCTACGTGTTACTTTTTGATTTTTGAGAATAGTTCTGATACTTGTCATCTTACAAATGTTGTTGAATCCCAACTGGCAGTACCCCACCTGTGTCGTTTTTTTTGGTTGAACTAAGGAAATCGCTGCCGCTGCTCCCAGCGCTCAATTCTTTGCTGAAGTTGGTGCCACTTTTACTGCTGATGGCTTTGATTGGGGGCAGCTCAAGTCACATGGGCTTTTTTACCGATGCCAACGGTCAGAACATATGCTTTGTGGAAAATTGTTAGCACACTGCAAAGCTCAAGTAAGCACTTTGAGGGAGGAAATTGGTGTTCGAATTTGTTGCTTCAAAATTGGTATTACGTCAAATCCTCCTCTTCGGTTTTCGACTTATGTGGAGAAGAATTACAGTTGTATGTGGGTCATTGCTGTCTCAAAAAGTGTTGATCAAATCAACATGCTTGAGGCAGCTGTCATTTCCGAATTTCAAAAGCATGTCGGGTGCAAAAATGAGCCTGACACCGGTGGCGAGGGTGCGCTCAACCGGAAAAACCGAACAAAGCCACCCTACTATCTATATGTCACTGCTGGCAGGGCAGATCAATCTCGATGGGTGGGATAGATCCCGTTGGGAAAAGGCGGAGAAAAAAAAAGTGTGTGTGTGTGTGTGAGGGGATGCAGGTCATCATAATCATCGCACATGTTCATCAAGCACAGCAAGAGCAGGCACAACCAGGCATATCATATCTACTTGATTAATATCAAATCATCTGTATATAATATATATATATATATGAATCATCAAGATCTCAAGCCCAGCTCATTTTTCAAAATTGTGGAGTCATCAAGCGGATCTTTTTTGATAGTCTTTTTTTAGTGTGATCTTGGGATGTTGCCGAGGCTCCATGCAGCCACATCGTGGAGCTTGCGAAAGAAGAGGTTCGGAGAAACCCAAATGCCAGCAGAGCAACCAAAGAATTTGCTGATATCGACCCAGCCCATGCAGAAACAAGGTGCCATGCTCTATTTCGCAAGTACGGCTGTAGTGCCCCAGTGGAGCTTTCTTACATCAAGTTGGGACCTGGCAACCTCCAAAAGTTTGCAATCATTTTGTTTTCCGATTGGGCAAAACTGTTGTTGAACACTGGACGTTTTTGCCGACAGCTATGTGGTGTGAGCACCTTCCGTGAGATGAAAGAGGTGCTAACAGAATTTTGGGATCGCTACAAGGCTTTACATAGCAACCATGACCTTTTCAAAATGGAGGATGTGGACCTCTCAATGACTGTTCCAGTGTATTCACACACAGATGAAGGGCGCTCATACAAACACCAGCCGCTTTGGGTTTTATCCACACACGGATGCATCGGGAGGGGCACCAAAACCTACATCAGCCGCAAACTCCACTTGGTTCCTATCAAGCATCGGCCTATGGGACTGAATTTCATTGGTTCGACATGGGCCACCCAATTTATGACGGCTTCAGCCCTTAGGGCTTCCTTGAATGAGACACCAGGGGCCATGGACAAAATTTTGAAAGCCTATGCTGAAGATATGTCAAGGCTAGCACATGACGGATTGGTTGGCCCGGAGGGACATATCAGGATCATCCACTTGGGAACAAAGGGTTGCCTAGTGTGAACTCAAAAGGTTTTTGGTTGTCTGGGAGAAGTATGTTTTAGTATGATCAAGGGTTGATGTTTCTTTTTATTGTGGCATCCTTCTGCTCCACCTAGGAGATCTCCCGGCGCTAGCAAAGTTGGCAGGCATGAAGCGGACGCATTCCCACGTGCCAAGGGCAGGGAGTTCAAAGAAACCTTGTCGGGGTATTTGCTGGATGTGTGATGCTGGGTTGGAAGGTAGAAATGCTGATGAACAATCCCACCCATATGAGGACACATCAGTAAATGCCAGTTGGACTACTACTTTGGGTTCGACTTTGCCATGGGATTCGGAACCTGTGTTGCTGTCTCACCTTCCTTTGGACCAGAACGCAAAACAATCCTTTTTCATGACAGATATATGGCACAATTTTCATCTTGGTTTATGCAAGCATTGGATTGGCAGCAGCATCATATGTGCCATAGAACGGCTGGACTGTTTTCCTGTTGCTGCGGTCGATGCCCGGTTTCAATGGTTCACAGATGACTTTGCAGAATTTTGTCAGCAAAACAACATCCACCCGTATTTGAAGGAGATCAGCAGAGAAACCATGAGCTTTCCACAGGCCAAGTCTTGCCCAGTTGGTCGGTGGAGCAAAGGCGTTGTGGCAAGTCAGTTCATGCGGTACCTAGAAAACTTCTGCGACCGTTTTGTGACCAACCAGACTGATGATCAAGTGATGCTCACAGTGGTTTTTGGCAATATTACTTGAGAAAAATGTTTGATTTACTGTTTTCCTTTTTGCTCTTTAGTTCCTTGGGCAAATACAAGTTGACAAGTCTATGTTTGATAGTGCTGGGGGACTATATGAGGCAAAAGCAACCAAAGCGATCAACATGGCCATGAGCTTTATGTATGCCAGTGGTTTCTGGATATTAGCACATCATGGATTGCAGCTGTCGAAACTCATCATGGTTTTCCTACAGGGGTACACCAAATGCGCTGAGTGTTGTTTGCGGCAGGGATTTCACCGCTTTGGCTTAATGCCAAAAATGCATTACATCCATCATGCGGCAGATAGACTGAGGAGGGAAAGTGCTCTTGGGGTGTGGGTTAAAAACCCGCTCTCCGAGAGCGTTCAAATGCAGGAGGATTTCATAGGACGTCCAAGCCGGCTCAGCCGGAGGGTGGATGTCCGCCAATTACATTTGCGGGTAGTAGAGAGGTCCCTAATCAATGTTCAACAAGCTCTGGAGAACTCAGATCAAGATAGACGAGGGTTGGCGCCAAGTTGAAATCAACCTCATTTTTTTGAGCTAGTCCCCAAAAACAAATAATCCATTCAGTCCACTTTGACAGCAATTTCCTGGGGGTTTACTATAGTGTTGCCAGTGTCAACCTCGGCCAGTACTAGAACCGAAAGCAAGGATGGAGCAAAGCGTGCCAAATGGCAAAACTGGAGGGGAGATGGGGAACCTGGTGTTTGCAGGTATGTGTTCTTTTTGAATTGCTAAATTTTGATGGGAGTTATTTTATGTTACCCTTGGCAAAGTTTCCCCAAAATACTAAAGGTTGGGTTTGAAGTTGATCTTGTACGGCAGTTCAACCAACAACAAGACCAGTTGTGTGTTGACTATTGCTAATTCTTGGTGGTTATGTATTTAGCAGCAAAGCATCATCAAGCATCATGAAGCATCATCACATGAAATAAGGGGGCATGTAAAGAGTATGTAAAATATCAAAAATACAAAGGGGCGTGTTTTTGTGAAAGGGGCGTGTTTTTATGATAGGGGCGTGCTTTTAAAAAAATATGGGTAGGACCTATAAATGAAGGACAAGTGAGATGAAGGTATATGTATATTAATGCTAACATAAAGGGGGTATTTCTTGATGGGATCCATGGCACACCATATATAGCAGCACTGGTGTGCCATGGATCCGTCATGGGAATGGCAGATGGAAATCACACAGCTCTCGGGCTATTGGTCAAGTCATGGCAGGTTCCTGGACACAGAAATGCGGCTGGTTTTCCTTCGATGAATTTAAGGTGTTGGGAAAAGCCATCCGACCATACAATAAAAACACCCCAGGAAGGCAACATCGACCGAGATATACCGAGATTTTGGGGATTGGTGTAGTTCCTGCTGAACAATGAAGACTTCACAACTTGAGTCGTTTGTTTTTTTTGGGCCTCAAAAAAAAACCAGCCGGGCTAATCTTGAAAGCTCCCAAAAATTGACGTGGCCCCATCACACTTTTCAGTGGCCTCCAGCACGACCTTGAACTTGACTGGTGTTCCTGAAGGACCATGTTGTCCTGGGCTTTTTTAAGAGAGTGACTCCAGAAGTGTTCGCAGCCAGGGGAATATCTATCCATCCAATCATCCATCCATCTATAGTTATACTAGATTATATCATATCATGTTCTATCATGTATCATGTATTCATGTATTAGATATCATATATCAAATACTATATGTTATATATATATATACGTATTTATATATATATACATATATATATATATATATATATATATCATGTTACATATTACATAGTGCGTATATAATATCATATTGTATAAAATTATATAAACATATCATATATTATATTGTATATAATGTTATATATATTATATATATTATGACATATTCTGCTATATGTATAGTATAATATAGTATGTATATATCATGATGTTTCATATCGAATGGATATCAATTACCTGTCAAATATGGCTGGCCCGGGCCTGGCAAGTCGGTCTTGAGCAGGAAGACGTCTTGTTCAGGGAAGGCTGGGCTAGAAATGAAACCATATCCTTGGTAGCGATCATGGGGGCCAGCATCAAACCCCAAAGCCCAAAAGGAAAGAAATCGACCAACAGTGAATGATAAATATCAGATGAACATTTAGACAGTGTATATAACATAATATAGTTTAATTTAATATTATATTATAATATATTATATATGATATCACATGATAAATATTGGAAACATACCATGTACCATGAGCTTCTCAGATTTCTTCTAAGCGTCCCTTCATTGGATTAAAGGACTTGATCTCACCAAAGTACGAAGCTTCATGTGGAGCAACTACCACAGTGACATCTTGTGCCTGTGTCCCTTTCTCGTTCTGAATCGTATTGAATTGAACCTCACCAAACACGCAACAAAAAACAGAGAAAAGGCTGAACATCTCTTTGGCGTCTCAGGAAAGTTTATGGAAGTTTCACATTGTTTCTGGTGGTTTGAACTGTATTTTTCATCCACCTGATCGACCTGACTATGTATATAATCTGATATAAACTGATGGTGAAAAATGTCGCCTTGTCCCCCTGGAATGAACATCAGTGAACATCAACATCCATCAACAGCTGCGACGATCTGAAGAGATCTTCAGATTCTTCAGGCCCCAACTGTCTGACCGGGCTCAACACACATGCCCTTCAGGTCGCCCTTGTACAAAAACACATCGGTACCAGCTGCCGCGCATTCGATGAACCCCCAGCCCTACCAGCGATTCACCATTCGAAAAACCGCAACAAAAAAACATGGTTCCGCAATTCACCAGGGCCTACATCTGCCGAAAAACCATGGGCAACATATGGCAACCATCTGAAAAGAGCTGAAAGAAAGCAACAAGACATGAATTGAACATGGTTGAACCATGATGAACGTGATTCAGATAGAATACAAACTTTCTGCTGAAAAAGAACAGGCAAACGCAACCTGAAGAACCACAACCAGTGCCTTGTTGGGATTGAAAAACTTCACAGTCCCGGTCCTGACACTGACACAAACAATACAACGATTGATAATGATTGATAACGATTGATAACGATTGATCATAATCATGTCTTGATTTTTAGATCCAGCTTTGCCTTGGCGCACCATTGATCCATTCAACTGGTGAGAACCAAAGACGTTTAGAAGACACTTCGGCTGAGCATTTTGCCTGTGCATTTCAAAGTTCTTTTGACTTCCAACCACTCATTTCAAAGCTTCTAAAGCAACAAAAACATTGGAAATGCAGATGGAATGTCATCATACTTCATGCTACCAAGTGGGAACCTACTGGTACGAAACCGAATAATACCCGGGTTGCCAAGAGTCATCGCCATCTTTGAAGAAAGCGCGGTGGCAGCTTCCAGTGGCTGGGTTTGAGCGGCTTGAGCCATGATTCATTGGATTTTTGAACAGGGCTTCAAGCTCCTTGATTTTCCAAGTCTATGACGTACTCATTGAACAATTCACAGCGTGTGATTCGCCTGGTTTTGGTTGGTGGTTTTAATTCGATATCAGTAGTTTGGGAGTATCGTTCCAAGAGCAACAAAACATAACAAAATAATGAAAGCCAGCACCCAGTCATTCTTCAGAACTTCAAATGAAAAGGTGCCACTGTCACATGGAGCAATCTATGGCAATGTGTATATGTGCCGCAGCAACAAGAACAATATAATCTATGATAATCTAAGTAAGGCAAGAACAGGGTCTGGCACCATGCAACCACAGCCAATGGTCATTTCGCAACATGGCTGTTTCGTTATCTGCCGAAGATGGGTTGCCAGTTCAGAGTTCGATGCAAAACAGCCAACGCAACCTTGGTACTTCGGTGACAGCACCCCATTGGTAAGTCGCTCATATTTTTACTGGCCCGAATCGACCGAAATGGTACAACATGGATTACCCTCTGGTAAACTAACATAGCTACTGAAAGTGGTCATTTATAGTTGATTTACCCATTAAAAATGGTGATGTTCCATAATTAGCTATGGTATGTTAGTTTACCAGAGGGTACACAGATGATTACGGAACATCGTAGAAACATCGAAGGAACAGAAACGCATAGAAATGCTGCCTTCCATCTTCGTCCTGAAAGCGTTACCGCATTCTGAAGCCATAATCCCTTCCCCCGTTCATATTCAACACGCCCCAAACGAAACCATGGTGGATGTAGAGAATTTCCACATTCCGGACCATGCTTTTTTGGGGTGTTTCATATGAACGGATGATGGGATTCGAAGCCCAACTTCCCACCAAGTTACCCATGTCGACCCGTGTCCAACGTTTCGCTAAGTGACCAGTGTCCAGGCAATGACCAGCCAGGCCGACGAGGCTTTCTGCGAGCCCCGGGGAAGCAACGGTGGACCCGTTGTGGCCACCGAAGTGTTCTGCGGCTGCAGCCCTGGGCAGATTTCCAGGGTGATCCATGATTCATCCATGATTTATCTATGATCAATCAATGATGAATCTATGATTCATCTGAGCTTCACGTCATCAATTCATCAGTGATTCATCAATGAATAGATCTGGCGTTGAAAATGGTGTATCCCGAATCCCAAGTCAATGGCTTCATCATATTTAATCATCCCATATCCCCCAAAAGAGGCATTTGTGGAGGTATTTAATGGTACGTACGTTTTTTTTTACCACATTTTCAGAGCTACCCATTTGGCACCTGTGACTTCCGAAATCCACGACGAAACTTCACTGTAATCCTCGTGAGGCAGCGGTGCCGCCGGCTGCTTTCATGTTGAAAACAGCCGCTCAGCAAAGAAATCTGACATATATATACCAGCAGCACAGCCAAGATTGCAAGAATTCCTACAACAGTTCAAAAATCGTAAAATTTTCTGGAATTCTCGCAATTCTCCGGTTGTCCCCGTAAATTCTCGCAACACAAGGAAATTCTCGCAATTCTCCGCCTTTTGCCCCTTTCCCCTGTTTTTTCATGTTTATCTTATATTTCATCATCATTCAAGAGCTAACGTCTCAAGGACGTCATGTACAGGCCATATATGCCCGATGAACCGTAGTTTTGATATGTTTTGGGTTATTTTATTCCGCTAAAACGGCTGATCCCCACAAAGCTGCCATGTTTCGTACCACAAGGAATTTAAGCCCCCAGTTGTTTTTAAAATGTGTAAGTTTCTGTTTGGAACTTTAAAGAAAAGAAGTCATTGTATCAGGAACCAGACTTGAAAAAAATACAGTGAATCCCTTGTGAACTTAGGGCGAAAAAAACAACAACAAACCGTACTTCAAATAAATACCAAAATCACTGTAAGCATGCCAACCCTGTAAGGAAAACCAACCTCAAAAATCAACTGCAACAGTTTGACAGCCTAGGAGACGGCAGGCACCAAACCTGTCCAACACCCTAGCAACTTTCAAGCTGGAGCTTAGATCTACATGCTAGTGCAGGTTCCACAATGTTCTTCAATTCCAAAACAAATGAAGTTTCCGATGTTTCTTTCCTGCAAGGGCTAGGGATGATTTTGTTATTACGGCCGATTACAGCCTTATATTCAAGAATGTTTTTCAGTTCGTTTTTCTGAAACTTAAAAGGTCCCTTATTCCCCGCCACGGGCGCCAACTTCTAGGATTCACCTTCAAAGTCTTGAAAATTCGGAACATACGAAGACATTGGAACTTAAGTTCTTTTGGCCGCTGGCAGGCGGTCACACCTAATTACGTTCCAAGGTTGCATTAAAGTCCGAAATTTGGAACTTGAGATTTTTGGCCGGACACAGGCGCCGCCACAGTCGGATTTTTTTTTTAAACCAACATGTTATAAGTATTTATCTTGGTCCGCAGCAAACGGATTTTTTGGTCAACACTTAGGTTCAGTTTGTTTTAATTTTACTTTTTGAACTTAAGCTTCTTGTGGGCCCGCTGCAGGAGGAAAAAAAATGAATGCCCGACTCTGAAAATGTGTTTCAAGATTTGCAAACGTTGGATTTTGTGGGCCTACCGCAAGCGTTTGATTTACTGTTTAAATCACAAATCATTACAAATCTGCCATTGTACTACAGGATTGATTAAAGGATATTAAAGGTATATAATTAACTAAAGTCAAAGGATGTCAAAGGCACTCGGCTGTCAGGTTGGCCTAGTCCAACAATGATCCCTTCGTGCAACAACATGTCTGTCCATGTTTTCTTGTTGTTTGAGCACGTATTTTCTGTTTGTTTCTTTTTTTTGCGGGTAGAGCTACTAATTACTTCTCAAGATCTATCGCTTGAAATTTGGATCAATTTCATTGTTTTTGGTTTGCCAAGTTTCCAACAGCAATGTAATTGTAGCAACTTTAGCCACATGTTTTGGACAATATTGGAAACAAATTGTCTCTACTAATGTTCATCAACCATGGGTTCTTCAAGGCAGCAGACATGGTGTCATAAAACTATAAAGGCATAGAAAAATCATTATAGCGGCAATTTTTTGCTACTTAGGCCGGGGGAAAACGATGTAAGCCTCAGAGTTCTTATATTCAACAAAAAAAATCTCTGCCCGCAAAATGCTGGGCACAAAGCCGCCAAAGAAGTGAATCGGGTTCAGAGCCAGTTCAAAGCAGTTCCAAGACTTGCTTTTGAAATCTTTTGAGTTTAACTCATGTTATTCAGAACAGGTAGTATCCAAGAACCAATCATCTACGGAGAAACAACACGTGATTTACATATGTTACATGCGAATAAACTGCAGCGACCTCAAACTCTATTTTTTCATTTTTTTTTGCGTCAAACCTGCCTCATTCAGTGACTTTGAAGCATTTTTTCACATGTGGCGCATGCAGTCCACAAATTTGATGAATTTTGCTTACGTTACCTTACGTTACCTAATCTTTCCTGCATAGTTGGCACATTGTTGCACGTGTGAATTCCTGCAATTTCTCCGCCCTTTCTCGCAATTTTTTCTCGCAACTTCTCCGCATATTCTCGCAACTTCTCCGCATATTCTCGCAACTTCTCCGGGTGCATATTTCGCAGGAATTTCTCCGTTTGTATTTCAAATTTCTCCGTTTGTATTTTGAATTTCTCCGTTTGTATTTTTAATTTCTCCGGTTGTAGTAGTTGTTGTTGGTTTCTGTTTGTTTTCCTATGGGCACACAGTTTTGATCACAGTTATTTAAAAAACAAGCTTGCTTTTGGCGCTCAAGGTATCTAAAAATATCTAAAACGTATCGAACCCATCATACATGGAATTACATCAACAAGCAAAGCTTCAGACTGCACATCTCCCACAGGCACGTGGCCAATGCTTGCAGGACGCTTGCAGGTATGGCAGGTTATCCTTGTTTTCCGTTTTCTGTTCCGTCACCGGCGTCAAAATTTCAGCACCGAACTACAAATTTGCATTGGTCTTGGAATTATATATTGCCTTTGACTGCCATCAACTTCTTGCCCGGAAACTTTTTTATCATCAAGCTCTGGAAGTCCTGAAGCAAGCCCCTCTCCATCCTGATATATCCTCCCTGATATCCCTAAGGATCTCGAAACCTGGTTCTTAAATTTAAACTTATTCTATGGAGCAAGCCACATGCCAAATCTTTACGTTTATACAGTATACATGTGCAGGTTATACTGTACATGACTCCACTTCGCATCCAAACCACTTACTATTTCTGATGTGACATTCCGTTCTTGTAGCGCGTAGTAGCCAATTTGCCCCCAAACTAAGCTACCTTGCATTAATTCTTCGTCGCATCGTCTATTTTATCACGGCTACATTACTTTTTCTTCGCTTTAGATTCTAAATCTGAAGGACTTCCATCACGTATGATGTTGCAGTAGTTTAGCATGATCAAAACAAGTAAAATAAAACCTTCCAATCATTAAAATTTCTCTCTGTTTTCCATCACTTTATTGTCCAAGCCTTAAGTCAAGTCTGCAGATTGACTCGACGGGCTTTAAAGAGATTAAATTGACACGAATTGTTTCTTGCTTAACCCAATGCCCTGGATGTTAATCTAAGTTCTATTCTTACCATTCCTTTTCACAAGTCAATTAGTTGCGTCATTTCCGTTGAAGCACCCGTAATCTCTATGTAAATAGGTTCTGCAACCGTCAGCCCAACCAACCAGTAACTTAAATGAATAAATCACTCCAAATTAGTTTCACTGAGTTTTACAGCCTGAAAACCATGTCATTAAATCTATTTATGTAAGTCAGGTTAAATCAATCTAAATTAAGTTCGGCTATAAATCGTTGAAACCGCAAATTATGAAATTATAGTTAAGTTGTCTTCAAACATTATCCGCGGCTTAATTTAAGCCATTTTGCGAATTAAGTTGCACCAGTTTTTCTTTTTTTTGCTCAAGTTAGACAGAGTCTTGAATCCAATCGACCTCCAAATATGCCAGCAGCACCCCGGAAGTAAGAACCCCATCGACGTGGCGCATTCCATACCAAAACTGCGGTAAAGGTCAATCCCACATGTATCCCTTTCGTTTTC